GTTACTTTTGCAGCGCAGCAGCTGCGCTCAATGTCCATGGCACTTCATCGTAAAATCATATTTTATATGATTTTTTTTTCCTCATTCTATATTATTAAAAAAACTAATATATATATTATATATATATAATATATATTATACACACAGTTCCTTGCGAAAGTATTCGGCCCCCTTGAACCTTTCAACATTTTGCCACATTTCAGGCTTCAAACATAAAGATATAAAAATTAATTTTTTTGTCAAGAATCAACAACAAGTGGGACACAATCGTGAAGTGGAACAACATTTATTGGATAATTTAAACCTTTTTAACAAATAAAAAACTGAAAAGTGGGGCGTGCAATATTATTCGGCCCCCTTGCGCTAATACTTTGTAGCGCCACCTTTTGCTGCAATTACAGCTGCAAGTCGCTTGGGGTATGTCTATCAGTTTTGCACATCGAGAGACTGGAATTCTTGCCCATTCTTCCTTGCAAAACAGCTCGAGCTCAGTGAGGTTAGATGGAGAGCGTTTGTGAACAGCAGTCTTCAGCTCTTTCCACAGATTCTCGATTGGATTCAGGTCTGGACTTTGACTTGGCCATTCTAACACCTGGATACGTCTATTTGTGAACCATTCCATTGTTGATTTGGCTTTATGTTTTGGATCATTGTCCTGTTGGAAGATAAATCTCCGTCCCAGTCTCAGGTCTTTTGCAGACTCCAACAGGTTTTCTTCCAGAATGGTCCTGTATTTGGCTCCATCCATCTTCCCATCAATTTTAGCCATCTTCCCTGTCCCTGCTGAAGAAAAGCAGGCCCAAACCATGATGCTGCCACCACCATGTTTGACAGTGGGGATGGTGTGTTCAGGGTGATGAGCTGTGTTGCTTTTACGCCAAACATATCGTTTTGCATTGTAGCCAAAAAGTTCGATTTTGGTTTCATCTGACCAGAGCACCTTCTTCCACATGTTTGGTGTGTCTCCCAGGTGGCTTGTGGCAAACTTTAAACGAGACTTTTTATGGATATCTTTGAGAAATGGCTTTCTTCTTGTCACTCTTCCATAAAGGCCAGATTTGTGCAGTGCATGACTGATTGTTGTCCTATGGACAGACTCTCCCACCTCAGCTGTAGTTATCTGCAGTTCATCCAGAGTGATCATGGGCCTCTTGGCTGCATCTCTGATCAGTCTTCTCCTTGTTTGAGATGAAAGTTTGGAGGGACAGCCGGGTCTTGGTAGATTTGCAGTGGTCGGATACTCCTTCCATTTCAATATAATTGCTTGCAGAGTGCTCCTTGAGATGTTTAAAGCTTGGGAAATATTTTTGTATCCAAATCCGGCTTTAAACTTCTCCACAACAGTATCTCGGACCTGCCTGGTGTGTTCCTTTGTCTTCATGGTTCTCTCTGCGCTTTAAACAGAACCCTGAGACAATCAAAGAGCAGGTGCATTTATACGGAGACTTGATTACACACAGGTGCATTCTATTTATCATCATCAGTCATTTAGGACAACATTGGATCATTCAAAGATCCTCACTGAACTTCCGGAGTGAGTTTGCTGCACTGAAAGTAAAGGGGCCAAATAATATTGCACGCCCCACTTTTCAGTTTTTTATTTGTTAAAGTTTAAATTATCCAATAAATTTCGTCCCACTTCACGATTGTGTCCCATTGGTTGTTGATTCATGACAAATTTAAATTTTATATATTATTTATGTTTGAGGCCTGAAATGTGGCGAAATGTTGAAAGGTTCAATGGGGCCGAATACTTTCGCAAGGCACTGTGTAAAATATATATATATTATTAATTAGTATTTGGTCACCTACAAACATGCAAGATTTCTGGCTCTCAAGACCTGTAACTTCTTTAAGAAGCTCCTCTGTCCTCCACGTGTTATCTGTATTAACGGCACCTGTTTGAACTCGTTATCTGTATAAAAGACACCTGTCCACAACCTTAAACAGTCACACTCCAAACCTCACTATGGCCAAGATCAAAGAGCTGTCAACGGACACAGGAAACACAGTTGTAGACCTGCACCAGGCTGCGAAGACTGAATCTGCAATATGTAGGCAGCTTGGTGTGAGGAAATCAACTGTGGGAGCAGTTATCTCCCTCGATCTGGGGCTCCATGAAAGCTCTCACCCCTTGGGGTCAAAATGGTGAGCAAAAATCCCAAAACCACAAGGGGACATAGTGAATGACCTGCAGAAAGTTGGGACCAAAGTAACAAAAGGCTAGCATCAGTAACAAACTACGCCACCAGGGACTCAAATCCTGCAGTGCCAGACGCGTCCCCCTGCTTAAACTAGTACATGTCCAGGGCCGTCCGAAGTTTGCTAGAGTGCATTTGAATGATCCAGAAGAGGATTGGGAGAATGTCATATGGGTCAGATGAAACCAAAATAGAGCTTTTTGGGAAAACTCAACTCGCTGTGTTTGGAGGAGAAGTTGCATCCAAAGAACACCATACTTACTGTGAAGCATGGGGGTGGAAACATCATGCTTTGGGGCTGTTTTTCTGCAAAGGGACCAGGATGACTGATCAGTGTAACGGAAAGAATGAATGGGGCCATGTATTTTGAATGAAGACCTCTTCCATCCACAAGGGCATTGAAGAAACGTGGCTGGGTCTTTCAGCATGACAATGATCCCAAACACCCCGCCCGGGCAACAAAGGAGTGGATTTGAAAGAAGCATTTCAAGGTCTGACTGAAGACTTTTGTCCCTGTGTATAAATTTCACATTTTAAGTAGATTTAGAGATGTATATGGACTTGAACAATAATTCTATTTTTTTATTCTTTTTTTTCTGTGAGTCTCTCCTGCAAAACATCACTTTAGTGTTAAAATTAATTGTTTTATAATGTAACTTTACATTTTTAAGTACTGCAAAATTATTGTATAAAAAGGATTGTTTCTAGGGCTGTCAAAATTATCGTGTTAACGCACGTTAATTAATTTTTTTCATTAATCGCATTAAAAAAATTAACGCATTTGACGCATGCGCGTGTGTAAGATGGGGACAGAGCAGGTAGGCCCTCTGGGAATTCAAGTTTTGAAAGAATACACGCGTGATCGCGGGGCACTTGTAGTTTCCTGTATGAACTCTGCATGATGAGCTGCGGGCGAAGTGGGAACTGGACAGCAGTTCCCACTTCCAGCGGCTGTGATCACGGCGAACGGCGCTGCGTAATGGGATCATATCCAAGACCACGCACAGAGCTATTACAGAACTATTCTCTAGTGTGCGTACGTGTCTTTGCGTAACCGATGCACACAATATGTACAGCGCATAAGCTGGACTGCGGAGCCCCAGTCTCCTCCGTGTCTTCTCCCGAAGCGCACTGGCTAAATTAAAGCTGTGGTACCTAATTTTCCTTTTGAACATCAGTTCATGTTAGTTGTGCCAAAAAAAGTAATGGTGTGAGCAAATCAAACAGATTTAATGACATTCTGCATTTCAGACTATTTTGAAATGTCCCTCATCTGTAACAAACAATGGTTTGGTCTGAGTCTAAACATAAAGACAAAATGTTAATAATGTTAATTCCATTTTATATGGATTTATTGTTATAACAAACAAATACAGTACATATGTTCACTAAGCTGTCATTTATCTTTCCATTCAAACAACAATTTACACAAAAATATGGCATAATTTTGCCAATAGTTTGAAATGTGATTAATTACGATTAATTAATTTTTAAGCTGTAATTAACTCGATTAAAAAATTAATCGTTTGACAGCCCTAATTGTTTCATAACATTTTTTGGGGAAATAAAATACATATATTTTAGGCTATAAAACAAATGTTCTAATTATGCATAATTAGAAACTACGTAGAATTTGACATCTTTCAACTCGTCTATCACCCATTATATATGCTCACATTGTGCAGGCAGTTCTCACTCAGTCCTCCAGCGCAGCCACTTCTGTCTGCGTGACCACAAAATGCTTTACTGCACTTCCCGTACAACAATGCACAAGGCACAATGAACCTTGACCATCTCCAATTGACTCACATTTATTAGTTCTGTGCAGCAAAGGACGCTGCACAGCAGAGTAAGTCTTCCAGATGACTGCTGCTGATAACACAAAGCTATCAAAGAGGTGACATACTTTATCAACATTACATAACAGCGACGCCTCTGACCTTTGCTCCACAACACAAACAAGCCACCACTTTTTGTTTGTAACACTGAGCCAAATAAAAAAACCTGTAACTACTGTTGTCAAAACTGAATACACTGCAGTGAGTAACAGTATATTTTCACTGCTGAACTCTCTGTAGCTGTGGGTGATATGGTATGTGGTGTTTGGGCACTTCTAATCATATTGATATTAGTTATGTTACGGTTTGACATTTTCTGTGTTTTTTTATGCCCCTGTGCTGAATCTGAATTTTCAGGCGCACATCGAGTTCACCAACTAATCTTCGCTAACGTCTGAAATTGAGCAGTTATGCTAAGGCCAACACTTAAGGCATCAATGTTGATGAATGTGCATTGTCCCAACTCAATATATAAATGAAATGATACTTCTGTAATCTACTTGATTGTCCTCATTACCATAACAAATCAATTACAGTCACATCAATACGTTACTACAACTAAAATATGTTACAATGAAAATGTAACATTTAGAGAATTTGGTTGTGATTTCATAACATTTAAATGTGATTATGTTTATAACATTAAGATGGAAAAAAAGCAGGAGTCAGTATTATAGGAGGATATTATAGAAGGTATATTAGGGAGGATTTTCCGGATGGATCATTAAGACTATTGGTCCTCCCACTTGTCAATCATTCTGGTGATGCGTGCTCGTCAAATAAGATCAGAGTTTTGTTTATAAAGTGAAAAGGGCGGTTCTTTCCCAACATTTGGGAAAATCCTCTTATATACCTTTACGTAATACATCGCAAAAGGACATTTTAACTTGACGAGTCCCCTGACTGTCGTGTTTACAACCGAGTACAATAACAAAGCTGATTATGAGTGTAGGGAGCTTACCTTCTTTACGGATCTTCACAGTTTCACTTTGACAGGATTCGGTATCTGCGACGTCCACAGATGAATCTACAAGTGAAAGAAGAAAACAATACTTTTACAGAGGATCCACTGGTTTCACAACAAACTTAAGAGGCCACGCGCTCAGGAGCCATGCTTGCAGCGCAGGGGGCTTGTTAGCATTAGCCCGCTAACGCCAGATCAGCCTTCCTAAATCAACTGGAGCTGTCAAAGCTAACAAACTTACATCTGGGCAATGGATGGGCTTTCGCAGTACACACGCATGCCGATGGCGCAAAACCTGCACCCTACTGTAAATGCGCAGCAGCACGACTGGAGGGCCATCGCATTCACGTTACATGTGCCCGTAGTATTTCTGACAGATAGTTTTCTGCGCTTTGACAGACCCACACGGCAGTGGTGGAGGAGCTTACTCAACTCTCAATCACACAGTTTACCACCACGCACTTCCCTGATACTTGGTTCTCGAAAACAACCATCGCCGCCGCCGTGAACTTACTGTCAACAACATGTAATTGAGCTGCACTGATGAAAGAAGACCAAGGCTGGCACAGGAATGTCTCCGGACTGGGTATTTGGCGAGCCAGTGTCGCCATTGCTCTTCGTTCTTGTTGCTTTGCTGTGCGCGTTCTCTCTCTCCTCGCACGAAAGCGAAAGAACGAGATATGTAGCTGACGTCGTTTTCGTAAAGCGTCGGAGAAGCTCGGCTTTTTCCGGAGTGTTGACAGGTCTGCACGGTCTGCACGGTCTGCACGAACACAAGGGGTCAAGAGTTCACAACGACTTCCAATCCTTGTATGCAGCGTGATTATGGATATTCTTATGTATAATGATCACATGCCGTATTGAACATTAACTTGAATGAGTGAATCAACTATACGGAGACAATATAAAGGGAACGGAGGCTGAGTGGACCCTAACCCCGGGTTCGAATCCCGGTTGGAACAGGGGTATATGCATGTACTCCCCGTGTCTGCAGAGGTTTCCTCTGGGTGCTGTGGATTCTCCTACCATTGAAAACAAGCACACTATATTAGATCCTGCAGCTCCAGTCCTGACCGAACCGAGAATCAACATCTTTGGGCCCCGGGGCGCTGGCAACAGCTGCTCCGGACGTAACCCTAAGTGGCATAAGGATGGGTCAAATGCAAAGTACAAATTACATTTAAAACACTATTAGACTACGTGAGGCATAATTTGCTTTGAGTTGTCCCGGTAAAGGTGCCCCAGTCTGTCCTCCACTATTCTTCTTTCGTTCAGGATATGGATTTTATAAAATATCACTCAATGGGATTCAAATTAATTAAATTTGTATCACAATATTACTGTTTTTGTAATGTAACATTGTTACACATCTTTGACTTAGTTTGAGTTACCAGTCTGACACGTATTTATATTTCTTAGATTTTTGTTTCAAATACCTCCGCTGTTTTAGGACACAGTACTTTCTACTTGTGTCTTACACAATGTTGCATTACAGAGTTACATTAACATCAGGATTAACCTGTAAATGTACATGGAGTATACCACGCAATGATATTCGTTAAGCCCACTGAAGCTGAAGTGTGGCTCTATGCTGACCTCTTGTGGCAGGAAGTATAAACTGCCCCATTCTTTAAAACCCTCCTTAATTGGCTTGAAGTTATTTGACGGTGATTTTTTTTTTTTTTCTGACAATAAATTTGCAGATGCTTACTACTTATCAGTATAGCCAACAACAACACAGATTCAATGTAAGGTATAAACAAGTTGTATTTATTTTTACGAAATTAGAGCTATTGTCTTAAGTTTTGATGTAAAATAATAATACAAAAAACAATGTCGACACAACTGTATAAGCCCGACACAGCTAACACATGATTTTCACAATTCAAAACGTCAGAACGTTGTGGAGGAAAGTAAAACACAGCTGGTTTCTAAAAGAGAACTGTTCGGACAAGTGGCTCATGTGGTTATAATAGATTATGAACTTGAAGAAGACCTACAATCTTCCAATGGTGTTCCATCTAATTCAATATTTATATTTATGATAAATTGTTAATTGCAAAATCCCTGGGTTAGTTTATTTGTGCAGTCTATTCTGCAGTTATTAAGCAATGCAATCCATATCGCATTTTAGAGATACCAATATTGGAACAATTGTTGGATCTCTTGACATGCCACTGATCCTGATTGGACCTTTCACTAATATAACTAATAACTAGCTTCCCCATAGGAACCTCTACAGTCTTGCACTGCCCAGCTTCTGCCAAGCCTCTTACAGTATGTTCTCTTTCTGCAGCATGAATCCTGGATCTATACTTTATCTGTCCATGCTGATCCCTCTCTCTATGGGCCTCCCCAAGGTTTCTAACATTTTTCCTACTGTATTTTTTTTTCTTCTTTTCTTTTTTGAGTCTATCCATGCCAATGCAACAAGAACTGGGATGATCTGAAACATTTGAGGACATTTATAGACATTTATTAACATTGGTCACTACCCTATGGACCAAATAGCTCCTATGTGTTTGTTATCATTGCATTTCCTACGTCTGACTCTCTGATCAGAACTCTGTAAAGTCCTCCGAGATGATTGACGTTGTAATTTAGGGGTATACAAAGAAATACAAAATAATTACATTGAATTGTTTCTGGCGGATATAAATACAGAATGAGTATAGAGCTTTAATTTTCGCTTAGACACAACAATTATCTTTAGCTACACTTGCAGGATAAAATTCAGGTAACACATACTATCACTGCCTCCCTTCACATGGGGTAGAAGTATCGAGATAGTAGAAGCTAGTAGTATCTGGTTTAGGCTGGGGTACCTTATTGTCAAACTACAAAAAGTAGAACTATGTGTTTAAACAATCTACCTTTTTGACAGCTCGCGAGCATTCCCATTTATGATTCTTTTGGTCTCAATTGTTCATTGTTAGAAAATAAAATTATAAGACTGCTCTATCACAGCTCATCAGCTCTAAGACCAAAGTGTCATCACAGGCCACAATGAGTTTGTAAAAGAGATTTTATTTTAATAATACTTGCAGATGACAAGTCTGGTTGATTTTGTTGACACAGGTATGCTCTTTATTGGAGGATAAACTACATGTAGAAATTATGAAACAAAAACAATGGTTCCCAGCTTAAAGGAAAATTGTGTCTTTTAAATTATACACATTATTTATCTGTGTTTATTTAAAATGAAAACATAGGCGGTAAAAGAAAATAGCATTGATTAACAAATGCCACTAGTGAGAAACAATGAAGATGAAATGAAATTAATATTTGGTAAAACTGTTGACCCTAAACAAATAAGAGGAAGAGAAAAGAAATTCTGTGAGGTCATATGAACAACAATCTCAATAATGGCATTACACGATTATTATAAACTTTCATTGTGTGTTCCTACATATTCTGATACATAACAATTCAGTCAAAAGTGTGTGAAAGATGTAAATAAAAAACATACAAAAAAAACACGGATTTACACAACTTTTGTATCACCCATTTTCAAGGCACATTATTTGTCATATCTAATCACTTCACTCATATAAAGGCTGACAAATCCCTGATATTTTTGTCTCTCACAATCATTCATACACTTATTTGTGCACATGTTTTTAATCTATATGTGATCTTATATAGTGGTTCAAAATAATCACTTTTATCCAATTCTTATAAAAACTCTGTAGGCAGTTCAAATCCACCACAATCCCATTATAATGAACACAGCAGACGTTGGATTAGAATGCAGCAGAGTTATGACATCATCATCAACAGTCCCATTTAGTCACCTTCATATTATATGGCTTTGTTCATGCTTTACATCTATGGAGGTTATATAGGCGCTGGGAGCTGCTGGTGTCCATCTCCGGCCTGGGAGAACTTCTGAGAGTGCCAACGGGTCTCTTTATAACAGTACCAAGCATTACCAGCCCACACAAACATGTTCAAGAATCCAAATACCTGCAAAACAAAACAGCACACTTTAACATGCATCTATTTACTTAGTATTGTTGTTTGTGCTTGTAGTAGCATATTATCAATACACACACACACACGTGCACACACACACGTGCACACACACACACACACACAGACACACAAATGAATAGAATTTTACCAAATGATTATTTTATTGAACTTGACTTTCAGATTTTTCTATACAAAATTAGTATGAACTGTAGCAAAAATCAGACTTGTTGACTATTTTTGTTCTAGGTTCAAAGTATATAATAAATTCATTTATATGGCTGTTTTACTGGATAAATTAGCTTTAAAATGCCATAGTTCATATTCACCTATCAATGGTTGTTAAATCCAAATGCTTTTTGAAAACATTTCTAGTTTCACTCTGTTGATTACTCTGAGTCTGCTCAGCATGTTTGACTTTCTGTAAGATTAAAGAAAATATTTACAGAAGTTGTTGACAACTATTTCAATGAATAGTGTTAATTTCAATTAATTAGAGTGTAGTCTGGGATTGAACTGCTAACCTCTGGCTCAGTGGATATTAAAAACCCAACCCGTGTGAAAAATGTGTTGTGTAGCCACATCTGCCCTGGGACTGCTCCTTGTTGTGCTGAGAGGAATGTAACATGGATACATGAGATACTGGACTATTGTCTTTACCACAGAGAAGTTGAGGCCCCTGAGGTTGCCGAAGTCGGTGACTGAGCACGTCACGTTGTTCCCTCTGCACAGAGCTAAAGTGTTGTTGATGCCACGGGAGTTTGTGGCGTCCTTTACGTTCTGCAGACCTTTGGCCCAGGCAGAAGAGCAAACCAACCACAGGATGACCACAGCAGCGGTCACCAAGAAGTCCTGCAGGAACAACGTGTGTGAGAATCATGGTGAAAAAACATTCTGAATTTAAACGCAAATGAATAGATAGTTCTTATACCTGTCAGATTGATCTGTCCAGGTACTTTAGTTCATATTACATTGCTTACTTGTTTAATAGGTTTTTATTCATTTACTCTGTGTGTTTTGTAGATATTAATCCTATTTACCTGTTTTTCCTATTTTGTCATCCTAATAAATTATTATTTTAGTTACCATTTTAACATCTTGGTTATTTTGTTTCTTCCTTACACCTAAGCTGAGCCAGGTCGTAACACCAGGTATAAGAATTTATGAATGAATTAATGAGTTCTTATACCTGGACAGATTTAATCACATTTAACAGGTTTTCTGGTTACCTGCTTTAGTTTTAGTCTTTTTTTCTATTTTCAAGGATTTTATGTTCATATTCATGCACAGGATCAGTGCCTCTGAAAAGACAACCTTGTAACTTTAAATATGAATTTACACATGAGATTGTTAAAACACATAGGAGAATTTTCTACCTCCGAGTGGATCATCAAGACTATTGGTCCTCCCAATTGTCAATCATTCTGTTGATACGTGCTCGTCAAACAAGGTCAGAGAGTTTTGTTAATTAATGGAGAGGACAGTTCTTTCCTAAAAAATGGAGAAATCCTCCTATATACCTTTAATGATCAGGGATATGTAGGCCATACTAGCTTGACAAAGGCTGTACTTGGAACACCTCAGAAACTAACCAGGGTGAGGTTAGTACTTGATTCTAATTTGCAACCTTTCTGTCTGATCATATATTTTAGTAAAACGTGGAGGGACACACACATTCAAACCAGCAATACTACATTTTTTCACATGTAAATATATCTATAATCCAAGTGAGTCTTTCTGAATAAATATTAGTTATCTACACTTTACACAGCGTTATTCTGTCACGCACAAACTGTCGATAAACTATGAGCCACAGCTGCCCTGGGGCAAACTGACTTATACTGTATGAGCACGTAACATTTGTGTCAGAATGATGACTTGCATGAATGTTTTCTGAGTTGTACATGAGCCGTGTTGTAATTGCGACTTACAAAAATGGGTCCAAAGTCGGAGTTCTTGTAGACGTGCATGTATCCCAAATAGACCAGCAGAGCAGCCATACTGTACAGGAAACACACAACACCGGTCCCAACGAAGAACTCTGAGGCTGAGGCTGCATCCCCAACTAGATATGTGATGGACACGGAGCGGTTACAAATACTGGTGTTGGAGGAGACCAAGGGGAACTGGGCCAGCCTGCACAGGAGACAGGACACAACATATGGTGTGGCGTCATAGTCGTACTCACTCATTTCCTCAGTGAAATATTTTACAGTACAGTTATTCTTGAGAAAAATCATTGTTTTATCTGGATACAAAGGAGTCTCAAAAGATTTACAATTTATCTACAGAATCTATTGATATAGATGGACAAGGATCATTAGGAAGACTTTTTTACTTTTCAATTTAATTCAATTCCATTTATATTTCCCTCCATCCATCCATTTTCTTCCCCTTAATCCATTTCTGGGTCAGGGGGGTGGCAGTCAGACCTGCACCCAGTACACATAGCACCAGCTCTAAATTGGAGGACTTCACAAATTACTCAATTCCTCAACAACAGATCAGAAAATCACACACTTTTTAAAATTAAAATTTCCGGTCAATCTTTTTCAATGACATCAGATGTTATGTTACGTCCCCAGATATTGCAGTGTTTAACATCATCGCGTCATTACGTCCTCTGAATGTAAATCACCCATCATGATTTTGCGCTCACCTAAAGGGGTAATGGAAGTTAGCAGTGAGCGTCTCGTTCCTCCCATCTCCACATAAGAGAGTGACGATATTGGCTCCAGAGAAACCACCAACGCTTCCAAAGGCAAAGATGGCTGTGAGCTGTTTGGACAGACAAGAGTTAGTTCGGTGAGGCAAAGCACACATTACATTAACCATTAGGGATTTTGTTGAAAATCTCTCAAACATACTGAAAACGTTGAAATCACCAAGAACACTGCAATAAATACTACTGTATGTCAGCAGAAAAATTGCCCACAAGGCCCACACACGAGGCAGGACCAAGACCTGCAATGCAAAATGGAATCTACTATAATCAGAATCAGAATGGATTTACAGTAACTATTTATATTTGTGAAAAGTGTTTTGATAATGCTTAATAGGTTGCATTTGTGTTATATCCCAACATTCCCAACATATTGATATTGTTTACATGTTTATAGTTAACTGGTATTTTATTGTTTTTATTAAATTTGTATTATTTTTACTTTGTGCATATTTAAATGTGTTGATTTTATTTCTGTGCGGCACTTTGGAAACTTGCTTTATAAAATGTGCTATATAAATAAAGTGGATTGGATTCCAAAGAGCCTTTATATTGAAATTGTGATGGGGGCCAGCTGAAATATCTCACCTGGTAACTACTGTATGGTAACTTTCTTAGAGCTATTTCCTCTGTAATTCCTCAGCCAATTGTTATGAAACAAGTCAAATATGGCTCAATCATATTCCCATAAATGTGTCTAGAAATGGTGACAATATTCAAAAACGTATGCTTGATGTTGAAAAGTCAAAAGGACTTTCAGACATGGGAAAAATATGGGAGCTTTGTGAATCTAGTCATTTTATAGTGATCAAATTCACAAATATGCCAAATGATCTGGGGGAAAATATGGAGATTTTCTATTTCAACATTACTTTAAAAATACGCTTCTATCCTGTAGAGTTGAATTGGCTCATGCCCTCCTACTGAAGTACAATTCTACACATGACTGCAACCTCCTGTTTGTTTAGTGTGTGTACTTCCAGTTTGCCACAAAACATTAACATTGAATTTCCCCTGTGAACGTATTGTCTTAAGTAATATTTTAACGTTCTATTCGCAATGAATGATGATGCATCTCCCAAAATACCCTTTTTACGTAGTTGTAAATGTGCGTTTGTGTGATGTGACATTGATATACAGCTTTGAAACTAACTTAATAAGTTAGACAGGGTCATTATAAACTTGGACATGTTTTTCTATTCTTTCTGGGGCTGCAGTGAATATGGCACACACTCCTGCCTGTTAGTTCTGCATGAAGAAGTCTTTCACACATTCTTGTCTCAGTCTCATGTCTGCCCATCATCACATGCTTTTTAATCCCATATCACCACTGCATTTTTTTCTTCTGAGGCTGTTTTAGGTCATCATTTCACAACTATTCAACAAATTGTTATAAACTCCTACACAGTTTGTAAATTTGTGCGAGACACCAAACCAACCACAGTTCCTTACATCCTGTCACATCAGCATTACCACAGTTACAGGACAGCACAGAAAAGGCTCACTGTAGCAGGAGGTTAGCTGTTATCCCAACGCCACAGAAACCACAGCAACACACAGCCTCAGGCCTCTTCCAGATGTGGGGCCAGATGTCACTTCCTGCTCTTCAGCCCATGCGCCACTGTACTTCACCTTCTTCAAGTTTCACACCACGAGGCACTTTAGCCCCAAACTAAAAAGTACCCTGCGTATTATAAAGAATGTTCTCATCCAGCCATTTTGAACAGCGGTCCTCTTGTTTGAAATACTAGCACTAAAACATGCATGGGAACATGTGGTGTTGGCGGGACGAACTCCGCCAACACCACAAATCATCTAGAATTTTGAATGAGGGTTTTCTACTGTCACATCCAATCTGCAAACCAGACCAATCTGTCCATTCGCTCTTGCAAAATCCTTCCAACACACGCAAACACGAACAAAAACACACACCCTCCTACACCAACACACACACACACAGAACATTTTGATTCTTGTTAGTCTCAAGCAAGAGACTACTTTTTCAGGGGTCCATTACTATTATTTCAATACACGCAAGTGCAGGGCCAGGATGTCCCTTCCACGTCAAGTGACCCTATTTATGTCGATTTTCATATCTTTGTGTCAAATCATGTTCTTCGCACGTCACACACTCCATATACAGCACACAATATTTACTTCACAGGAGCCTTAGGAACGTGAGTAAAGTATAATTCAATTGAATACTAATACAAATGTTGCAATCTATTGATACAAAAAATGTTCCAAAAATGTAAATTGAAGCAATCCGTGTTTGGTGCTCAAGCTATAATCAAGCTGAAGTTTCCCCACTGAACACGAGCTGAAGTTTCCCCACTGTGGTACAAATGAAGAATCTCTTAATCTTAATCTTAATCTAGTTTTATTTAACAAACAAGTTGATTTTGCCTTAATCCAAACTTTTGAGGATTGATTCCCATTGCATGTTTTGCATGATTAAACTATTAGACAATGGAAAGACAATTTGCAAAGATAGTGACCCCTACATTTGCTTTTTCAAATGCCTTGAGCAAAATCCTACTAACAATCCTGTGATGTATCATGAGGTCAGTGAGTCCTGCTGACGTCCAAAAGGAAGTGTCCACTCAATGCAGGGTCCACACTTCCACAGAAGTAGGAACAGGGCATCCTCTCCTTCAGGTTACAAAAACAAACATGCTGGATAAGATCGAAACCTTTAAAGTATAAAGCCTACATACCAGCACAGCCCATCCTTCCTGTTTACAACTGACCACTAGATATTAATCACTGAAGCACTGAAAAAATAACTGTGATACCATCATAGGCAATACGTAGCATAAAAGGAATTAAATTGTACCTAATCTTTTGCGACTAGAATGATTTCTAAGTTTTTATCTAATCCATGCTATGGACATACAAAGGGTCAATGGTGGTAATTGGGCCAAACGGAGCAGATAGGTTGCTGTTGTCAACTTGCCCATAGCAGATTCCATCACAAAAATAGGGTTGGATACACAGAAAATAGATACGCGCGCACACACACATGCACACGCACACACAGCCTTGTTTCACATGTAGTCAGATGATCCGTGTTTAGCTCTAATTCCTTGTGAGTCCATTGTGAGAAAACAATTGAAGAAAACGGCATTACCGATGATGGCCGGATATAACCTGCATAAATCATCTGTAATGTTGTGTAAATGTATATATGAGTAACCGACATGTTAAACGGTTATTCGGTGGTAAATAATTGTTGAAGGACGTAATGTCTAACCTCATGCCCTCTAAAAAGCAGACTGGTGGAACTATTCCCACTGTTTTAACGTCTACCCACAAAAGGGAATTTTAAGACTAAAGTTCCCAAGTATCACTTTCATCATGGCCCCATCGCAAACTTGATATTGTGAGCACAGGGGCTGCAGGCAATGTACATTCTCGATTGAAGAAAAGTAAAGCTATCGCTGCTTTAAGGAAGGAAAGTAAATGAACGTTTCGCTTTTTACGCACGCTTTACGCACAGCCTTTGGTGGCTTTTCTGCAAAGTTGATCTTTGTCATCTGTGCAAAAATTACATCTAAGGACCACGCCTTCCCACGCAATATCATATAATATAACTTACCCATTCCACAACTTTGACAAAGCCCAGAGGTTCCTTCAAGGGCGTAAAATTGAGCCGGAATCCAGTCATCATGGTTAAAGCAGCGGGTTCAGCTCTTTATCCGCTCAAGTGTGGATGTTGGTCCAGCGAGGGGAAAGTGGGAGTTGTTTGACTGTGACGTGGGTTACTTTCCACACTGTAAAAAATCAAACCCGCTTGTCTCAACATTCAAGGCGACATAGATGTCACCAAAGCGCTTTCGGCGCAGAAACAGTCAGGAAGCGCAAAAAAGAAGAAATGACGTCTGCAAATCCTTTAAATAGAGCATTAGTTTTTAAGTCACAAATTGAATAAAACAATACTGTTTTTTTATTTAAAAAAGCTGCAAGCAGAGATGAACGGCCTTCGCCAAACTGCGGAAAAGGGGGCGATGCTGCACTGACTCTCCTTGAGGGTATTTCACCCCCTGCTGGTTGTGAGACGCTATCACGCCCCTTAGTTTTAATGATTTTTAATAATGCATTGGTTTCACATAGTGCTTTTCAGGACACTCAAAGACGCTTTACATGTCTTTATTCATTCAGTCCAAACACGTTTGGTGGTAAACAACAGTAGCCACAGCTGCCCTGAGGCACAATGACAGAAGCAGCCAGTACAGTATGTGCTATCGCCCCCTTCGACCACCAGCAACCATTCACTCGCACCAGTTATTCGAGGCAATGTGGGTGAAGTGTCTTGCCTAAGGAAACAACAACAGTTTGGCACTTTACAGCCATAGGCGTCCCACTGTGGCACCTTGTGATCCCGGTGGTCCACCATCAGACTTTACTATTTATATGTCATCTTAAATTGACCAAACACATGATGACATAGACTGCCAGGCTTTATGACATGGAAGTGTTCTCATACTTTTATTTTTATTTATTTATTTATTTGATCAGGACAACACACATTCATGAACAATCATATACAAGTTGTTCACAAATTTTAAATGTGCCAGATTGTAGCAAAACTTCTAATTTACATCCATAGTCCTGAGGCAGGTCACACAACAATAATAATACAAAAGGACAATATACAACTATAGAAATTACAGTTAGTTAAAATGATTGCAGGACTGATTTACTTTAAAATGGTGTTTTAGTTGTTTTTTAAAATAGCTATATGTTGGGTATTCTCTTATGTCTGTAGGAAGGTTGTTCCAAGACTGACCTCCTCTGACTCACAGCACAGTTTGTCCAAATGTAGTTTTTCTGTGTGGGATCTCCACATCTCCTCTAGAGGACGCTCTGGTGCGGAGGCCTGTGACTGATTTGCCTTTAATGAAGTTTGAGAGTGGGGGCAGGGCAAGACCATGCTTTGTAAACAAGGCAACAGTTTTTAAAATGTATACAGTTTCAGAAATTGAGCATTTTGTGTTTCTCCAGGATATTGCAATGATGATATGGCCAAGGCTTTTGATCCAGAATTTTAATGGACTTTTTGAAGAGGGTTTCTATGGATTTGATATGTGTTTGTCCAGTGAGCGCTATACTGCTGTGTCGCACATACTGTACGTCTGAATACAGTTTGCATATGAGCTGTTAATGGGATATGAGGTTAGTGAGATTATATATATATATATAGTACATATGTAACAGTATTTCTTACTGGAATGGAAATGCTGTATATTCTTATAAGAATATTAAAGACTTGAAAATGTTATGATACGACTTTTATTGTGGTTACTTTTAGTAAAAACACTCACACTGTCACACAATGGAGTAGACTTGTTCAGTTTCAGAAGCAGATAGCTATTTTCTGTCTCATAAGTTGCATGTGACTCGTTCTATAATGACCTTGATTATTTTGAATTCAATTAGAAACAAAGTGAGAACTGCCTCGAGTTCCTTTGATTTGAACTAGTTTGATAAAATTTACATTTTGTTTCTGCTCATGAAAACAATACAGGCCATGTGAGCGAAGTGTCTTGCCTAAAACACAAAGTTCACACTTTAACAGTTTAGAGTCACAGCCGTCCCTCTGTGACAAAGGGTAATCCCATAAAAAATAAATAAAAAACCTTTCCATAAAATGTAATGCTTTGTAAAGTCCTCCAGTGGATCCATCCTGATTCCAGGGGTGGTCTGTTTGCCGAGGCTGCAGTAAAAGTAGCTCATCACAGGTTCTCTGGGTCATGTGTCTCTACATAGGTCTGTTATAAAACCACACACCATATTCTCCAACTCAAAGACACAAGACAGTCCCCAGGCCCCTGAGGGCCAACGTCACCATCCCATTGTGTGCAGAACAGGCTCTGTGTAAACTGAGTAGGGTTATATTAAGAAAGCAAAAGAGACACAAACTCACTTTTACGTTTACTTTTTAGTCAAATAAAAATGTCTGAGCCACAAAAATTAGATACAACCTCAAATGAAAATAATCTCAGGCATTTTAAAGGATAATAAGGTTGTAATTAAAAATGCAATCATTATTTTTTATCATTTATGATGGTGCAATTCAGGCAGGATATTACAAACAAAATAATCTAAACTTTTTTTGTTGTCAATGCATTGAAGTCTTTTAATTAAAAAATAAAATAAAAAATGTGTTTGATCTTTAAGGCGGATATATATTGCAATAGGCTGCAAATGAGAGTAAGGAGTAGTATACTGAATTCTGAAGTATATGTAGTGTTTGGTTTGTACCATGTAACGAAATACATTATAAAGCAGGTATTGGGTGTAAAAAAAAACTATTTACAAAGCATTCAACGCAACACTCTCTAATAAAATGGTAATTATCCTATCAGATCTAGTCATACACATTCAGTCAACATTCATTAAACAGAACAAAACAACTCGAGCCATTTAAAACTGAAAGTCTTTTAATCATCCTTAAATCTTAGTTAAAATATCAGTTGTGTTTGGGGCAATCAATTTGGGACAACCAACATATACATACGAGTTAACAACAATGACATAAAGGAAAAACACATTATTCACAAGCGTCTCATCGACTACAAGGCATTCATTCACACACAAAGACTAACTTCGGTCACTCGTTCAGCCAAGCACGTTTGGATATTATTTGAATACAAAACGGGTCAATCCGACAAAAATAATGATACAATTTCTACTACTGTTTTCTCCTCTACTATACTCTGCCATCGTCCACTTGAGTCAAACCCACTGTCATAAACATACACAGAGAAAAGGCAGTATGGCCACATCATTTGTAAATAATCATAGCTACTGCAATGTTTCTGGCGTTTGTTTTCCCCCATTGTTGTACAAAATAAGGTTTCTCTCAACACGGTATCAAAATATTTCAAAGGAAAAAGTCACTTAACAGAAGACTAGAATTCAAACCATTTAGCTTTTGAAAAAGAACGGAGCAACTGCTGACTGGTTAAGAGTGAATGGACTTGTAGAACAAAAAGAATAAAAATAATTGGAGAAAATGACATTACAGAACATTTCAGGCACGTGGGTTGTGGCAAAGTATATTATTCAGTAGTACAGGAGAAAGAAAAGCATGAGCACATTTCTTACATAATCAATATTGATGAACTGTGTAAATATAGTTTCAATTCTCATAGTGCTGAAATAATCATTATGTCAATTTGTGTTTATATAAAACGCAAACAAAAATATAACAAAATGCTTGGATATCCCTAATTATATTGAATTTAAATACAAGCTTGAATGGGACCAAATGAGAATAAAAATAATTTGCATTCAAAACTTTACTCTAGCGTATAAAAAAAAGTAATTTAAAAGCTGGGGTACCTACATTTTCAGATTATTTTTGTCCCTAGAGAGTAAAATGTAAACTAGCAGACCACAACATTCTTCAGTTTGTCAGAAAATAAGTTTCCTTTTGCATACTTGGTCCTCTATATCTGTCTGAAAAAGCTGAATTTAAGATATGATAGGGGCCAAACAATGGATGTGTATGAAACTAGAGGTAGGACTATTTCAGAGCGAGGAACTAGTTACATAGATTGAATAACCCCAGCTTTAATATTACAATTTGAAAATGGTGACAACACAACATAGACATGTATGAACAACACATGTATTCATTCTCTGCCCGTTTCATTCTGTAATTCCACATTGTTTCACATGAGTCTATACTGGAAGAATGACACCAAAACAATTGCAACAATTTTACAACATGATCCAAGACGCCATCATGTGCCGTCTCTCGTCAAACAAATCAAAGGCTGATTAAATAAAAACCAACATTTCCCAAAAATCTCAAAAAACACACATAGTTTGCATAAAGGAAGAAAAGACCTGCAATCGTGGTCGTCACACAAACATGGGTCCGGTCAAAGTCAAAACCACCAAAAACAAATTCTTCATACCTGGTGCCGTTTGAATTATCTTAAAAAACACAGCTGCCCTAAACCTTTGCTTAATAATACCCTTACATCATTTCTGTCTGATACAGAGGGTGCTTATAGCAACATGAACCCCCAACAAGCTTTCTGGCTGCACTAAATATTAAAAAGTAAAATAAAGAGATTTATCTTGAGAAAATTTAAAACCACTTTTTTGGCAGCTTTCAACAAATATAATCAGAGAGATAACTGCCCACTCTGAGATGTCCCAAAAGTAAACTTATTTGTGGATCTTGGCAGAGTTTGATCGTGACTAGATTTAGGAATGTAATTATGAAAGGGGCGATAATAAACATGCGTCAATTTACAGCTATAATTTTGTTTACAAGTCTAGTCTTATAGCTTTGTATAGAACGGTCTTCTCACTTAGGATAAGAACTCTTAAGAATTGTGGATGCCTGTATCTTTATATGTGTGTATGTTTATATGACATACTTATAATCATACAAATATTTACTTTTTGTGTACTTCCATGTCCCAAATAAATCTTATAGTGAAAATGGAATTATTGAAATTTAACATCTTTGTACATATTTGTATCTTTACTAAACTGATCCTTTTAAGTAAATAAATAGATTTTTAGAACACTGGATTTGTATTGTTTATGGGTTGGTACCATTATTGTGTGTGTGTGTGTGTGTGTGTGTGTGTGTGTGTGTGTGTGTGTGTGTGTGTGTGTGTGTACTTTCTAAGGATACATAAAGAATTGGATATATTCATCTATGTGTGAAATTCAAAAGGTCATCACAATTGGTTTGAAGAAAATAATACTTGGGTACGTTGGGTTTTCATGTGTCTATACCGTGGATAACATGACAAACATTATCAGTATAGTTTGTACAGATGAGTGAATAACGTTGGTTTGGGTGGAAGTGAAAAAACAGGTAGTACATAATAACATAAGGCCTTCTTCAATGGACGCCAAAGCTAATGTTCAGTTACGACATGGCTTCATTTTCTAATCTTATCATTGGAAGTGTACATATGACCGGACAGTGAATGTTATAGTTGCACCAATATACAGTGTATACCACCGACATGTATGTTTCTAAAACTGTACACAACACAACAGTAATGATCATTGGTGTAGTAGATGTGGCTTCATTTGACTCTTTCACTCACCCCAAAACCTTCCCGGCCGACGAAGGCCGAGAAGCTGCCAAACAAAGGCTCATTCAAATCATCGTACGCAAAAAGGTGCCATCACATGACAGAAACACAATCGACAAAAACAGCAGCCATCTCACACAATGCAATGTGCGAGCCGTTCAGTGCAGCATGTCGCATATGGCAAAACTACTTAATTTATGGTCTTTTCCGGGATCTGAAAAAAATAAAATGTTCCGTATCCGAATCAATCACACAACTCTCTCACGCTGGTGGGATGCACGATGTAACTTTTCTGGTTAACGGGTCACTTGTCTGTAGGAACATGGATTGGAAGAATACTTCTGTAGAGCAACCTGACATATGGTCCAGTCAGAGTACAGGTTGTGTTCATGTGACGTCACGACCTTCCAAAGAGCCGATAGTTTAATATTGTGGTGGAGGGCAGTTACTAATAAATCTGGTCTTATAGTATTAGATCAGAGCCATTTTCTCTGTAATTCCAATCCACATCTTATTTGTCAGTACCTCAAATATGGTCTCATTATTTTCTTACATTAAGTGCCTATAAGTGGTGACGATATTCACAAAATGCCTGACCGTGGCCGTTAGTGTTTGGGCACACACACTTTCAGTAGATTACATGCTCATAAGATGGAAATCGTGCATCGAATCAATGTAAAATGTTTAAACCAGGGGTGTCAAACTATTTTTTTGTCTGGCGGGGGAATAAAAAAATAAAAAAACAGGTCAGGAGATGAAAGAATAGAGAGGATTTATGAAGTTATATTTGACATGACTTATATCTTTCACTACTTTTTTATGGTTGATTTTTTTTTTTTTTATAAACAAAATGTGTTTATGATTTTTATTTAACCAAAACTGAACACATACAACAACTTCTTGACTTCTAATGTGATGGGTGTTTGAAAAATAAAACATGTTTTCTTGATAAAATTACCATTAATACAGCAAGTTAATAATAATATTTGCAAAATCATTTTAGGAGCCACTAAAAACTGTCTCGCGTGCCGGATTTGGCCCATGAGCCCGAGTTTGACATTCCTGGTTTTGAAATGTTCTAGTTTATGATTGCTTTCCAATAATGAGTTGTATTAGCACCTGCCCTTCAGCTAAAGCACAAATCCTCACATGAACACAACCTATAGTGTACTGAACATGTAGAACACTTTCTTGAGGATCCTTATAGTACACATGCCTAAAAAAAACATATCAGCCTGTATCTATTGCTGGTATCATAAACAAAAACCAAAATAAAAAAGTAACTGTACCAAAATACAATATTTTCTCGAAGCGACCCCCAAACACTGGCCGTGAAACGCACAGAGAAGTTACATAGTGCACCTTTAAATATCTCTTTACATATTTTAGGGGAATCAATAATATTTTGGGACCAAGGGTTGTGTCCCGGTAAGTTTAAGGGCGTCGACATGACCAAAGGGAGTGTGGGAGTTATCTCAGCAGTGCGCACTACCCTCTTTTGAATGAGCATCAGGGATAGGATCTTCTTCAGGACAAAGTGGTGTTTTGGAGCTTACTGCAGCTCTTCAAGCTCACTCTCTTTGAGCTTTGCATTGTCTCTGACTTCATCAAACGTGTACGTCTTCACAATCTTCCCGTTCTGGAAGACAGTGTGTAGAACATCCTGCACACAAACAAGAGGAAATGGTATTGAATGGATTGAATCTGTTTGGAAAATGTTTGTAGAGATGTATGTTGCTGAACTCACCACCCCGTACTCCTCCATCTCGCCCTTGCCCTCCTCCAGAGTCACGTAGTCGCCGCTCTGTGTCCGGTGCAGAGAAAGACGTCCTTTCTTAGAGCGTTTATTCGGGTCTGCGACAGGGTCTTTGAAAACGTTCACCTGAAATGCAACAAAATATTTCATTTTGGATATTGTTTTGGTCAATGAGTCTATACTGGATCTACTGTCATTGATCATGATTGGCCAATAGCGGGAAAAAGCCTACAATCTGTGATAAAAAGGGCATAACACATTCTTGCCTTTTGAAATTCACTTTAAATTCATTAACAATCATCAAGCACAAACACATGCATGATTTTTCACCTCTCTCGGACAATAAACCGCCAGCTTCACTCTGACAGTCTGCTATGAGTTTACATGACATTTGCTTTACTCAATTTGATCTGTTATTTGCGGGTGTCTGGTGACTTAGCGGTGTCTGGTGGTTAGTAAGTTGGGTTAACGTTACTACAGCGGCACATTTCTGCATCTATAAAGACCATGATAGAGATTTTATACTTGTTCTTTAATGCTAGAGTTAGAGATTTTGTTTTATTTTAATTAGTACAGCTATAGCTCACATATCTTGCGCTGTGTGCTCCTCATTCCTCCTGTTCTATAACTTGTGATGCAACACTGAAATTTCCCCGTTGTGGGACAAATAAGGGATCTCTTAATCTTTTTTAATCTTGAGTGACGTACCCCCAGTCCATTTGTGACCACATAACTGCATTTGAACGAACAGTTGAGAAGGTCTCTTGTGAGTTTCTGTAAAAGAGCTCCTCCTGATCCAAATGCAATGTTCTCAATGGACCACCGATGTTGCTTCATGCCCTCCACTATCTGGAAAAACAAAACAAAATGGTTACTTTAGGATAAAGGTGAACACAATTGGTTTAGTCCTGCTCAAATGTTGAACCTGAAACAATGTTGGAGTATAATTATATATTAATCAAGCACCTTTCCTACACAGGGCAACACAACACGCCTCCCAGTCCACATCACACAAGGCACAAATCATCACATAAAACACCAAAAGCACCATATTGACATTTAACTTCTCTCCAAGATCGAAGAATCTCAAAAATTGTGAGTGGCAATGATCAATTGATAAAAATATACTTTTAACCTGCAATCAAAATAGTTACATTTATTGCCATTGTAATAACCAGGACAACATAGACAAAGAATTAGCTTTGGCATTTGGTGCAAAAAAGTAGATTTTATTATTTCCCAATGTAATGTACATGCAATGGAGACCATACAGTATTCCTCACCTCTTGCAGAGTGTTGATATCTACGCCATCGCCCTGAATGACCCTGATGTAAGGAGGCAGAACCTTATAACCTTTGGAGTTTTCTTCTGGAGTAAACTTCTTACCGAGGATCTCCAAAACCTACAACAAAAACAGACACATGTAATACCATGTAATTGCTGATTATACACCACCAACATGTACATAATCTAAACTTGTACGTTTTCTTCTAATCAATGAAGCATAAAAGGTTTGAGTAAAATGATCTGTAATCTGTGTGTGGTAGACTTGGCCATGAAGACATGGCGTGCCCCTTATCAGCTGCTCCGGATGTGGTCAGTCTGAAGGATCAGACAGATCCATCAGACGGACACGCCCCCTCAGCGCTATGACACATGTCATTTATGATCAAAGGTTCATAGTTTATATCCTTCACTTTCTGATTCAAAAGAAAACAAAGTTTATAAAAACAATCTAACACAAATAATAATAATAATAATAATAATAATGCTATATTTAAATGATCTAGTTTCTTATTTATAGATGTATTTAAACCATAATTTCATTATATATTAGGGGTGTGACTTTCACCCGCGATTCGATTATTGATATGCATTTGCCAAGTATCAATATCGATTTTGAAAAAAAAAAAAAGTTGTTTACAATTTTTTTTTTTGAACTGGTATCAATACTTAATATATGGCTACATTACGCATCTCCATTCTATTTATCATGAAATAAAGAGTATTTTTTCTTTTATTTATGCCATATATTGGCATATTGTATATTTCGGACCAATATATTGGGATAATATCGTTATCGTGAGCTTTGTATCGTGTATCGTATCGTATCGTGAGGTACCCTTAGGTTCCCACCCCTATTATATATTATCACATATTTCATACATCACTGGGGGCGACAGTGGCTCAGGTAGTTGAGCATTGACCTATGAGCCTGAAGGTCATGGGTTTGAGCCCATCAAAGGAATTTCTCAATCAAGCCCCACTGATGTCTGCTGTCGTTGTGTCCTTTGGCAAGACACTTCACCCCCATTGCCTAGAATGAGTCTGGTGTGTGTGCGAATGGTTGATGGTCGTCAGAAGGGCCGATGGCAGATACTGGTTGCCTCTCTTATGTCAGTGTGCCCCAGGGCAGCTGTGGCTAGAGTAGTAGTTTATCACCATTGTGTATGGAGTGAAAGAATAATGACATGTAAAGCATCTTTGAGTGTCCAAAAAAGTGCTAAAACCAATGCATTATTATTATTATATAATTATATAAGCTAGTGCTGTTCAGATTTTCAGATTTCTATTCTACCCAAGTTTTGTTATGTATCAGAAGCACTCTGATTTTTATACACGTAGTATGAATTGAACACAAATCTTATTATTATTATATGTCAGAACTATGAGCAACTGAATCCAAAAATGGTTATCTGGGATCAATACAGCCAATGCTTAGACTGCATCAGAATTCATGAAGAAAACCTCATTCCTTATTTTTCTTAATCCTTTTTACTGCCCTTGGAGTGGTGATAAAAACTCTGACATTTCATTTGACCAAACCTGGAACTAGACTTCATAAAACTTGAAAGACAAAGAAGAACAAAGCAACAGGTGATTGTGATGAATTGGGACGCAGTCTTTTTCCAGTGAAAGCTCACCTTTAGAACAGTGTCCAGGGGGTTTCCTGAGTCAGGCCGGACCACCAGAGGGGCATCTGCGCTGCGGCACACGATGAGGCTCCTGAGGTCCTCCCCCCAGATCTTCTCACAGGCGTTGTAGATGTCGTAGCTGTCACTGACGATGGACACTGGGACGCTGGGGAACTGCTTGATGATGTGTTCAAAGGCGTCTCTTTCATGGTCTTTGCCCCACGCTGTGATCGTACTGCAGGGTCACAGGGAAATTTAAATTTAAATTTATTCTTTAGAAGTGTTTTTTATTCTTATTTTTATTATCTCTTTTTGACTGTTGCACTGAGCCAAAGCAATTTCCTAGTCTGTGACCTCCTGTAGGTGGATCACTGACTTCCTGACGGACAGGAAGCAGCGAGTGCGTCTGGGGAAGAATGTCTCGGACTCTCGGATTATAAATACAGGAGCCCCACAGGGCTGTGTTCTTTCTCCCCTGCTCTTCTCCCTGTACACCAACCACTGCACCTCCAGCCACGACTCCGTGAAGCTGATCAAGTTCGCGGACGACACCACCCTCATTGGACTCATCTCCAACAACGATGAGTCCGCCTACAGGAGGGAGGTGGACCGGCTGGTGTCCTGGTGCAGTGGTAACAACCTGGAGCTGAACGCCCAGAAGACAGTGGAGATGATTGTGGACTTCAGGAAGAGCACTGTCCCCCCGCCCCCACCCTCCGTGATGGACTCCCCCATCACCTCTGTGGAGTCCTTCCGTTTCCTGGGCACCACCATCACCCAGGACCTCAAGTGGGAGCCGACCATCAGCTCCCTCATCAAGAAGGCCCAGCAGAGGATGTACTTCCTGCGGCAGCTCAGGAAAGCCAAGCTGCCTGCACAGATGTTGGTGCAGTTCTACACGGCCATCATCGAGTCCATCCTCACCTCCTCCGTCACCGTGTGGTTCGCTGGAGCCACAGTCAGGGACAAACAGAGACTACAGCGCATTGTGCGCTCTGCAGAGGAAGTGATCGGCCGCAGCCTTCCATCGCTGCAGGACCTGTACGTCGCCCGAGCTCGAGGCCGGGCTGGTCGTATCACAGCCGACCCCTCTCACCCTGCACATGGACTATTCCAACTAGGGATGTAAAAAACTATGAATTTTCATGACCGACCACCGAGCCTCATTAACCGGTTGAAACCGGTTAACCGCGTAGTTTAAAATAGTCCACGTTCTTTGAAATAACGGCCATTTCGAGCCGCGTACTTTTCATAAGTGCAGCTCTGCGTTCTACTGGATCAGAGCCGAGACAGCGGCGCCCAAACCCGCAACAGCTCCGGCACCTTTGCGCACAGAGAACTGCTTTTTTAATCTTCCCATTCTGCTGTGCTGCGGGTTAATACCAAAACTTTCTAGCAGCAAACGACGGCTCGTTCACATGGTCAGAGCAGCGAGTGACGAGCCGCGTCTCACAGGTCTTCACAAAAGTTTAAATACAAGTGATGTGTGTGGAGCTGATCCCGAGGACCATAAACACAAACATGGTCCATGTGGTTTGACTCAAGCCGTGTGTTTGCGCGAATCCTTTGGGCTCCGTGACACAGAGGAGCGCGACAGACCGGTATGTGTGTGTGTATGTGTGTGTGTATGTATGTGTGTATGTGTGTGTGTATGTGTGTGTGTGTGTATGTATGTGTGTATGTATGTAAATGTAAGCTCCAATGTAGTTCTGACCCGCGCCAGTGTGCAACTTTGACGGTAACAGAGGGGAGAGATGATGCGTGTGGATGTTACGTATGGAGAGGGGGAAAGTGTGTGTGTGCGCGCGCGCGTGCGTGTGCATATGTGGCTCGTGCGGCGTGAGAGTCGTCCCGGAGTTTATAATACATGGGCGCACACAGCTAGATACGGACCCGCTCGTCACACCGTGCAAATAGGGCTTAAAATAGCGTTATGAAGAGACCTCCCCTCTCCCCTTTTTCTTTTTTTTAACCGACAGCTTTGACCGGTTAACGCTGTGACGGTCAACCACCGGTTAACCGGTCGCCGATTTACATCCCTAATTCCAACCACTCCCCTCAGGCAGGAGGCTGCGGTCCATCAGGACTAGAACCTCCCGCCACAAGAACAGTTTCTTCCCCTCTGCTGTTGGACTCTTGAACACTTCTTAACCTGTCCCCCCGCCCTTTATAAAGTCACTTTACTGCCCATCATACGTCACTTTACTTCACTGTACTGCTGTCACCTTACATTGTGTGCACCATGTGCACTTGTATATTGTAAATAGTAACTGTAACTCTATTTTAAATTTAAATTTATTCTTTAGAAGTGTTTTTTATTCTTATTTTTATTATCTCTTTTTGACTGTTGCACTGAGCCAAAGCAATTTCCTAGTCTGTGACCTCCTGTTACTTACGTGGCAATAAAAATGATTCTGATTCTGATACTTACATGGCAATAAAAATGATTCTGATTCTGAGGGAAAGTACAAAACTATTAATAAATGAATAATTTATACACAATATTAATTTATTAGTTAAGGCTCTGCCAATATGGGAAATATGGGATTCATTAAGTATTTTCAATATTTTATGATATTTGTGACGATACATTTTGAGCCCAAACTCTACCATTCTTAAATTAATGGATGTTCAGTCGAACTAATAAGTGCTGTGCAGGCCTTAAGCCGGGATAAAAAATACAATACAATACAATTCAATATAAGAAATAATGAATTTAAGGGTGCTCTGCGACAAGGAAAAGCTGAGTCACAAGACTTTAATCAAGACGCAATAGCATATGTTTTCCAGAAGAGGGCAGTGCAACATAGTTCAGCTGTTCAGTTGAAGTTCGCTGTCGGGCAACAAAGAGGTCACAACTCTTGGCAGAACTTTCTCCTCAGAATTTAAATGGCTTTAATTAAATCAATAGTTAAATAATTTAAGAGAACTGACTCTTACTCAATGGCAAATAAAAGGAATAAATGAGGTGGAAATAGTGACTTTGATCATATTAAAACTACATTAGTTTATAACTACGTAAAGTAATATAAAGTTGAGATTGACAATTTATGAGAACATCAATGTACTTAATACTTAAGAAAAGTAGATATGCTTTAATATTCTTTTTGACAAAATTACTGGTCTTTGTAAGCTAATGTATGCAGTATGTACAGGAAGCGGCATGACATTGGGTAACCTTACATTTTGTTTGGGTAAAAATCAAACCATAATCTACAGGAGACCTACCCTTAAAGCGAACTGTTTCTCCATAATTTTGCAATGTCAATTATGTTGTGTGTTGTTTTATCTAATGAAACACAGTGATATAGGTCAAAGTACACATCTGTGTGTACTGTGTGCGTGTACATTCTGCGTGTGTGTTTAGACCTTGATAAGTTCTGTAATTAATTTATTCCAGAAGGTCTGTTTTAGCTCTAGTTTTAAAAGGAGCCAAAATATTAATGCTGCTATGCCTATAATATTCTACAATATACAGTTGTAGTAGCCCATTAAAACAATCACTATGGTCACCACCAGATCAAGGTACAGATCAGTGTGGACACATAGATAGTAAACAATGGATCGATCACAAATATATGTGTTTAAGATTGTAAAATCCAAAACATCTGCACAACTCAATTTCGAATATATTTGAATAGTTTCCTTCCAATAATACATTCATAAAGTCTAGTCTATAAACTTTCTGGCAGACCTTTTCACCAACAAAATGGCAAACAGAAAATACAGTAGCTCAAGGTGATTCTGTCCTGTAGCTTTCCATGTACCTAAAAGGTAAACAAGGTGAAATATCTCAGCCCCCAAACACATAACTGACCCAAAGTGGAATTTCACAAAGACTCCTCCCACTGAAAAGATTATTGAGGATTGGACTATTACATAACAGCTACTATGGCAACTCCCACCACTACCCCACAATGCATTGGTGCGCACCAAAGAAGTTAACTGCCCCAGCGACCAGCGAGAAAAAGATGAGCATATCTGCATCAGTGGGAAGCAGGGAAAGACTGCGTGAAAACAACACCAGCAGCTCGGCCAATTACTACAAAAACCCACCAGTGTGAGAGCCACATGGATCTGATATGAAGTTGACTTGGTCACAGAGGAAAACGCCACAAAACTCATCTAAAACTTGGTTTCTCTACTCATACTGATCAAATCTGACCAACATGCAACAGTTTATGGACTAATATTAATCAACTTAAAATACATTTTAGCCAAAATGGGTCTCGCTTTTAAAATAAAGTGGATTTTCAGGTTTTTGCCTAAAAACGGGAAACTGAACGGCTCAAGCTGAAGAAAGCAGCAATAATAGGCATTTTTTAAAGTGAGTGGTTCATTTTCATGGAACAACACTTTCATTTGTTTTAATTCCTGAAGTGTGCTGTTAGACTGAAAACTGCTGCAATATCTTTTGACAAAATATTTCTGTTATCGTAAAAAGCAGCTATTGAGTCAACTCTCCGGTGACTGACCACAATATTGGGTAAACTAAAACACACACTTCTGCTGAATGCTAGGAGACAGTTTTTGTTCTATATCGAAGACAAACCTCAAGATAAACTTTGTCCTTGTGCTTAGGTTGAGATAGAGAAACAATGTCTGCTTAAAAAAAACCTACAGTAATTCAACAATATTATCATAGCAATGTTGACTATACGTGGAACAGAACAGCAGAGTTTCATGCTATAAGTATGAGGGTTTTTGCCACCTTGGTCGTCCCTTAATAAAAGCCTGTCTCTGCTGTTCTAATGAAAGTATGCGGTGATCTGGTGCCCTACATCACACTGGAAATAGTGCCTCTAATGCCCCCCAATGAGCAGGAAACACTGCTGATCGGTCCACTGAGCCAGGAAGAGCTATGCGGCATCTTCAATTAAGGATGACAGATGCTGAGGCTGGGCTCCAAGGGCAAAATTTCAATAGACCCACCACCTGTCTGTCTTTTCCTACCTGTGCTCTGCAGCTGGTACAGAGAAGCCAGGGATGGGGTCCTTAGTGCCGTAATACTTCTTAATGACGCAGATGCCGGCCACAGTGTCCGTGCCCTTGAAGTTCACCAAATGAGCTGAAGCCCCGATGCCTGCAGTCTTGAAAAAGAAGTAGTGGGTCAGAGCTTGGGTTGAACATTAAATATAATCTGGTGTAGGATAAAGAAAGAACTTTGCTATATGAATGCTGTTAAAAAGTTCTGTAATTCTGAAACCAATATAGGATAGACTCTTGCAAGCAAATGTGCCAAGCCTTTGATTGGTATGATGTTGATGATTGTGGCTCATGGCCAATTTTCCGAGCTTTACCTACGAGGATGAATTCTAGGCAAAACGATCTATCCGGCCTTTATTTTAGTAGTTTTAATGATAATATATTTATGATTTTTGAGTATAGTCTGTGTTAGATACAGTTAAAGATCCCAATTATACCATATCTGTTATCAGGACATGACACTATAATAATACATGCATGTACCTCTTGAGATGACACTCCTCTGTAACCAAAGTCATGTAGTTTATACTCTAGCTTGTCCAGGTTTCCAGAGGTCTCCAACAGGTACTTGGCCAGGATTTTCTTCTGTTCTCTGGAGTTGGTGGCGACTGTAATTGGGTACCAGATCTGCACCAGTATGGTCTACAAGACAGTAAGACAATATTTTAATATATGACCGTGGGATTGTATGAGTGTATCTTCATTTTTCATGACCCACAAAGTGAATGTTACTATTGTTTATGAGCCAAAAAAATATAAAACCAGGAAGGAGGATGTCTAGTTCTGTTGTCATCCTTTGTCATCCAAGTACAAAGGCTGAAGCCAATTGTTGAGCTGTGCAGAAGCTCTGAAAAGACTAGGTCTGTTCAATTCAAGCTGCTTTCAAACCACTCGTCTGGGTCTAAACTCCAAAACTAACAGGCTCTTAGGGATCAGAGAGGCAGTGCACTCAAACAAGAAGTGCCTTGGGAAAAACACACCAACTTGTGCCAACTACGGACCAAAACAGAGCGGCAGATAACAGGGGCACAGTTGAAGGCGTGTACTTTACCCTGACATGCAGACAATACATATTCTGGGCAATGATGCCTGCTTAATCTACCTGATATAAAATCTCAGGGAAATGCTTAATTGTGCCATCTCAGTCAATAGAATAAAAACAAGAAGTCTGAACTCTTGAGAGGACCAAGCCAGATTTTCATGACAATCTTTAAATTGTAAATTGTTTTGTAATTGAGATAAAAAACAACCAAATATGTAACCAATTACCATTTACGATATTCTAAGCAACATAGATTTTCACAGAAAGTACATTACAAGATAAAAGTTCAATACTACAGCGGACAACAACCTGAATACCTGAATCTCCATGGACACTGACCTGCTGTCAGCCGTTATAGCATTTATTTCCTGGAAGCCATAATGATGTTACCATAAGTATCAGTAAAAAAACCTGAAAGATCTACTCTCCTTAAGCAAATTTAGAGAGGTATTGAAAACCTACGAGGTGTTAACAAGAACACAAGTTTATTTTTACTCCAGCTGAGAGGGTGTGTGTGTGTGATCCCGTTCATTATTCTAGCTTAATGTCACTGCACTAGACCACTGGACCATATGTTTAATACATTAATTGGGACGAAACGATAAATAAAAACAGTGTAAATTAGTCGCAGCAGTTTATTCCACACAGACCTGTTTCTGCGTGGCTACACTGCAGGGTGCCATACTACTACATTCTGCACCCTTTCATTGTTTTTCATTTTAACAAAAACATATTTATTTCAAAACATATGAAAAAGGAAATAAACGAAAATAAACAAACAATTGTATTTTATGAGGTATAGCCAACATGTTAGGGTATAAAAATGTTAGTACTCTATACATATAGTATTCACTATAGGCTTCACCTTTGTTGTTTTGCTCCAACTCGCTTTGGCTTCATTCACTTACATTCAAAACTTAACTCATCTTCCTCTTACTCAGTAACCGTTTGTGTCACCCTCAACATTTTGGGATCAAAACATTGGGTTGGACCCCTCTTCTCTCCCCTCACTGTTCTGGGAAATACCCATTTTATACATGTCCTTAAATAATTCACACAAAATGGGCAGTGGTCTGTATTTAGGGAGCAAGTGTGAGGATGATGGATGGTGACTGTTTTGTTATTTCTGTAGAAACAATAATTCTACACTATATGATAAAATACACTGCATATAGGACAGAGGTAACATCAAAATAATAATAATAATACATTTTATTTATAATGCACTTTACATTTGACACCAAATCTCAACGTGCTACAAGCAGCAGCATAAATAAAAGCAAACACATAAAATCAGATAAAAGACTATAAAAAAAAAATTAGCAGTACGCTTTAGTAAAAAGATGGGTTTTGAGTCCCTTTTTAAAAGCTTCCACCGTCTGTGGGGCCCTGAGGTGGTCCGGGAGGGCGTTCCACAGACGGGGAGCAGCGGCCTCGAAGGCCCGGTCCCCCATTTTCTTGAGCCGTGTCCTGGGCGGGAGCAGACGGTGCTGTTGGCCTGACCGGGTTCTGCCTGAGGGGTGTGGAGTGAGGATAATAATAGCTTTTTGGGGACCGAAAGTATAAAAGCTTTAGTATCTCTGGATAATGTGGTAGACAGTTACCGTTTGTTTGGATTATTTTTTAGTCCAACCCAACACTTTATACATCTAACAATGTATAATGTGTTGGGTTAAAAATGTAGACCATTTGCTTTACAGTTGGTATTACATGTGTCTGTACATTGTTCGTTCAAATAAAGACTAAACTAAACTAAACTAAACATGCCATGGAAGCCATTGACTTCTCATTATCAATGCTGCAAGTTAAAATAATAGTCTGGACTTTGTCAGGAAAAAAAAGAGAGGTACATGATTTGAAAATAAAAAACACCCAAGCTACCGCCCCTTCCTTTCTGATTGGTCTTAAAGCCGCGCCTACTTTTCCGTGCACGTGCCAGGTCAATGGGCCAAGACGTATGGAGGAGAGAGAGAGAAAACAACCAGTGTCAACAATGGAGTTATCGGAGGTTGGAGGGACATGTGAAATGGGTATCTTCTGCTCTTGAGCTGAATGTTGATCCATGGTTGCGCTCGGTACTAATGATGGAGGCTTGATTTGGAGGCTCCGTAAAAACACACAACTGAGCGTTTGCGCAGTTATGAGTGCGCTCGTGACGATTGACAGCCCTTGGCATCACTTGATTGGTTAAAGTGGACAGCATCGTGGATTTTGAGCTATAGCAAATATAAGATTAAAAAATCCGGGACTTACTTGTAATGTTATAATTAAATAAATAATGGTCAATTTAATACAATTCTTAAAATTTGTGATTAATTTTGAGTTCCAGACTATCACTTTAACCATAATAATAAATAATGATTTAAAATCATTTCAGGGGCCCATAAAAATAGTCTCAAGGGTCTCACATCTAGTGATCAGTTTTGATAAAACTAGTAGACTACAGAAACACCTTGTCTGAGCTCGCTGCTTTGAGTTTGAGTCTGAGCAGAACTTCTGTGAGGGGGTTTGCAGCGGGCTCCAGGGGAGAGCTTAAAAGGACTGTTGTGGACAAACAACAGGACTTACCTCCACCCAGTTGGTGAGCCAGTAGCACTCAGGATCTGTGCTCTCCACAGTGAACAAAACGTTTCCTCGAGGAATGACACTCCCCTCCGGCACTGCCTTGATTTCTATAGGGAGCTGTCCATTGTGTTTCTGTGAGCACAAAACACACTCAGAGCCACGTCTACAGTAACACGTCAAGGTGACAATAGAGTGCATCAAGATCTCCATCAGAACAAAACTGGACAAAACTCAGAGGTAAACAATAACTTAACATTTAACCGTTGTGAGCCTGACATAAGACACATGGGATTTTGATTGAATGAGATACAGTTAATATACTATATCGTCGGAGTATGCTCTGTGCCTGAATGAATGGTGGTGGTCAAAGGGGTCGATGGCACATAATGGTGGCCTCGTTTATGTAAGGCAGACCCAGGGCGACTGTAGTTTGCCAGATTCAATTGAACCTAATTTAAAATCCCATTTCGGATTAATACTGTTCATATATTACTTCAGATTATATAATCATAATAAATTATATCACTGTTCATGCAATAGCATCACCACTTCTACAAATACAAAAGAATAAGGATTTAATGTCAATTCTAAACAATTTTGATTATTGCCTGTTTCAAGTTCTACATACGTTCTTGAGTTGTGGAATGTCCCAAAATAAATCTTGTCTTATAAAGTTAAATAATACAAGAACAAAATTGACTGTAACATACTTCCAAAATGTAGTTCCATCCCTTCTCATTGAAAACGTCGTCCTGAAAGTGTTCTCTGTAGACCTCTTTTGCCTCCTGGATCTTCTCTGGAGTCACTACTTTTCCTGCAGAACACAGTGAACGCAACACAATATTAGTTTAGTTTAGTATTTATTTAAGATGACAGGCACAGTGTACAATAAACATTAACCTCAAAGGGAAAGATGCATTGAACCAGGTTATAGCTCAAGAGCTCCAGTAACTTCCACCCGTAGTCCCTGGGCAGGCTGATGTTATGATATTACATTGGGGGACCGAGCTTTCGCCATTTCTGCTCCCACTCTCTGGAACTCCCTCCCCCTCCATCTCAGAAACTCGGACTCTCTAAACTCCTTCAAAAAACAGCTCAAAACTCACCTTTTCCTCCGAGCATTTGACTCTTAGTTTAAACTTTCTACCCTTCTTCCTCACTCTTAGATTTTTAGTTTGAGTGTCTGTCTAAACGTGTGTGTTTGTGTCATGAATTTGTGAAGTGTCTTTGAGTTCTTGAAAAGCGCTATATAAAACTGATGTATTATTATTATTATTATAATACTAGTGTAAAGCCTTTCTAAAAGGCTGCTTCCTGTTGATCCCAATGGAGATGCGATAGCCCTGTCGGGAGGGTTATGCATGAGAAAGCTTTAATAAAAGGCAATTAAGGAAATCTTGAAGACGGGGTGCCTAAACTTTTGTTTCATATATAATATATGTTGTAAAAGTAAAATGTTGAAAACAAATCAGATCACATAACGCAGTCTTCGTCTTAATAGAAAACATTGTATCTTTTGCATACTTGTAAGAAAGAGCCATGTGATTTTGCCTCTCTGATTGTTGATTGGCTGACTGTGGGTGCTCAACTCTCTTTAATCTATGTATGAAAACGCTGATTGAAACATGTGACAAAAGCAAACCTTAACATTCTTAACATACCATAAGAAGCAGGTGCACTGTGTCAGCTCAATGCTGTTTTAATAGATTAAAGATGTGTCTGAAACCAATGCCTCCCTAAAACCTGTATCTCTTCCATCTAGAATGTGGTACCACACCTGCAAATACTGTTTTAACTTTGTCACCATTCTGCAGTTTTGAAAATAGATCTATTTTTTTGCAGAGTTCACTGGACGCTGAACACAGACAGCTGGCCTTTCTCCTCAACACGGTGAAAGAGCAGCTGTGCTTTTGTCTTGTGCGCTCCTGCACCTCTGATACATAACCATGAAATCCTTTTAGGACCAAAGAGAGAGGCATTCTTCATCCCTATTGGCTTCCAGTCTCCTTATGCCCTTTACAATCTACGAAACTTCCACTTTCTGAAACTTGAGTAGACTTACCCATAGAGGGGCATTGGGGCTTTTCTAACGGCAAGAAAGTTTCCAATAGTTCATTATGTCTATTAGAAAGTCTTAAGTTTCCAAGAGTAAAAAAAAACATCACAATAAATAATCCAATGCTCCCTCGTTTATTGTGGGGTTACGTTCTAAAATTAACAAAAAAACCAAAATCTTCTCAGTAGCAGCTGTACATACTTTATACACTATTCTAAACATCTGAACTCACAACTGCTGAAGCGATTGTGGGTATACCAAACCTGTTCATTCTAAGCCTGAGAGCCATCTGAGCGCAGCCGTGCATACACTGTAAAGGCCTTTGTAAAATCACACGGCACTGGCGACGGTTGCGGTTGCGGTTACGTTGGACCTCGCGCGTTCCCCTTGCGGAGTTTTTAAGAGAATGTTGTAATCCCACAAACAACCATGTGATGGCGATCTCACAGGAGTTGCCTGGGAAACCCATGGGGAAACCAAAGCGGTCCCACTTACGCTGCTACTTTCTCCTCTTCAGAACAAAAACAATAGCAAAGCAAGCTGTTTGAGATCATTACATGTGTTTCTACTGTAGGTTTATGTGATAGTTCTATGGACTCCTCGTTTCAACTCATTTAACTGATGTTGTGAATAAAGACACACTTATTGTTGGAAACAGTTATTAGTCAATTGTATTCAGCACAAACAGCAAAACAATAAGCGGTAAATATCTGAGACAAATATGAACTATTTACAAGTGCAGGAGGAACGCAACAGACGTGATGAGCTACGATTCAAACAAAGAGAGGAACAGTGCAAAAGAAATGACTGCACAGTTTATAAGTTAGATATAAGTTAGATATGCAACAGAACTGAACAGTCCACAGTCTCCTGTATATCACGCTCTGAGCCATGAGCCCAAACTGCTTTTCCTTCGGTTCCTTTGAAGCGCGAAGCAGTCTGCTCCGAAGTGCCTCATCCATGTTCCTGCAGCCGGTCCATGCTTCACAGAAAGTAATCACACACGGACCAATCACAGCGGAGCTTCCTTGCGGCGACCCACACATAGTTAGACATTTTTGAGGGTGCGCGGCAGGCTACGTAAGAGCCTTGTGGTGATCCACGCGTTGCGCAAGTGACGTCACGTCACCACCGTAAACTCCGCGCCGCGCGAGTATACACTAGGCTTAACATACAGCTGCAGAGGACACCACGCTGTGGGGCAGGAGCAGGACTGAGGGATATGGGAAGATGGCGGAAGTCCCTTGAACTAATCACACAAGCTGCAAATGTATACTGAGCTTAAAAGGTTGCTCCAATGGAAAATTGTTTTTTTTAACCAATAACAAATGTGAGCAAAGAATATTTACCCCCACCATGTTTTTGAATTGTTGCCATAGACTTAGAATTTGAATTATAAATGTCCATGAGAGCTGAGGACTCTCCATGTCAATGCGCCATCCTGAAATACATTGTTTGATGAGGGACGGCTGAATGCTAAGATGAACAGTCTGCACATTATACCTGTTTTATATGAAATATTATTTTGGTGTTTTATTCTTTTCATTTGACGTTTATGCTTTCATGTGTTATCTCAATCTTTTAGCTTTTATTTTAAATTGTATTTATTTATGTTGTAAATGTATGTTGAATGTGTTGCTTCTTGTCCAGGACACTCTTGTAAAAGAGATTATTAATCTCAATGAGGTTCTCCTGGTTAAATAAAGGCCAAGTAAAAAAAGGAACAAAAAGGATGCAAGAATTGTGTTTGTGTCACAGATGCTAATAATAACGTTGCTTCTAGTGTGCCCTTACAAGTTTGAAGTAGGAACCATGACGGACCACAGTGACGTTAAAGAACCATCGAGGACCACAGTGATGTAAAAGAACCACAACCACAATATTGATTAAATGAATACAAAACAAAACCCTGGTATGTGGATAGAAAATGTGTTGTTGTTGTGTCTTGATGTACGTAGACCATATGAACGAAACATACCTTTTAGATATTTGTGAAGAATGTATTGTAGTCCGTAGAAGACAGTTTTCTCATATTTGACTTTTCTGTTCTTGCTTGGTTCTGTTCTCTTTTCTCGACACTCAAAGTAGGAATATACTTTACTTGTGTTGGGAGGGTACTGCTTGTAATGGGTGACCTGCAAAAAAAAACACAAAGAAAATATTAGTATTTTTTAATTTGTTGCTTCATTTTCTTGTGTATTTTGTTAGCCTATCTTTGTCCCTATCCATAACATAAAATTACTGGTATGACTACTTTTAAAGCTAAGTTCCTGGTTCATTATATTGCAATATTGCATTATAATGAACCAGGAACTTGGTTCTGAAGACAGCTTGTGTTGAAATAGGAAAGAAACCTTAGTTCACGTTTGAGCAATAACTGAGATTTATTTTTGGACATATTGATAACACTGTTCATATGAATTTAATCTAAAATGAATGCAAATAAAACCATAAACCAGTATCTGCACAAAAGGCTCAGCTTTTGACATTTACAAACTGTCTTATTGACTTTGTGCAAAACGAATTATCGACTGTGAAATGTCAAACAGCCTTTGTATGTAGAGATGTCGGGTGACTAATACTGAAGTGCACAGACATACACATCTAAACAGCAATACAACTAGTCTGGGCATGTTCCTGACAGGGGAAAAAAAAGAACGAGTTAGGAGTTGACCGATTAAGGGACAGGCAAATTATGGGCACTAACATCACCCCCCCCTCTCCTGGTCCATAATCTAGTCCAGCCTTCTGCCCGAAAAAATTATACAACTCAACTTAACAGCATTCATTCTGTAATACAGAGTGTGATGTGTGAATAAACAAAGCACTATCTGATTCATTTAGTTTGGATTGTTTTGGTCAAAATAAATCTTATAAAATCAATGGCGCTTAATCTCTCCAGCGGTTACATAAACATTCACTCTATACAGTGGGAGCTACTCTTTTATGTTAAATAATGATGACTCATGTTAAATACTGAAGTTTGTATTATTCAACATATAGGGACTATTTTTTTTTTTATTAGTGCAAATAAATATATACACCGGTATATGTGATGATACAACTACATGTCTTATCCAAATTGCTATGGAACTAAGAATGTAATGGTAGTAGTCACGGATACTGAACATCAGTAACTACAATATTTGTTGCCATAAATCTCCCCTCGAATGTCCTACAACTTGTTTATTGAATCACTATCTTCTTTGCCGTCTAGCTCATTGTTTGGTTGTGTGCCATTACTTTCTATTAATTGAATTTGTTTGTAACTCTGAGGTTTTTGCTTAGAAATATTGGACACATAAACATAAGAGAGAAAACCTTCGTAGCTGAAGAGAAGATAAATGTCAATGAACTTTTTCAGTCCTTTGACCCTGATGTGTCCTTTCCTGAAGGCTTTCTGGTGCTTAAAATAGACTCACAACATGACACTACGCGCCACATGTTTATGCTTACACACATTACGCAGTACACAAGCATGCAAAATAGTAACACAATTAGACTTTTCGGTAAAACAATTATAAAGAGTAATGAAGAGTTGATACATCTGTTAAAACCTCATAGACAATAATGTCAAACCAAGACTAATGGTCGAGCTAAATACAAAAAGTCATTCTATTAGGATTATTATGTTATTAATATACTACTACTTCATTTGTATGTCCATTTCAATGGAAGTATGAACAATCAAGGGATGAATGAATTCATTTTTTAATCACAGAAATATTTTAGTAATTAATTATCATTAACTACACACTTATTCAGTCTATACAGACTCAAACAGTGCAGTGACACCTGTATCTCAGTGAGCTCTGTAAAAATAAAACCAATTAGGATAACGTTTGGTGGCTTTACTACAAATTACTAAAGGTCAAATTTAGATCAAATCTCCATGTGTTTTCTAAACAGTTTCCTGATTACTCAAAATAATAATAACTTTTTAAAAAATGTATCAACCCCCCAAACTGTTTTTTGACAATTGATTGACAAGATGAATAATCAAAAACTAAACAATTCAACCCATCACTGTTCAAAAGGAGCCAGGCCATCTCTGGTGAAAGCATCCCCCTGCAATGTGTTTTCCAACATGTTCTTCTACAGTCTCTAGCATCACAGTGGTTTTTCACAGACAAATATGAGGTAAAACTTTGGTCAAGCCATCAGATCAGCTGACCAGCAGGTTGGAAGGTGTGAAACGAACCTGCTCCCTGATTCATTCTGCCGTGTGTCCATGGGCAAGACACAAGCCCCCAGTGTCCCTCACAGGTGTAAAAATGTGTGTATGAACGATCTAATATGCTTTGAGTGCCTGTGACAATTCAACAAATAAATAACTTTTCACACAAACAGGGTGTGATCTAATCTATAAAAAGGTCAAAACAACACAGCGTGTCAGTTGGTGAGTCAAATAATGTTAGTAAATCCTTAAAACAATGTGTGGTGTGACTCTATCTACTGTCTTTTCTGCCTCAGTGCAGCGTAAGTCTCTTCTCCCCAATGTATCAATCACTGCATGCTTCCACACAGTGGATCTGACCTCTTCTTTTCTATCTTAGCAGTCTGCAGGACAAAGTCAATTAAGAGTATGAACTTAATGTGAGGCAATATAAATAAATGAAAGCCATATTGGCATATAATATTCCGCCATGTTTTTATTTTTAACATGAAACAATGTATCCCTAGAAGCCAGAATACAGTTTATATCAAACAAAAACAACGTTTTTGCTGATTTTCTTTTAGATCTGGTATACAATTGTATATTAAAGGCTTGGTGCGTTCCCTACTTCACAAATTCATTTGTTTTACAAATCAAGCCGAGTGAGCAGCTACAAACACGTGATAAAGGATTTTAACTTTCAGTTAATCAAAACAGGTTATTAGATATTTTCGCAAATAGCATGTTTCAGAGAAAACCTATTTTCTATGCTACACTCGCAATGTATATGTCTAAACCACTTCACATGATAAGTTACCTTACAGCATACCAGAACAATAAATATATCAATTAATACAATTGCAATCCAGATTTTGGTCATGCCCTTAAACACAATTTAATTCATGCCTATGGCCCATCCTTACTGCTCATTACTGCATCACATGACATGGCTCTATTACATGGCCACTAGCTTAGTATCGTTACAGCAAAGTCAAAGTGCAAAAGGACTGACTACAATAAAAACCTTCACTCCAACCCTACAGTAATGCAGATGTGTCATTGTGATCGTTGTCAAAACCTTTTATTGTTTTATTGTAACCCGGATAACGCGGTGTTTTACTTTCAGTTTTGATTTCTGTGAATAGGTGGCTCGTGAGCTGCGCCATGGTCACAGTGATACGATGAATGAATGGTATCGAGAAGCCACCTATGTATAGCACAGCGGTAAGAGCCCACCGCAGACAGCGCTTGCTAGCATGTGGCTAATATTAGCTTTTATATCATCAACTACCTTGTGCCGTTTTGGTTCAAGACTGCGAGCTACAAGCTAGCCCATTCAGCTAGCAGAGAGAGCCGGGGAGTTGAACAGAGCTCTTAGCAGACACACACTGGGATGCTTTCTTATTACACAGGTACAGCACAAGCATCGTGCCTAGCTGCTCTCTCCTCCTCTTCTTCCTCCAACCCCGTAGGCCCAGCACACAGCCGAGGGACACCGGCCAGAGAGCGATGGCCTCGGGATGGATAGATGATGAAACCACCTTGACTTTTAAAAACATCCCCATCCATTACACCTACAGCCAGTCAAAAGAGAAAGCAGACGTACCTTGTATGAATCGGTCGCTAGCATAATATTAAAATCGACTTGTCCGCGCTCCATCTTTCTCCTCTGAGTTGAGTCAGTCACAGCTGTCAGTGTTGTGCTGCTGCCGGCGGTCGTGGTGCTGAGGGACTCTTTAGCTTTGGTCTGATACAGTCTATGGTGTGACTGTGGAGAGCAGCGGGACAGGGGGAAGGACGAATGGGACAAAGCGGGAGGGGCAAGGGGCGGAGGGGCCAGCGTCATCCTCACTTTGGCCACTTTGTCGTCCTCTTAAGATAAATACATACATAAATACAAAGTTAATACGTATACACAACCAATTTTTTTGGCTTGTATAAATTATTAAAAACACAATTAGCAGATTTACATAACACAATTATGATTTGGCTACGTCCGGGTTTTACCCACGTGACCCAAACACGGTAAAACAAAGATCTTGTGAGGACGCAACTATGAATGCACCAAGTCAAAAGGTGACCGACAAAATTAGAAATTATCCCAAATAAATAATTGAAATATCGATGTATATGCTGTATTAGTATTGAAACTTTTGCCAAAAATCTGTTTACTGGTGTTTTACATATCCAAAGTTTAAATAAATCATGTTTCGTGTTGTACCCATGTGGTACCTCTGACTTCAACTCACTTCTTTTTGCAAAATGGTTCTTGCATTTTGGCGAAACACCACCTGGGGGCAGTATTGACTTAAGAATAGTCATTTGTCGTCACCCTTTACAATAATTAATTTATGTAATTATTTACTGTGACAGAATAATGCTTTTGTATCGTCAGACCAGATAGAAAGTTTTGGTTATTTTATCCAACTTGCATGAACAGCGACATAATAATTAGCACAGAAACCTTTTTTAAAGAAATCCATGACAGACCTACCTGCTGCTGTCGGAATGTGGGGCTTCATCACGGGGCGGTGTGAGATTCTTGCCAGTTCGACTGACGTGATCCTCGGCCAATGCATACGCGTTTCAGTCCTATAGAGGGCGTGTAAATAAAAGTTTATGAAGTTAAAAGAGGAATAAGTGCCTTACCAAGCAGCAGTATTTTTGTGCGCCTCAGATCACATGATTTTACTTCAGACGGTAACTTTAAGGTGGGTCTTATGGACTCTGGAAAAGTTAGAATACTTGGAAGTGGGAAGACTTTTACATATTGTTTCTGATTTTGTTTAAAAAGGAACTGGATACAGCCGCATGCTGAAGTTAAAGCGAACATTTGACCTGTACAGAGATGTGGTTTGTGATCTACGAAAGAAAGAGGCATCGGTCTGCAGGGTGAAAGGTGAGGTGCATAGAAACAAACATGGCAGTAATGTAAGACATGTCAATATTTTGTGATTTGTAGGGTAACAGATTAGGTAGGATGTGTACTGTGTGGGTCACACATTTGAAAACATATTTGCATGCTTCTTTACTTGAGTAAGTATTGAATGTAATCCGCATTTGAACCCAACAAATAGCTTGAAACTCGTTTTACTTTCAGGAACACGATTTCTCCCCGAGGAAATACACTGTAGTACTTCCATACACCTGCACTCATATGTTACTGTCTTGTCCACAGAATACTCCGGAGAGGTGGACACACGTATTCTGAACATTGAGTGTGATGGGGGCATTCTTTACTCCTGGACGGTACAAACTAAAAATAACTCAGTGATGCACTCTGCTGCATAATCTAATGTAGATGTTTTTTGTACTAATGTGTTCTGTAACCTCATTCTTATATTTCCCCTGATTTTCTGCTTGAGTTAAACCCATTTGGTGATGTATAAATCCCTGGGCCCTGTGCGAGAATTGAAAATGCACCCCCATTCAACTGCCTCTTCTGCATGACATACATATTTAATGACTAAACTGCATAAAATCTAGTTGTGGACTTTAAAGGTTAAGTCCACAGATAGTGCTGTGTGTTAGGATACAACATGAACCAATCCATTTTCTAATTTCAATTCTGGATGTTTCATTTCATTGAAAGTCGTTAAATATGTACTGTGTTACCTTTCTGGATATGGATGCATACATACATACATGGATACATTACTCTGTCAAAAAGTAATGTACAAGTCACATTTTGTATTGAAAAAATAAATAAAAATAGAAACTTGAAATACTGAATTTTGGGACTTAGAGGAATAATCGTGGCAACAGGCTGTTATCACTGCACTGCCGAACGGGAGGGTGTTCTCACTACAGATCTGATCCCAATCATGATTCTGAAACCTTACACCAAAACAACTTAAAAGAAACTGGAATACTGCCAATTGTTTGGACTCTTTGTGAAGCTGGTACGTTATTACACATGGCAACAATATCGACACAGAGGAAGATCAAACTCTGATTCCTTCCTACATTTTCTTTGGTACATAAAAGTGCAGCTGGTATATTGCTGTTGCTGCTTGGGTTGGCTATAATTGACAGATTCAGGGTACTGTAAAAAAAAGCAAACATTTATTTTACATATGTTATCATGTAGACATTCTTAAAAGAAACACAACCTGGTCCTTTTGAACTAACGCAGGAAACGACGCAGTTTCAGATTCATAAAATATGACGCACATAAAACAAATCAATTGTGGATATGCCAGAGATATAAGCCGTGTTGAAAACGAGTGCGGTGTTCTTGTAGCACATCCTGATGTGTGCTCAGAGGAACAAGTGAACTCAGTTTTAAAGTCTCTTGGTGGAATACATGTACAATCCTTTTTAGCATCATTTTGGATGATATTTTATGTGTAAGTTTGGAGTTCAAACTGGTCCTGATTCATTCCAGAATGTTTGATTTGACTGGAAAAAGAGGGTCATGTCTTTATTTTGATCCGTCAAATCTCCAGAAGTTTGAATATATTTGAACAATTGGCTGGCAGAAAAGAGTATTATTACATTTTAACAAATTGTCTTTTTGCATGGAGATACATTCACCGCCATACTGTGGAACATTTCAGCCAAAGAAATTATGCCCGGAGATAAGCAAGTGTACATTGTAATGGAATGCAAGTGTGGGTCATAATAATAGAAATAAAAATCTAAAAACGTAGTCTTTTCTTGAAGTGGTGTGGGTAATTATAATCAGCTAAGGACAAAGCCACTAATGAAGAGGTCATGCATGACAATTCTCTCACACTGCAGCCCACAATCTGGCAAATATATGTGGAACTGTTTATGTCTGTCCTGTTTGATCATTGTGATCATCATGATTTTGGTTCTTTGAAAAGAAAACATTTTCTCCATGCCTGTAGGGAGCCACCGGAACCACCAGAATCGGAAAATACGATCCCCAAACTAAGCAAAACAAGGTATGCTTTATTAATCTGTAATCAATATGTATTTCATAATGTTTCTGTGGTGGTTTCTGTTCCTCCGCAGCTTCTATACACCTTTGACACGCAGGTGTGTGTGAGCAGCTGTTCCCTAAATAAGGAGGAGACGCTGTTAGGTGAGCTGCCACATGAGAGAAATACAAATTAAACAAACATATTTTTCAACAGAGTTGGACTAACCAAGGGCTGACATAGGGTTAGCCTTATTGTGGAAGAGGCTGATTTTGACATAAGCTAGCTGAAGCCAATTTCTTTATATGGGCATTTCCTCCGTGGCATTATCTTTGTGCCGGGGCAGACGTGTTGCCATGGCGGTTGCTAAGGCAATCTGGAGTTTCCCTCGCAAATCAAGGTATCCAATTGGTCAATCCTTATATGGCTCATATCTAGTTTTAGAAAGACGATATTAAAAAATTAACACCAGGATCACTAAGCAGCACTAAGCCACAGATTGTTTAAGTCCACAATGGCGAGTGTGTTACAGCAATAATGAGTGAGAGGAGTTAACTTTTTAATGTAAGTCAATAGGAGCCAAAGTGAGTTGGAGCAAAACTTCAATGAGCAAATTGGATAAAAAATAAAACAATGAAAAATAACATACATGCATACTAACAATTTAACAATACATGCATACTACATACAATGTGTAAATTATTGTTCACATACAAAAAAAGAAGAACAAAGGCAAGAATACTCGAAAGAATACAAGTCTACTACTTTGAGAAAATTAAAATGCATGTTAATGGATACAAATATTTATATAAAACAGCTATATACATTTTTTTGAGCAAACGCAATTACCGTAGAATACAGTTTTTCCCATTCAAAACATAAAATAGTTAGTTTATTGTTTATATTTCTTTGAATATGGATCACTATGGCAACAGCCTTCATACTTCATCATACTGAAACATAATCCTACATTTTCTCATTTCTGCACAGTTATCGTTGGTGCATTCCAGTACATTATTGATATGTTTTTCTTCTCTCCATTCAGCTGTGAGTCTGGCACAAAACAGAATAGAAGTTCGGGGACTCAAACCAGGTACAATGCCTCAATGTTATTTTCACGTATAAAAATTACATGGCATTATTTATGTCACTATATATAATTTTTGGCAGGGTCCAAGTGTCTCACCCTGCTCATAGAAATCCACCCCATCAACAACACAAAAGTCCTGAAGGCAGTGGACTTCAGAGTCAAAGTGCAGGTGAAAATGGCTTGTCAAATTAACAGCTTTTACTGCATCCACTCGCTGACAGGGCAGTCCCTGACAATCATGTGGACATAATATTTTACAAGTGTAAAGTGCAATAGCCTCAAGATGTCATCCAATTGATTTTCTTTGCTTCTCTTATTTATTCCACGTTGTATTATTGATTAGGAGGTTGGTAAATGCTGGTTTTATTGTGCTGTGGTGGTCACAAGCTACAGCTCTTTTCCAAACCTGAGCCTTACATCAAAACATGCGGTTCATTTGTGCAATTCAAAACATTGACTTTATAGTTGAGATCAATCAACATTACAATTATCAAATTGTATAGCGTACCCTTTTATGCGCTCTGGCGTCCAATTCCAAAAGGCTTTTATACTCCTCCCCCGTCCCCTTAGCCCTACATCACTGGCTCCAAAAAAAGTTTGCATCAGCCCTATGAAATAGGCAGGGAACCCCTTATCCACCCAGAGCCTTTGGAACAAACAGTTTAATTACATTGTATTTGCTACATTATTGGCATATACACACACATAAGGTATACAATTTGTAAGCTCAATGACAACATGACCCCTCTATTGGCCTATGTAATAAGGAGTTTGTGTTGTGAACTGGTCTAAATCATTATGTCACAGCAAAGTACACTCGCACCTTGTCCTGGGACCTCAGTCTCTCGTGACCACTGTCTGCAGTGATGGGGGGAGGCTGCCTTTAGCATGCTGCGGAGCTTGAGCACCGGGAGTCAAACAACAACAAGAGGTCAAACAGCCTGTGTCTACTTTGAAAGCGAATATAATGTCCACTGCAGAAGTAGCGGCAGCAGCATGTGGATTTGCGAACCTCTGCTTTCACTGCAGCTGGTTCAATGCGACAAAACATGTTATAATCCTGCTCTCTCTTGGTTATATTGTCTGTTTTCAGACAGAAGACATCTCATATTTTCAGACTATCAAAATGTTTTTCACAAGAATGTAGTCTATGTTGTGTAAGATATAAATATATGCTTGAATTAAGTTGTTTTTATTAGATTTTTTGCAGCTAAGAAAAAGAAATACATTGCTGTACTATAGTTTATAACTCTATGAACATTTTCTGGAATGTATGGGGAATTTAGGCCCACTATAGTGCTATATGCAACTGTGAAACCACTAGAAATTGAATGGCATTTTAAGCACACACTTTGCTTACAGGAGTTATATTAGGACACTTTTTAAGTGCATTTTCTTCAGTTTATTTGCAAACAAGCTTCTATGTGCAAATCCTAAAAAGCTCTCTTGCATGGCATAGTTAATGGGGCACAAATTGGCACGCAGATAGATATACCGCAGTAAAATGAGAATTAGCATTGCACTTCCTCCATCTGCCAGCCTCCGCTCACCGCCAACTCATGTTCCCTTATGGCTGTGCATAGTTCCTCCATCAAGAAGAATCTGACAGGAGATCAGTGCTGGAGAGCCACCTGCTGCTGCTGACTGAAGATGGATGTAAGTCTACGCGCCCTCAACGTTCCATTAGTTGAAAAGTTGAACTCAAACGTGGTTGGAAAGTTTGAGATTTATCGTTCATTACTGTTCAACAGTATTTCTTCAAAGAGACACATTTTTCAAAATGTCCTTTTTTTCCCTTTGTTACAGCTCTGCATCTATTTTTAGATGAGAGAGCAGAGTAGATTTTAGATCCATCCATGCTAATATAATAAACTTCTGACACAAACATGTTACTCCGCTCCTTCTGTCTATAAGCTCCTGTGTCATGCTGCATTTATGTGATCTCGAAAACTTGGACTTCCCACTCTGAAAAATGTGATTGAACGGTAGTCAATTTGAAATTTTGGCTGGATAGATGGTCTTGGAGTTGTCAGATTACAGATGATTGCAGTCTTTGCTGATATATACATACAACTAATCCTGCACTACCGAGTATAAAGTAGATTATATTGCTTATTTATGAATATAGCGATAGAGATTTTTATTCTTTAGCAATAGAGTCGTGCTATACTTAGTATTCACTTATCTTGTATTGTGTGCTCCTCTTTTATTTACAACCAATAGTTTTACATAGTGAAAATAAACATATTCAAACCAAGAAAAATTAAAAATGGTATAACTTATGGCTTTATGAGCATAAAAGCTTTCCAGAAATATCTATGATCGTTTATACATATAAGCACATTTATCATAAGAAACAAGGTATTTACTTGTGGATTTCTCATATCAAAACAGATGTCTAATAAAAGAGCAAGGTGAGTCTAGTTACATTTCTGCACTTATCGCCACTGCATGTGTTCCGACTTTGGCAAGTCTGAAGATCACGTAGATATCGCACAGTGTCCGAATCGCATGAAAGCGGCACAAGCTCCTGTCTCAGCCCATTATTCACTTTATCCATTTATGGTTTCCTCAACCATTTAGTAGATCACTTTTTGAGTCACTATATACACTTGAAACTTGGAAATTAATTATAATTCTTTGGGGCATCTCACAAACTGCATCTCAACCCCTATAATATAAAAAACTAAGGGTTAAAACCCTCCAAAAAAACATAAAAACAAATGATTGTGTTATTAGTGCTTCTACATCTTATTAAAATAAAAACCCAAAAAAACCCAAAACATTGCTTTCTTCAAGGAATGAACGTTAAAAGGTTACAAAGGCCAGTTTTCTACCTTTATAAAAAATATATATATGTTGGCCCTAAGTACGTTTAAGTAAAAATTTGAGATACTCAACCCCTCCCTTTAGCATAAGGAGTTACACGGAAAAACAATGTTTCACCCGTCATCCTTCACCATACAACTTCTACTTAAATATTATTTCACATTCTAAAGCATGATAAAAGTAAATGGTTTCATAATGGTGTATATTTCTGCTTCAAATAATGGCTTCTCTCTGTTTTAGATGTTGACCTATACCACATTTTACTGACCAGACAGGAGGGGTACCGAATGGTGAGTCCAGGGATATTGTACTATTTTAAGAAATTAAATGATGCATTTTATGAACGTTCCACTTTTCTATACGTGAAGAGACATCACGTAGGAGCAAAACCTTGATGTTCCCACAGCTTAATCCCTGTTCACAGCAAAAAACTAAAAAGCAAACTAAGTTACAGTATGTTTTCTTATATTCATTAACAATTTAAAACAATTCTGCATGGGGCTACATTGAAATACTGGGTATTCTATTAGTTAGTTTAAAGTTGACGTATGTAACTTTTTTTTGTTTAAAAAGGAAAAAAAATCAACCAAACAAGCATTATGGTGAGAAAGAGGCAAGAAAGGACAAGTTTATTTGTAGAGCACAGTTCATACACCAGAAACAATACAAGGTATTACAATCATACATAATCGCAGTACATTCAAAAAGAGCAAATATAAAATCCCTTAGTTATATGCACAGAACTGTTTTTAACCCGGATTTGAACATTGTCAGAGAAGAAGCCTGTCTCACATTTCCAGGAAGACTGTTCCAGATTTTAGGTGCATAAACTTAAGGAATGAAGATTCACACATCACTTACTACTGATCTGGTATTAAAAAGTATTGGGTTCTTCTATACCGGACAGTATAAGGTTTTGTGATGGTATTACCTTGACATGTTTCAACGGATACTTCCGTCTTCCTCAGAAGCGTCTCGCAACTTCACACATGACGTGCCTTTATCAGCTGCTGTTCCCTGGTGGAGCCAACCCAGCCAAGCTGTGTGGTGGCTGACTGCGCCCTCTGCAGGCCAGTACCTGGGAACAGCAGCTGATAAAGGCACGTAATGTGCGACATCGCAAGACGCTTCCGAGGAAGACAGAAGAATCCGACGAATAACATGTCAAGGTAAAAAAATACCTAGTATTGTCCGGTATAGAAGAACCCAAGACATTTAATTCTACTAAGAAGACAAGATGAATCTTCCTAAACTACAGATCTGGTGTGTTGGAGGTTGAAGCATAAGAATTATTCCCACACACCGTCTTACTTGCAAAATAAAAATGTATTGGGAATATCGCATGAATCATAGCTGCATAAATCTGAAATGCTGCCTTCAACAAGCAGCATGTACAGCTCGTTTGGAGACACCAGTGAGCTGGCTGTTACTGTAATCTAACCTACTGAAGACAAATGTATGGAAAAGTACCCTGTGAGTGAGGCGGGTCCTCTCGTTTTCACTTTTCTGTCTTAAAAACTTGATCTAAAATGCCAAAAAATACATGCATTGGAGAATTAGTGATGAAACCTTAGGAACTAGTTAGATGGCTTTTATTGCATAGTTTTGCTGTGGTTTTAAAATTAGGTACCTCTGCTTTGTTTGTTCCCAGTTCACTCAAACATGTTTTGTATGGTCAGGTATGTAGCTGCAATTGATAGAAGTTAACTATCAACCATTGCAAGCCAATGCAACTGATATGATCATTATAATCCAGGGAATATGCATTGTATGCATTCCTTTATAATTGGCAGCAAGGTCATTTCCATCTCTTCATTGTCCCCTGCCCCTGTGCTAGACATTTGTACTCTATGAACGTGGTTTAAGAGTGAGAGGATATTTGATAATTAAGCCATTATCACAGCAGAAATTACAAGACAATTATAAGAAGGTTCTCTGTTGCACAGTGGGGAAATTTCACTTTGATGAATACACATACACACATCAAGGCATGCAGCGAACATTAATTCCACGTCCCTTATAGGCAAAGTGGGTTAAATGCATTGCCCAAGGACACAATGACAGCAGGTCTCGGGGTGGGCTCAAACCCACAATCGTCAGGCTCAAAGGCCAATGCTTTACCAACTGAGCTACTGCCACCCGGCACGGTGGCTGAGGGGATAGCACTCGCTCTCAGCAATCCCAGTTCGGAACAGGGCCTTTGAGTGGAGTTTGCATGTTCTTCCGGTGTCTGCGTAGGTTTCCTCCGTGTGCTCTACCACTACCCTACCCTACCACTAAAAACATGTACAATAGGTATGAATGTAGATGAGTGAGTGAATAGAAGGTGTCGATTGGGGGTTTTGATGCACCATTTTGTTCGGCGGCTCCCTTAGGTCATCACCGTGTGTGCAATATCTGAACTCTGAACATTGTAAATGGTTTTGGGTGACCATGGCCTACAGTATATAATGCGCTATATAAATACACTTACTTACTTACTTACCCCAGTAATATGAACATTATCTATGAAATACTGACTGTTTTATTGTTTCTTTTTAACATTTTTGGACCAGCGCTTCTTTGTGAAGTGACACTTGCAACATGTGTAAAGACAAAACTTTTTTAAAACTCATCCTCAAGACTCATGGGGTACGACGACAAGTACTACAAAGTAATTCATCATCACAGGGCTATGCTTTTGTTCTCTTCATTCAACTTTTAAAACTACAAAGCACCTTTTATCTTTGCGAGGACTTTGCATTAAACATTCAAGGTTTCCGCAAAGCAGAATTTGAATGTGTTTGCTCTACCCAGGTGATGGTTTCCCCCGAGAGACTGACCAAGACTGCAGAGCGGATTGTGGAAGACTTCTGCTGGGTCCAGTGGGATGGGCACACGCAAAGATTGTACTATGTAACTCATAAGGTGCCCATGATGCAAACACTGTTAAATACAAGGATCAGGCTTGACAATATAAATAGCTATAATCTCTGTGAGTACTACCATAGGCTGTAAAAGAAGAGACATTGCTCCAAATTAAGTGCTTTGACTTAAATGACTTGCATTCTGTGACCACTTGCGTCTCACTCAGCATTTTGGGCATACATACTGTACTGGTGGTTTAACACTGTGTATGATCCTGGTGTTTATAGTTCAATAATGTCTGTGTCCAGAAGAACAGGGAACTATGCACATTAAGGATGGATGAACGAGAACAGCAAATGAAGAGAAAGAAGAAAGCCTGTACAGTAATCCTTGTAAAATGTAGTAATAGTGTAGCAACGTTTCGGCCCAATGGCCTTCTTCAGATGGTGTCTTTGTAAACCAGATATGATCATTCAGGTGCTGTCTGTTCTCAAATTTGGCTTTGGTGAACAGATCAGCGCTGCTACTGATATGCACTTTGGTTCATTGCTACCTACGAATTGGCCTCAACATTCTCAACTAAAGCTTGCTAGTTATCTCTAGTGGTCTTCTTCTGGGTTAGTCCATACCTTTTACAGTCTATGAGTACTACCCAATGCCAAGCTAGCTATAGATTGGGAATGCAGCATGTAAAAGAAAAATGATACCAAAATTAATACATGTCAGTTATGCAATAGGTGCCATTTGAGTTGAGAATAACAGTAGATTTTTCATGTGTAACAGGGAAAGTACCGGCTGCGATGTGTGCAGTTCTTTTCAAAGCACTACTGTGAGGCCGTGGTATGTCACACCCGTTTTTAATTATCACACGCACATGGATCATTTGCCCACTGCAATAATAGCATTGGTTAGGATTGTGTTGTATCTATCAATCAAGATTGTTGTGTTAGTTGATTATTAAAGCTGGTGTTCCTAACTTTAGAAACCACAAACAAAAATGAACAAACAAGTTCCACACTCTTGAACAGTTTGGTTCTATCACTAGTCACATCATTAGATCAGCTTTTTCAGAATGAAAAAGGACAAAAAAGGCCCCTTTCCACAAGTAGACAAAAACCAACATGACAAAAATAACATGTTTTCTAATAAAAACAAAGAGCATATTGTGGTCTGACGTGTTCACCACATTTTACTTTTAGAAGACTTTTTCTGTTGAGACAAACAACATGAATGGTTTACTATGTAAAAGTTAGGTACCCAATCTTTAAGCATGACATAGTTAGACTGACCTTATGCCGAAGCAATACTGAAAAGACTGTAATTGCCTGAAACAGATTTAAAAAGTAAAAAATAACCATGAATTACAGAGGCCTATTTAATATTTTTATAAATAGATATAATTCTTTTGAACAAATACTGTTTATTTTTTCTTAAGTATTCTTATGTTATGTCTTATTTCTACAGCTGGAGCTCCCTTTGGAGATGCCTGCTAATTCATTCTCAGCAGTCAAGTAAGCCAATAAATGCAGCACGAATGGAGAAACTGTATTCTCAGCTCTTCTACTGTCTGTATAATATTAATGTCTTTGATTAGGGAAACGCAAGTTAATCCCTATGCTTTTTCTCTTACTGTGCTGTTTTGTTTCAGCTGCAAGCTTCATTCATCATCATTATTTTCCCTTGTCAATGATTTTGTTTACGTATGTATTTGGTGACCAGGTTTGCTAACCTGGGGTTTGACCATTATCACACGGAGAAACCGGAGCAGGAGCTTGTTAAAATGGAAGTGTTCACAGACAGAATAGGTAACAGAATTTTTCCTGTACAAATAATTATAATGCGACAATAATGTTACAAACCCTGCAGCTATACTGCACAGGACTGGACTAACTCGCTGTCTGTGTGTCATTCTTCTCTGTAAAAGTCCATCTCAGTCATACCAGATTGTATGATTATTTTTTATTGTGCACTTGTGGGGGTCTGCCATCTGCTTTTTGCTATAGAGATGTTTTGTGAATTATCGGGAACGTTTCACTAGTACGAACGGCACTATCTGACTCCTTGGAGATAATAAATATGTAAAATGCCAGAATCTGCAAAATGCAAACACTTAAAACACAATCTTTCTTTATTTAGTTGATTAATCAATGTTAAGGCAAGTATATTTTTAGAGCACAGCTCAAAGTGCTTCACAAAACAAAATAGAAACAAAATATAAGACATAAGACATTACAATCATAAAAACAGCTGTACATTAAATGAAGAGACGATACAACTAAACAGAACAGTTTTTTATCTTGGATTTGAAAATTGTCAGAGTAGAAGCTTGTCTCACATCTTCAGGAACTTCCAGATTTTAGCTGCATGAATGTGAAATCCTGCCTCCCCATGTTTAGTCTGCGTTCCTCAGTCCGAGTTGATTCATATGGCACTAAAATGTCACTAATGTACTTTGGTACTGTTCAAAAGTGTGAAACTAATATAAGACTCATTACACACATAGTGAGGTATGGCAAGCCGTTATTTGTTATAATGTTGAAAATTGGCTCAGTTATTGTTCCTCTTCTTCACAAAAAGCCTTTTGATTCAATTGGACATTGAACAACACTTCACTGTAATCAGTAAATGTGGTGATTTCAATCCAAAATACCACTCACAATTCCTGAAAGGGCTTGTTACTTGTTATAGTGGATACTTTAACCAGGCTTAGTTGGTATGCAAATGCCGCTTAATTACTGAATATAATTGGGGGATGTTGCTTTGTTGTTTTGTGTACGATCAGCTCATTTTGCTCATTTTACTTCGTACAGGAAGCATGTGCATCTGCTACAATCATCCCCTGAACAAAAACAACAAAGAAGTGGTCTACACTCTGGTTCTGGTGCACAAAGGTACACTTTGTTTTAACCCTTTAATGGTTCGCTCAATCATTTGGTAGATCACTGAATCTATCTCATTGCAAAATCTCTTCCACTATAAATATGCTCTGCTTAAAATATCCACCCATTGACGGATATGTATTATACTTTATTTGCTATAACTCATGTATAACTATGTATTAGGCAATTTTAGCATCAATCTGCATCTCAGCAATTTGGTAGAGGCTTAATTAAAAACTAGGGGTCCAAAAAAAGAAAAGAAAAATATTGTTGATATTAGTGCTCCTACAGCTTAGAAACTTGTTTTTTTCAAGGGGGGAATCTTAAAGGGTTAAGCTACTTTTATTACTTTATTTTATAATTGTTTGACTCATAAACATTAGTGAATAAGTCAAAATGTACCAATGACAAGAAATATGCATTTTTCTGCTCCCAGCGTTTCAACCATAGAAGTTATTTAATGCTGCAGTGCTTTCTCAAACACATCCGTTAGAACTTCATTGTATTCATTGTGTTGTGAAATGTGTTTTATGTTACACAGCGTTGCTTTTACTAGTGTATGTCCTGTTTTTCCTGCTTATCCACAGGCTGCAGCAAGACATTTCAAATGGCTCTGGGCAGTATGGAGTTGCTGAAGAGAAGCGCTCTGCTCCATCCTCTCTTCATCCCCATAGGTCCAAAACAAACAGACACATGCAGTAGTTACACGCTCGCTTTCTCATATATCACCATTGTTATAAATTCATCAAAGCGTGCAGTGTGGTTCCACCTCGCACTATGCCACACACAATTTGCTTTTGTATTCATAGTATAAACTCAGTAGTTCTTTGAAAACATTTTCAAATCCATCTTTCCCACTTTCAAAACAGTTGGAGTATATCACTAGTTTACACGTACATGTGGCTCTCAAAAGTATTAACACAGCTACATAGTTTTTTGTTTGTAAAGAGGAATTGTCTAAACTTTCTGTCTCTAGACAAAGTTGTACCCCAAAAGACTTGCTGCTGTTTCTGCAGCAAGAGGGGGTTCCACAAAGTATTAACTGTGTGAAAACTTACCCAACTTTTCAGTTTCTATTTAAAAAAACCCCAACAAAATCATGTATAATTTTACTTTCACTCCACAGTTGTCTGTTACTTGTGCGTGAACTTTCAATATAATAATCAAAGTAAAATCTTTGTTTTTATGGTTGTATGTTGAATCAAGATTCAGGTTTCAACCATTTATTTGCCATTTGCAGTAAACACATTTTCCGGCACCATGCAAAAACATGACAATGTGCAAAAGTTCAAGCTGTATATACTTTTGAGAGGCACTGTATCTGTTTTGGTCATTGTCATAAATTTGGATCAGCTTTTTCAGGCAGAAAAGTGAAAAAAGAGAGGAAGCCAATCTGCTCCCAACCCAAAGCGTCAAATAGTAACTCACAAGGCTCTTTCTCACAAATACCCTTGTTCACAGCATTTTACTATTAACATGTGATATGATAAAATATAAAAATAGGTACCTTAGATTTAAAGAAAAGTTATTGTTTAGAACACGCATACATGTTCCATAAAAGGATATTTGAAAGCCATATTTGTTATATGATGCGACTTGGGGCTGGCTCGACCTCTGCTGGTTGAATTATATATTTTTGAAAAATAATCTCAATTGAATTAAAGCTAGAATATGTAACATCTCTAGTCTGTAATAAAATCCATGTAAGTAATTCCTGGCTCAAATAACCTTTTGGTTCTATCACTGTTTTTTTTTTTACAATTAAAAAAGTGAAGGAGAGTATTATAAGAATTATGTCTGAAAAAAAGATTTGGTGCCCTAGCTTAAACATGAAGTGCAAAAATCATATGTGTGTATGCTTCTTAAGGCATGTATTTGAATAAACCAGCAGTCGCATATATTATTATAAACATAAGACATGGACTGGCTTAATGCTTCCTGAGACGGGATGAGAAAAGATTTTATGCCTGATGTTCTTCTAGGCTACTACATTTTGGTGTACATGGAGGACTGTTTTCTTCACCTGATAAACACCAGGCAGCAGGAGATGCTCTGCCACTCTCTGTTTCTCTCCGCTAATACAAAGCGTAAGCACATCTCTATATTGTATAACTAAAGCAGACGGTGAGCTCCAGTAGCTGAAATTACTTTATTAACTTTTAAGGTCATGACGTGGATCTGGGGCTGCGGTGCCGCTCGGCCGACATCACTGTGCTGAATTTTGATGAAAAGGCCAGTGTTTCGCTGCTGGAGCTGAGCAGTGGGAGAGTCCTGGCTGCAGAGCTCAATGCTGCTCACCTGCTGCTGATACTCGGGGCTGACACTGCTTTTCAGTAAGATGCTATTGCAAGGCTGTGCATGGCTGTACTGTACCAAACTACATCACACATTACACTATAGTAAAAGCAGTGACGGAAGTGAGGGTCATGGTTGGTGATGCACGGTTGATGATGCACTGACTTAATCACAATAAGATGTATTCGTCCCACGGTGGGGAAATGTCAGTGTTGCGTCATTAGTTAAGAGTAGCACACAGCACAAGATCAATGTTTAATAATTTGATACTAAATAAAACTAATATCTCTAACTCTAGCATGATGAAGAATCAAGTATAAAATCTCTACCTTTGGCATAATGTGGGGCGACAGTGGCTCAGTTGATGGAGCATTGGCCTTTGAGCCTGAAGGTTGTGGGTTCGAGTCCACCACAAGACTTTCTCCACCTATGTTTGCTGTTGGAGCAAAGGAAGGTTTCTCACCCATCATCTGTACTTCTTAGCAAGTTTTCCCGACGTTTCGTCCTCAACCTAGCGGACTTCTTCAGGGAATGAATTCTCGGACCGCGCGTTGGAGATTTATAACCTATGGGTGTGGTAAGCCACACCCTAATCCTGATACTAACTCGTAAACAATCTCAGGTCTGCTTGATGTAGAAGGGAGCAGGTCTAACGACCCTGCTAAGGCTAACGACCCTAAAGCCTAGTGTATACTTGCGCGGCGTGGCTTACGTTAGCAGTTGCGGTGGACCTACGTAAGCACAATTGATGTTATACTGGCGCGTTCCCCTTACGGAGTTTTGAGGAGAATGTTGTAATCCCACAACAAACCACATGAGGGCGATCACACAGGAGCGGCCCATGGATGTATTATATTAACTGGATAGGGTATTACTAGCTTGTAGCTGAATAACTCATGTGCTCGGGGGATTCTCGCGGTACTGCAGACTGAACCAGACTAAATTCACGTGGGCTACCCAGAAATTTTCCCCATAGGACTCAATGCATATTAAAACAGCTCAACCTCAGCTGACAGAGAACCTACAGCTTTAATAAAGATTGAATTTTGTGGGGATTTTAGTGTCCCTTGTCATCCTGAACTTTTTTTCTTCTTAAATCCTTTGGTTTTCTTTAAATCCACACTTTAGTGCCACAAACTCTGCTCGTCTGGCTCTCGCTCTAACTCCCGCTCTGATGAGCTGCTCAGATTGGTCAGAGCGCGGCCGAGCCCCTCTGTGCACGTGCGTGAGACCTGGTGTGAGACCCACACACGCGTGTTTGGCGCAACGCATTATGGGAGATCATCCACTGCGCAGAACCGGGAGGACCAGACGATGCCCAAATACAGGCGAGTTTCCCATAGATCTTTGCGAGTTTCAGGCAACTTCCGCTAATCTTTCAGCCCCCATGCCGTCACAAAGCGCCACTGAGCACAACCATTCATTTGAATAGGGCGCCATCTTGGATCGCCGGGGCTTGGAGCGGCCCCATTTACGCTGCTACTTTGTCCTCTTCAGAACAACAATAGCAAACAAAGCTGTTTGAGCTCATTACACGTGTTTCTACTGTAGGTTTATGTGATAGTTTTATGGATTCATTATTTTATAAGTCATTTCAACTGTGATGCTTTGAATAAAGACACAGTTCTTGTTGGAAACATAGTTATTATTTATTAGTTTTCAGCACAAACAGCAAAACAATAATAGTGGTAAATATCTGAGACAAACATGAACGATTTACGAGTGCAGGAGGAAAGCAACAAACGCAGCTACGATTCAAACAAGACAGGAACAGTGCAAAACAAACGACTGCACAGTTTATAAGTTATATATATGTTAGATAGTCCACAGTCTCCTGTATATCAGGCTCTGAGCCCAAACTGCTTTTCCTTCGAAGCACAAAGCTCTCTGCTCCATAGTGCCTCGTCCATGTCCCTGCTGCAGCCGCTTCATGCTTCCTTCCAATACACACACACGGACCAATCACAGCGGAGATTCCTTGCGGCGACCCTTACGTAGTTAGAAAATTTCGATGCTGCGCGGCAGGCGACGTAAGGGCCTTGCGGTGACCAACGCGTTGCGCAAGTGACGTCACGTCACCTCCGTAAGCTCCGCGCCGCGCAAGTATAAACTAGGCTTAACTCATTAGCATGTCACAGACCTATTGTCTGCTGGGATGCTCAAGTGGAGTGCAGGTTTCACCCCTCCTAACTCATTAGCATGTCACTGACCTTGTCCCAAGTTAGGGCGTTGTTTTTAGGATGTCGTCATAGATGCGAGGCAAAACAAATCTTGACCCTCCTCCTCTGTTAAGAGAAGGTTTTTGTTTCCTCACAAAAATGGCTTCTTTCACCCCTCTCTCAAACCAATTCTTCTCCCGAGCCAGAATTGTAACCTCTGTGTCATCCACCGTGTGGTTGGAGGCCTTGAGGTGGAGATGAACAGCCGACTGTGGCCCACTAGAGTTTTCTCTACGATGTTGGTAAAGTCGTTTCTGTAGAGTTTGTTTGGTTTCTCCAATATAGTGGTCAGTGCACTCCTCTTCACTACATTTAATTGAATACACCACATTGCTCTGTTTGTGTCTGGGTGTTTTGTCTTTGGGATGCACTAATTTCTGTCTTACCGTGTTGAAAGGTTTGAAATACACAGGGATTTTGTGTTGCCTAAAGATTCTTTGTAGTTTCTCTGAAACTCCCGCCACATACGGTAAGGACACCCCTCTCCTCCTACTTTCTTCTGTCTGTTGGACTGTGTCTCTGGCCTTTCTCGTCCTTTTGGCTTTAGTAAAAGACCACTTGGGGTAGCCACATCTGGAAAGTGCTCTCTGAACATGTTTGGTTTTTACACAGTCCAACAGACAGAAGAAAGTCCAACAGACAGAAGAAAGTAGGAGGAGAGGGGTGTCCTTACCGTAGCAATGTGGTGTATTCAATTAAATGTAGTGAAGAGGAGTGCACTGACCACTATATTGGAGAAACCAAACAAACTCTACAGAAACGACTTTACCAACATCGTAGAGAAAACTCTAGTGGGCCACAGTCGGCTGTTCATCTCCACCTCAAGGCCTCCAACCACACGGTGGATGACACAGAGGTTACAATTCTGGCTCGGGAGAAGAATTGGTTTGAGAGAGGGGTGAAAGAAGCCATTTTTGTGAGGAAACAAAAACCTTCTCTTAACAGAGGAGGAGGGTCAAGATTTGTTTTGCCTCGCATCTATGACGACATCCTAAAAACAACGCCCTAACTTGGGACAAGGTCAGTGACATGCTAATGAGTTAGGAGGGGTGAGACCTGCACTCCACTTGAGCATCCCAGCAGACAATAGGTCTGTGACATGCTAAGGAGTTAGGGTCGTTAGCCTCAGCAGGGTCGTTAGACCTGCTCCCTTCTACATCAAGCAGACCTGAGATTGTTTACGAGTTAGTATCAGGATTAGGGTGTGGCTAACCACACCCATAGGTTATAAATCTCCAACGCGCGGTCCGAGAATTCATTCCCTGAAGAAGTCCGCTAGGTTGAGGACGAAACGTCGGGAAAACTTGCTAAGAAGTACAGATGATGGGTGAGAAACCTTCCTTTGCTTTGACTAATCCCTGTACGACTGAGGGCTTACACAAACTTATGTTTGCTGTTGTTGTGTCTTCACCCTCATTGCCTAGAAATGAGTCTAGTGTGTGTCTGAATGGCTGGTGGTGGGTCGGAGGGGCTCGCTTTTGTCAGTGTGCCCCAGGGCAGCTGTGGCTACAGTAGTAGTTTTTCACCACCATGTATCGTTATTAACTTTGAATATGTAAGAATAATGACATGTGAAGCGTCTTTGAGTGTCCAAAAAAGCGCTATATAAAACAATTCCATTAGTATAAAGTACTGTGTATTCTAGTGAAAGTAATGTATATATGTAGGGGTTATGGAAGTTGATATCACAGATAACTCAAGTTATTTATTTGATATCGGAGAATTGGCTTGAAAGCAATCAGTAAATACAATAATTAATAATAGCTTTATTTTGGGGCACCAGGGAATTAATCCCAACTGATAACGTGCGTATGACGTCACATTATTTATTTATTGGCTCATTTATTGTTTCAGTAATCCTATGAGTCCTTTAATTATTTAATCAGCTGTAAATATAATTCTCTTCAATAGAATCTGAAGGTATGAATCCTTTCACAAATCATTGACAAAATTTCAGCACAAATATCACTTTCAGACAAGGATGGTTTTGTAGATTTAATGCAGTATATACAAGATTAGATATTAAATATTTAAATTGTCAAGAATAACATGAAGGAAACGCTGATTGTAACACATGGTTAAAATGCTATGGCTAAGGTGAGATGAGGCTAATTGTTAGGATTAAGCAGACAGAGACGGATCGTGGTGTGCCAAACTCTGGAAGTTTATTTAAGTTTATTTAAGTTCCACTGGTTTACTCTGTTTCTTTCTCTCAGACAGAATAAAGGCAGTACACAGTTTATATAGTCATTGTCACGTCACACATCGAAAGACATACGTGTCACAAAGAGACAGTCACATCATAGTCATAACATGGAGTCCTTGTAGAGTCCTTGTACAGTCCTGCACGTAGGCCATATTGCTATCTAATACTAACATAATGCAAGGCCAAAAGTGTTCTTAGCTTGACTTGTAGGTTTTTAAATAAGCCAACAAATGTGTGTAGCAGAGCAGATCATACAACCAGAGTCCTTGGGTCGTGATGGCAATGGATGCAGACCAGTCCTTGTTCATGACTTGATCTTGCAGCTGCATCATGTGGTCCTTCAGCAATCCACCATCTCCATGTTGAAGCTGGAGGCTATTTGAGTCCTCTCAAACCTGGAGCTGAACAGGCCCAGACGTCCTGCTACTGCATGGCACGCAAAGTATAGACGGTCAGGCCTCTCGGTCCTCCCTTTGCCTCTGGAGGACCGAGAGAGCAGAGACCTGGTGTTCTCCTCACGCAAACTTCTTTGAAAGAGAGCTTCAAAATGGAGCTGTGAGAGTTTTGTCACTTCTTGGGCCGCCTCCCCCGAATGCAGGGAGGCAGAGGTCTTATCAGAGCGGAGGAAGGGCAGCATAAAAAGGGGTAATTTTCATACCCCCTACATAGATTTTATATCCATATCAACATGATACCTACATTGCACATAATATATCTTTTCATTTTTTTAACATATCTTTTGCACACCCTGAGTGATCATATTTATGCCAAATCTAAGATGCTAAATTCTCCATCGTGAGATCAGTAAAGCTTTATCGTCACCATTTTTCTGGTATAGAAATTTCAATTTTGCCCACGGCTATGTTTTTGATGATGTGCCGACAAACTCCTTTCTGGAGGAATGCACATTTACAACAAACAACTATATATTATTAACACAGCGCTGAGTCCAAGTTTTTATTTGAGTGTGTTTGAGTTCAAATGCAGTTAAATTCCCCCATTAGTAACAATCATGATTTTTAAAGCTCAGAATCTGCCGAATGTAGTTGTTCTGATCCAAATGACCATCTGTTGTTAACTGTAAACATGTCTGTAAAAGATTATTCCAATACTCTCCCAAAGCAGAGATCATAAATGCAAGTTCACCAAGCTCTGCTAAAATGAAATATATAATTTCAGAATTCAGTACCTAGTACATAAACATTTACCCTTCAGGCAACTTCAGCTCCACCTCATTTCAAATCTCTTAACAGAGTGAATCTAGTTGTTCTATACAAATCAGTCGATAAATCCATAAATCCATATTCAGCTTCGTGTTTCATGCAACAATTTGAGGACTATTTTCCAAATCAATTTAAGTCATAATTTTGGCACTAGTGATAGAAAGATATTTTTAAAACCAGGAACAAGTGGAATGATTTGTATATCAATGTTCTATTGTTCTGGTTTGGAAGTTCTGTACTTTATAAAAAAATAAGAAACGTAGCAGAGAGAACGAGCAACAAAATGTTTATTTATTATGGCGTCTATTTGTTTGTAGATCAGGAAATTGAGAAAAGTTTCCATACTAAGTGTATATTTTAAGGTTCACCAATCATAGTGGATTTAAGTTGAACATGTTTGTCTTTGTGTTGTTATTTCAAGCCAACTTATAAAGAACTATATTAATGTGGGCAAAGACTACAAGGTTTTCTGTAATAACTTTTTGTACACATCGTTTTGAGCTTGGAGATGGTATTGATCCAACTCCTCTACCTCACAATGATTAATCTGTGTCTTTGGGGCAACCTGCAACAACAAAAGATTTGTCAATACAATATTATTCTGATTCACATTTTGTTAGACACTCATAAACAGGTCCTATTTCTTATTTAAAAGGCATCAGACACATAGAATTATCTTTTGTGCAAAACGTATTATAATGAATGCATTGTACACAACTATATTGTTATTTAATTATGATGAAATGTTATTTTATGGTTGACTCTTTGTGGATGGGACGTATTTCAAAACAGATTTATGTTGTGAATAATACTTGTGATGAGTGCCCTAATCCTGCACTGTGCAAACCATTTTAGTTTATCTGCTTAGTTACCTTTGTGTTGGAACAGATTGTTACAAAGGTCTGTTTTCTTCATTGACATAAGCAGGCCCAATGGCTTAATATTTAGTAGTATTTTTCATAAAAGATATGTTTGGAGACCAGAGAATCAACAAATATTTCCCACTTCTGTCATCTATGCCGGCAGCGCTTTGTGTGGAGTGAATCAGAAATCTTCAGTGCTTTGTTACACTGGTCTGTGAAAAACGTTTATATAAAAAAAGATTACTTACTTTTCCTATTGCAACACCACAAGCTCTCCATTGTGATTCTGAATATGGTTTTCTTATCACAGTCTCCTGAGTGTTACATTGTGGTTACCCCAGACCAAAAAAGTTACCTATGAGAGCATTAGTTTAGCTTAGCCTTAAAGCTGGGGGACCTAACTCTCTATCTACAAAACTATGAAATAAAATCTATTTTACTAGTTCCTCACAATCAAAATGGTTTGGTTTTACCACTAGTTTTCACAAGCATGTATTGTTTGGCTTCTGTCACATCCTTAGATCAGCTTTTTCAGACAGAACGGTGAAAATGAGAAATTAGCCCTCATCTCTCAGCTCAAAGTGTCAAATAGTGACTCACAGGGCTCTTTCTTACAAGTACAAGTGTTTTCTAATGCGATAAAGACGGCATGCTGTGCTCTGATTCACCTTATTTTACTTTTGAAAGATTACTCCTCGTGGGACAATTAAAATGCATTATTAATAGAACTAAAGTGAGGTACCCCAGCTTTAACTTGTGCATAACCTTTTTCTTAAGATCACCTACAGTTTATTTGCACTTTGCTGAGGAGTTCTTGACAACTGCCTTTCTCCCTCACCATCTGCCTATGCAGCACTTGTCTTTCTTATATGCTTATGCTGTATAATGTAAATTCTGCCTCTTTGTCCAATCACCCATCCAAGGTGTCCCCGCCGTGAGCCTGACCCTGATCGCCTGGCCGCCCTCCACTGCCTGCTGGTTTACATGGGAAACGACCCAAATCTGGAGCTGAAGGTACACACTGGAGGAGGGTAGGGAGGGAGGGTAGGGAGGGAGGGAGGGAGGGAGGGCTGGACTCACTGACATTTGACGGTAATTTAGTGTCGTGTCCTGCGCCGAGGTGGCTTCCTCTCTTAAGGTGAAACTTGGTTCTTTTAACAAAGTTTGTTTACGGATCGATATGTTGTTGTAGCATGGATCAGTGAGTATACAGATGAAGTGCCTTTTCCCCTCAGGCTAAAGATTTTAGACACTGGCTCTGATCAGTGGTGATGCTTATGTCTGGCTGTACTACATTGTGCAAGCTGCAGATGTCAATGTTGAGTTCAAAGAATGTTGACGGGTTTGGATGAAAACAGTCGAAATTCATGTGGGAATATTTCTATTTTTTAACACTGAAAACGTATGTTATATTTTATTCTTATATATTTTGTTTATTTGATTCATGTACACAGACAACTAAAAGTGCTATACACATATTTCAATAGTTAAACAATAGTTAAAAAGTAGTAGAACTAAATTCAACTGCACTAAAATTCATGGCAACTGAAACAACAAATCTTGAGTCAATTACTATCATTTTTTTTCAAATTTGGGACAATTCATTGAAGGGTTTTTCCCCCGTTTTGCAAATCAGTAAACATTTGTCATTCTTTCACAAATACTATGATAGCATCTCTTACTTAAAGCTGCAGTGTTTTTCAGACAACAAAAAGTAACTTTGTAATAACATTCAATCTTATTTATATTTATAAAGTTTATAGCTCACAAAACGGTTTGGCTCTATCACTAGTTTTTTCCATAAATTAGTTTTTAAATCGATAGTGAAAAAGAAAGGACCACCCCCTCTCTGCCCCGTTGGTCAAATAGTGACTAACGGGGCTCTTTCTTACATGTATGCAACAGATATAATGTTTCCTAATGAGATGAAGACAGGATTATGAGACCATTTGACTTTTACAAGACAGGGATAGTAAAATGTATGAAAAAGTTAGGTACCCCAGCTTTAATTAAAAATGTATTCATCTATCGGTGTCGCTATCATATTAGATATACTTTATTCTCATTTATTTTTTCTTCTTTATCAGCAAAATGCAGAGGCTGTCGAATACACTTTAGGGTTAAAAGCAGCACGGACAAAATTGTGCTTTTTTGAAGTGTGGAGAAGAAAGCTTATAGACATCAAACAAACGGTTTTTTATTGTTGTTCCAAACACATCAAATATAGAATATAACAGTAATACATATATCTCTGCTGCTTTGATAGTTCATATTTGGAAGGGGTCAAGCGAGTTTCGGGTTTTATTAAGCAGAAAGAATCCGAGAAATTGGACATCAAACGCAACTTTCTGCATCCTTTTGCATTAGCTCTTAATGGGGCCAGTGGCTAGAAAAATATCAGTGGCTTGGGGAGAAAAAAAGAAAACAGGATTGCTGCTGCCTCATTTTGCATTGTTCGCCAGAAGCTTGAAAATTAAAATGAACTTCCCCAACTTGCAGTCCTGCAAATGTCGTTTTTCTTTCATGGTATCCTCATTATGTCCACAGGGCTGACTTTAACTTCCTGTAGTAAATTATTGTATCGGAGTCTTGCCACAAAATTGGGTTGTTTAAGGAAGGCAAACAGAGTAACTCTATTTTTTTTTTTTACATGTACCAACATTAACTTGGTAGATTACATGTTTTAGATGAGACTTATTTCAAACCGGCACGGCACATTTTCACTGACATCAGCGTGACAGACTAAGAACAAGAGCATGGTTCTAATAAGGAGCTGGACGAAGCAAACACTTAATTTCAATCTCCGATGCAATATTGGGCTGTGGCATAATATTGATTGGGTAATGGAATATTGCACTAATACTCGATTACCCTAAATCTAACTACTATCCAATATATATGCTACTTAAAGAAGCTATACCCGATTTTTTTTCTAAGTAGTTCATAAAAATGCTTTTTACTACATACAAGTTGTATCATAATACATCATTTAATAAAAACTTGAGGTAATTGATTCAGCTGTGTAAGAATTACAAGCAGTGAAAAGTGCTGAGTAGAGTCTGAGCGGGCCGCTCTTTCTCCTCCGCTCACAGAACGAGCAGCGAGCAGCCTGCGTCCTCTAGCCTCTACAGCGCTGCTTAACACCAGGGCTTCGACTTCAAAATTCGAATATCATTCTAAAATAAAAATATATACATATTTGAACAAATATTAGACAACCCTTATAATTCGAAATGTATTTAATGACTGCAAATATAATAGTTAGCTCCCAAAGGTTTCACCGGGACGTGCTAGGCTGTTAACAGCTAAGCTAGCTAGCTGTTTCATGGTAACTTCCGGGTTTTTCGCGATCGCTTTTTGTCACTTTAAAACAGTATTTTTGTCATGAAAACGTTGACAGCAAATTCTGAAATCATCCGTGCATGTGTGTTAAGGATGTATATGTATACTGTATTGTCCGATTGACGTTTAATGGTGTTGATTGATAGATATGTAGTTGTTTATTGAGCGTGGCTAGCTCCGTTGGCTTCTCTACACAGACAAGTGTGTAGTGACAGGCGCTGATAGCGTTTTGTACTTGCAGAGTAATGGCAGTATTTTACACACCTGAATTACAAACAGAGGTTGCATTGGGGCTTCGGTCATTATTGGTTTGAGAGTTCTGTTATCAAGAAAAAATGATCGGAAGAATTGCTGCTGCTGCTTTGAGGAGCTCTATAACAAATTATAATTAAATATTAGAATATATTCTAAGGTTTTAAATTGATACATTCGGACGCATAACTAGCGGTATTCTTTTACTTATATATTGTGTGAGCAGTGCGTTGCTTTAGTGCCATTTCATCAGTGATTGTTGCACAGCTTACAAGAAGTTGCGCTAATGCTAATGTTAGCATATGTATCAGATCGCAAATAAAACTAGGTGGCTCTGTGTTATGAGAGTTGTTATGAGAGCGTAGGGGAAATGAGAAGCCTGTGAGCGAGTTGGGGGGCGGTGCTAAACATTCAAACATTGCAGAAACGGGTATAGCGCCTTTAACCTCTTTCACCCACCAGTCTTGCCAGCAGGTCCACACAAATAACCACATTCATCAATGAAGCAATAAAAAACCTTTTGGATTAACACCCCTCAGCATCTATGCCCCAGATTGTGATTTACAATTATATGAGCAATATATCAATAATCACAGTATCGTCATAATGTGATTATATTGTTTTGTAGGCCATGTATTGCCATAGATTCCCATCCTTAATAGAACACCATGTAATAACTCACACCCAACGCACGCACACGCACACACACACACTTTCTGAGCCTTCACCGATATCTGATTACTTTCTCTGTGCTAAATGCATCCCTTTCTTTCCTTCACATACTTGTTCAGTACTTCTCTTTTAAAACAGTTTTACTGAAAAAGAGGCCGCTGTAGAAGAGTTATTGCAATAGTTATGGATATTATATTCATACCATACATTCTGACGGCTGTTTTATTGTCAGCCCATACTCATACCAGACTTTTCTGATTTGCACTTATTACCTTCCGCCTGTCTCACATAGAACCTCATTAACCTTCCCATTTAAACTATTAATGCATTTCTCTCCTTTTAGATTATTGAATGGCTGTGCGACGACACCAGTACCTTCCAGTCTTTTGATCACATCCAGGAGTTCATTCTAGGTCAGTGCCAACAGGAGGCGCATCATAATCATCATCATATTTTTTATCTCCACATGTGTTGAACAACTTCACAGCACAACTACAGATCGTGTTTTCAGTCTTAAAAATTCTCTTCACAAACTCTGCTCCAAAGAGAGTAGTTCAAAATGGAGTTATTTTGAGACCTTGGAATACCTTTAAACTAGATTACTACTGCTCATGCCTGCTGTGCCTGCTTGAAAGAATCTAATAGTGCACTGTGTGCTGAACTGTCATGCTTCTAATTTAGGAATCTAAACTAGATCCAAACAAGAACACTTGGACAGCGGGAAGTTGATTCAAATCTGTCAAATCCCATACAAACATAAATGAAAAATAAAGTTACGTAGCTTACATCACGTCCATCGACAAAAGGTGTCCTGCTGTTGTTTGCTAAAGCTGAAGGTGTTTGGAGGCTGATTATACCGGCTTTAAAATGAAACGTGGTTAAAATTCACAACAGAAAAACCCAGAGGGGGAGAAAAGTCACATGTGCCAGAGGTGGGGCCGATAGATGGTGAAGACTGCGGTGGAGGGAACCTGTGAGGGGAGCCCGCCAAGCCTTGTGTCACTGCGAGAGTAAAAATAAGCAAGGCTCTTAATTTGAGCTGGCGAGCGTGGCTCTACGCGCCACTACGCACTGGCCTACACCACAGAGGGATGACCTTCATGAGATTGTATTGGTTGCGTTCATGTTCTAGAATTCTTTTATACATTGAAGGGTAGGCGCCTTTGCAACTCAACACAAAAAATGCCATATTATTCTTATGTTGTTCCTGTGGCCATCATGCATATGTGTTTTGAATATTGTCACCACTTCTACACAGATCCATCAGAAATGATGGAAAATGTCAGTACATAGTTGATACGACAAAGAAGATGCAGAACTTTGTAACAGTTGTGACAAACTGTAACTCTATACACTAGAAATATGCCTTTTTTACCGTTACTATAGTTACCAAGATATCTTTATCAGAAGCCCTCGACCAAAAAATAAAACAAAGTAAATAAACTTGATCACATGTCACTTCTGTCAAGTATTCTATTTGTGCTATTTTAAATTCTTTTTTAAGAGATGTGTAGCTGTGTCAAAGTGATTTATGAGTTTAATTGGCTCTTTTACAAAAATTTGAGATGTTTTATTTTTATAGTATTTTAAGCTAGTAACATTACACAAAATAAATACATTATTCACATTATTATTGCACCAGCGCACATACATAAATAAATACATGTGTATATCATCATTCAAAGGATTGATCTCATACTTTAGTTTTGATAACTTGCTTCAGGGTAACACAAGAAACAGATTTATGATTTTTTTTTTTCTTAAGTCAACTACACCAAGCCAACTTATTTGTATTAGTCACGTGTTTTTACCTGCATAGACCTGGAGGGTGGTCCTCAGAAAAAGCTATTTACAGCTTTTGAAAAGACTCTAATCATATTATACATAGAAAAATCTGAATGCTATGGTATTAACACTGCAGGAATGGCCTTTTCCTCCAAACTATAGAATGCATATTAATACAGTTGTTGTGTCCTGATTAAAAATGCATTACATTGCTTTGCTTACGATTGTCTAAATTTTGCTTTGTCTGGCCTCTCCGCCCACAGCCTCTTTGTACAGAATTTGTTATGAGAAGTCTCTCAACCTGGACAAAATCCTGCCCTATTCCTCTGTTTTTGACAAGAAGGTACCTACACACATACATACCAAGCACCACCATATCCATGCACACAACATAGCTCGAATACTAAAACACGGCGTATATTTTTTATGGATGACAACCCAATAGTGTTGTTGCGTTGCAGGACATACCAAAGAGTTTGCTGGAAATCCCTGGAGTAACGTGCACCACTGAGCTGCATACTGAGACTATCTTCAATATCAAGGTAGCAACATCATCAATAATAAATGTCAATATTGTATTATTGAGTTGACTTGCAGCGCTCATATTTTTCATCTAATTAGCAGTCGCACTCTCACAGCTGCAGAAGAAGTCGGGTTGGTTTTCCTTTGAGAGTCTTTTCAGAATCTATGCATGGCTATGTTTTCTGATTAACTTGGATATGATAGCGAGCAATGCATGCAAATCGTTGAGTGCTAATCATTGGCTGTATATATATAATCATCATAATCATATTTATCATTTAATGGAAGTATTGAATGACTAATATTGTTGACAATTAGATTACCACGTGTGTATTCCCTTAACAATCTACTACAGATTTTAAATACCTTATGAATCCATACAATCCCATTTTAGTTTGTCATATACTTTACAATAAGCTCAATGATTTATCCAATGATAATGGTTTAATGATTTATTAAAAAATTCAGTGGGTAAAGGTCTCTAAACCCCAAGAGTATTCATCATTAGTATCATGTGTTTTCAACTATGAATGACCAGATGCCTCAAAAAAAAAAATATATATATATTTTTGAGTGGGCTGATGCGTTTAGCCCCCTTCTGCTTTTTGTCAGTGCGCGCACCTGTCTGAGTTGTTATTGAGTCGCATTTTCCAAAACACCTACAATGGCTTAACCAAAAAAACAAAAAAAAGTTACAATATCATGTTTTCCAAGTTTATGTCACACACTCCTAATGTTTCAATAAGATATTATTATCACCAATTTTATTGAAAACACGCTGATATGAGAGTATATAGTTTGTCAGTGCAGTGTATTTTGGCTTATTTTGACAATAAACTTAACTTAATAGTAAAGTCTCCTTTTGGATGTGCTGTGTATGAAGACAATGGCCCCAACTTTTAATATTGAATGCCGTGTTTTGGAGAATGGGTGCAAAGGTTCACCCAAATAAATCTTGCAAAATTAAGTTTACTACCATCTCAATGTTCTATGACTAGTTTACACATACATACATGCATGACTTTCGGCCTCTCTCAAAACTTCAGATCTGTTTTTTCAGACAGAATATTGAAAAAGAGACGACCACCCTCGACCCAAAGAATCAAATAGTGCCTTATGGCTGGTTCTTAGTTTCAAAAATCTATTTTCTAATTTTCGAACACGATAAAGAAAGCCCATAACAATCTGATTTGTTCTTTCTGTTGGGAAAAAAACAAAACAATTAAAAATATTGTTTGCAATATTAATCACATAGCTATTCATGCTGCTCAGCCTGTTACACATTGATTTTGCCATTTCTCCCCTCTTTCAAACAACACATTTGCATGGATTTTATGGAACAATTTTGCGATATGCAGCAGCACATTTTAATACGCCTGGAAGGTGCCTTTTGGGATAATGGCTACAGCCTGCACTATTTCAAAAATGCGCTCTTTAAGTAACAGTCCACTCTCCAGATTTAATTACTCCTCATTGTTTTGCAGCAGTGTCCTTGCTATGTCACAGAGTTGTTTGTTTGTGTTTTTCCTCTCTCAGCTCAGCAGTCTCACGGGTTTCTGGTCTGAGCTGCAGTGGAACACAGAGAGAACAAAATACCTTGAAGCGGTCCCCAGTCCCAGATACAGGACCTCGCACGTCCAGGTGGAGTGGGACAAACTGCTGGTTTGTGCACCTACGTGTTTACTATTTGGATATTCTTTTCAAAATGCCCTTGAATTGTAGTTAATGTTACCAGTTCTTCCAAGCTCTCAAGTTAGAATTCTATAAACGATTATACTGCATTTATCAGTTCAGACAACATTTCTGATTTGGTCCACTGTAAGTTAATTTGTCAGTGTAGGTTTGACCATTTCCCTTTCATATGTAATTTCATTTTTTTTTTCATTTTTATAATTATGATTACCCCAGTCAATTATGCCATTGCTTCTTTCAGAAGTCGGGGAGGAGACCTCCAAGCCACAAGGATCACATTGAGGAAAACACAAAGAAGTAGGTCTTTGTCAAACTGTTTTACACTTACCGCCAACATTTGTGAGCCTCTGTTTATCTAAGTTTGGTCCAATGAGAAGGTAAGATGAAAAATTAGATTTAATACTGTTTAAAATTCTTAATCCAGAGGGAAATGATTGTACTAGAGAGCCATACATTCCTGTACTACTGCCCCACCCTGCTGTGGAGAGTAGTACAGTTTGTTAGTCAAGGAGGAAAGAGTGCAGTACTCTGGGGCAGCCTGGGCCTCCCACTGAAGCTGCTCCTGTAGGACATCAGGGTCTCATGAGTGGGTGAGAGGTGTTGTATCCTGAAGATTGTGTACTCCAGCATAATGAAGAAACTCCTCAATATCCTCATCTCTCCCACAGTCTTCAGCCCCAACACACTGCTCAGAAAATGGTGTCGGAACAACTTTTACAGATGTTAAATGAGCTGGGACAGAGAAGAGATTTGCCTCTGTCTCATGACTAAAAACATGATTATATAAAGATTATCATTATTATTTTTGTCTGTTTATCTGCTTCCCCAGACGCATAGTTGACACGTCATATCTGGCCAATCCAGTGCAATGGACATGATGGTCATTGTTTATACTGTTAATTATGGTTCTGTGAGTATTTAATCAGAAAGCAGAGACAGTAAGAATGAAAAACAACCTTTAATACGTAAATGACCTCTCTTATCACAAACAATCAATTTCATTCACACAAAGCATTGTGTGCATTTGGTCATAACCATTTTCTTATTCTGACTCCAACCCCAACACCTTGATTTATGGCTGCTTCAATAAGGCATCTGATTTAATGAATGTCCTTATCAACTGACACATTTTTGTTCTATTTGAGGACAATTATTTTTTTATTTTGTTTTAAATGTACACATGTAGTGTTAAAAGGCCAAAAGCCAATTACAGCATGAGCTGTGAACACCAGTCAGCAACGTCCACTTTGTTCCTGCATCAAACCAGAGTCTCCGGATAATCAGCCTCCTCAGGCCATACCAACATAGTTTTTATTTATTCTCTATGCTGGCGGCTGTAGAGGAGCTTTACATGGCTTGATGCTTAAAAGTACAGCTCTTATTTTAATACTAGCTCCAGGGAATGTACTCATCATAGCTTTGTATTTTTGTTTTATAGAGTGCTGTCAATTGTGGACACATGGAGTCTGGGTAAGCAAACATCATCACTTCATATGCAAAGTCCAGCAGTCCCATAATAAATAGATGGTATAATTAAACTACTGCATTTGTGCTGTATTGTTATGACTACAAAGCAGATCCAAATGCATAAGAAAACATGTACAGTGCCTTGCGAAAGTATTCGGCCCCCTTGAGACTTTCAACATTTCGCCACATTTCAGGCTTCAAACATAAAGATATTAAAATAAAATGTTTTGTCAAGAATCAACAACAAGTGGGACACAATCGTGAAGTGGAACAACATTTATTGGATAATTTAAACTTTTTTAACAAATAAAAAACTGAAAAGTGGGGCGTGCAATATTATTCGGCCCCCTTGCGCTAATACTTTGTAGCGCCACCTTTTGCTGCAATTGCAGCTGCAAGTCGCTTGGGGTATGTCACTATCAGTTTTGCACATTGAGAGACTGGAATTCTTGCCCATTCTTCCTTGCAAAACAGCTCGAGCTCAGTGAGGTTGGATGGAGAACGTTTGTGAACAGCAGTCTTCAGCTCTTTCCACAGATTCTCGATTGGATTCAGGTCTGGACTTTGACTTGGCCATTCTAACACCTGGATACGTCTATTTGTGAACTATTCCATTGTAGATTTGGCTTTATGTTTTGGATCATTGACCTGTTGGAAGATAAATCTCCGTCCCAGTCTCAGGTCTTTTGCAGACTCCAACAGGTTTTCTTCCAGAATGGTCCTGTATTTGGCTCCATCCATCTTCCCATCAATTTTAGCCATCTTCCCTGTCCCTGCTGAAGAAAAGCAGGCCCAAAGCATGATGCTGCCACCACCATGTTTGACAGTGGGGATGGTGTGTTCAGGGTGATGAGCAGTGATGGGAATAACGGCGTTACTAGTAACGGCGTTACTAACGCCGTTACTTTTTTCAGTAACGAGTAATCTAACTAATTACTTTGACAGTAACTATAACGCCGTTATCATTTCCGACATCCCGTTACTGCGCGTTACTCAAGACGCACAATTAACGTGTTGTCATGAGAGAAGGGAGGATGAGAAAACCTCTCAGCAATTATTGGCTGATGTAAATCATCCTTTACAATCCACATGTCTACAGTTGAGAGGATGGCTCATAAATTGTGTTTTTGAAACAAATATGGGTCTTAATCGCGCTCAACCACGGCTTGTATCACCGTGAGGTCAGCCACAGAGGAGCGCATGTGAGCGCAGAAGTCGGCTGCATACAATTCCATCGATAAGCTCCTTGCTCTTCCTGGTTTATCTGCTAAGGACAGCAACAGGTTTGGCTAACATACATATAACACATTTTTACATAATCTAAAATGCACATAGGGTAATTTTTCAATTAATATAGGAATGATAAGAAAGAGAGGTGAAGTGTAAGACGGTTGATTTTAGAAATTGGATGCACCCGGCTGCAGCAAAACAGAGGAGTTTACGGAGGACACACGCGTTTTGTTTTACTTTTTAAAACTCATTGGACTCATTTCCAAATGGAGGATTACATATCTACGCTCAAACCATTCACTGGATTTAAACAAGGAACTGGTCTGAACCGAAGTGGACTGTGCAGGTCATTTATAAGGTATAGCTATAAGGTAAGACCCATAACTCATAGTTTTGCATTTTGTATGAACAAACAATGCGGGCATAAAACATATTTTGCTGTAGCCAAACAAATTGTCCACTTGATTTATATGATGTATATGTTCATCTGATTGGTCTGAAGTCAGTGCTTCACCAGCCTCACCGCTCGTCACCGGTGTTTCCACATTCACAGTGGCGGGCTTTACAGCACAGTGAGAGATGAAGAGTGAACAGGACTTCAGCAGCAAAACAGCCTTTTCTAGATGGAAATATTGGCACTGTTAAAGGTAAAAATGTGCACGTCGGGTGCACATTATGTTCCAGAACAAAACGAAAAAGTAACGCAATAGTTACTTTTACTGGTAACTAGTTACTTTTATAGTGGAGTAACTCCGTTAGTAACTCAGTTACTTTTTGGGAGAAGTAACTAGTAACTATAACTAATTACTTTTTCAAAGTAACGTGCCCAACACTGGTGATGAGCTGTGTTGCTTTTACGCCAAACATATCGTTTTGCATTGTGGCCAAAAAGTTCGATTTTGGTTTCATCTGACCAGAGCACCTTCTTCCACATGTTTGGTGTGTCTCCCAGGTGGCTTGTGGCAAACTTTAAACGAGACTTTTTATGGATATCTTTGAGAAATGGCACTCTTCCATAAAGGCCAGATTTGTGCAGTGCTGATTGTTGTCCTATGGACAGACTCTCCCACCTCAGCTGTAGTTATCTGCAGCTCATCCAGAGTGATCATGGGCCTCTTGGCTGCATCTCTGATCAGTCTTCTCCTTGTTTGAGATGAAAGTTTGGAGGGACGGCCGGGTCTTGGTAGATTTGCAGTGGTCTGATACTCCTTCCATTTCAATATAATTGCTTGCACAGTGCTCCTTCAGATGTTTAAAGCTTGGGAAATCTTTTTGTAACCAAATCCGGCTTTAAACTTCTCCACAACAGTATCTCGGACCTGCCTGGTGTGTTCCTTTGTCTTCATGGTTCTCTCTGCGCTTTAAACAGAACCCTGAGACTATCAAAGAGCAGGTGCATTTATACGGAGACTTTATTACACACAGGTGCATTCTATTTATCATCATCAGTCATTTAGGACAACATTGGATCATTCAAAGATCCTCACTGAACTTCTGGACTGAGTTTGCTGCACTGAAAGTAAAGGGGCCGAATAATATTGCTTTTCAGTTTTTTCTTTGTAAAAAAAGTTTAAATTATCCAATAAATTTTGTTCCACTTCACGATTGTTTCCCACTTGCTGTTGATTCATGACAAAAAATTAAATTTTTATAACTTTATGTTTGAAGCCTGAAATATGGCGACATGTTGAAAGGTTCAAAGGGGCCGGATACTTTTGCAAGGCACTGTATGTGATATATAGCTACAGGTATATAAGAACACAAACATCATGGTTGAAATGAGACGTCATTAGAGACATGCCATCTGAACATCTGAGCAACATTATTATGACATACAAAAATGCTATGCTTGTTATCAGATGATTCAAGAATCATTGCTACAATGTCATGGGAGTTAGGGAGCATCCATCTTTGCAGCAGATATTTGAGGAGACTGTTATTAAGGCGCGTTCAGACCGCCGACACTGGAACGCTGACGCGTCGTGCACCAGACGCACATTCTCTAATTTTCAGACGTAGGGGTCTTCAGACCAGAAGTCCTGGCCAGCGGTGGCGCGCGCCGGAAGTGGCGGAAGTAGCAGGCGGACTTTGATGCTAACGGAGTTTAGCTAGCGGCTTCTTATGTAAAGTTCTTCTCCCATAATGAAGCTCTGCAACGTCTCTGTGTCCAGAGACCTTCCACAGACTTTATATAACAGCAGTATGTGTTCATGGAGGTGCTCAATAAGTTTATTTTATTATTAAGCGGTACTTCTGCCCGAAGCAGTTGTATACATTCATGGGAGCATGGAAACGCATGTTCACAAGCACTGTGTCCCCCATTGTCAACCCTGGTTTAGTCCTGGTGTAGTTCCTGTTTTGGCGGTTTACAGTATGTTCAGTCTGCCCGCTCGTGACCACTTTGCGGCTCTCTGATTGGTCGCTGCACGAGCGTCCCAAGGAAACGCTCAGCAATAGTTATCTCCTGCGTGCGTAGATTTTCCGCTCATGCGCCTCTGCCGCGCCTTTCCCACGCAATCCATGCGTCTCTACCGCGCAGTCCGTGTGTGCATCCCGAGATGCACATGCAGTTCCACGCTCGAATGCGCGTCACCATTGATTTTGCTTTGAAAGCCGACGCAACGCACGATCCAGTCTGAACGCGCTTTTAGACAGGCAAAGAAAATCACCTCAGACCGTTCTCATGTCCTTTACTCTCAATATGAGCTCCTTCCATCAAGCCGCTGCTACCGAGTACCAACTAGAAATACAAAAAAAGATATCTTAACCAGTATAAGAACTTGTTCCTACCCATGTCTGTGAACCTCCTGAATGCGGGTCATGGAGCAGACCAGTTATGTCTGTAATACTGTGTTGTTTTATGTCTATGTTATGTGTATTTTCAATGTAGCAGCCTGTGAGTCCAAGACAAATTTTCTGAGGGACTTAACAAATTATTCTTGAACCTTGAATTTATATCTGCTTTTGCAATGTCACCTAACTTGGGACTTCAATTCACTTTACATTAATTCCCAAATAATATGCAGTAAATGTATATGAAAAATGTCAAAGATAAAAATGTGACTATAGCATTAAAATCCAGACTGCTTTAATTAAAACTATGAATGTTAAGTACATAAAATCCAACATTTTTGTCAGAAAAGTGTGTGCGTGCTTGTCTCTTTTGCACTGTCAGGTCTACAGTGTTGCGCCACCTAATAAAGAATAGCGGCTTGTCCTGGGACTGCCACAGAAAGACATGGCTGCGTTATGGGACTGTAGTGGCTTTTTATGCGCTCTGCTGTGGTCACATTCCCACGTCCCACTGGAGGATTGGGCAGCGCACGGGCTCCACACTAATTTATCATAGACTGGAGAAAGGGAGAGTTAAGGGATGGGAATGGGAGGGGTCGGGGAGGGGATGCAGTGAAACATAGTCGGAACCTGCAAAGAGGTGAAGATTATTATCACATACAGTAACTCCCCCTACTTTCTTCCCTGCTTTTCTATCCTTCTCTATGACTACATTGCATCTTCTGGGTCACAAGACTCTCAAGAAAAAATCTTGTAAACGTAAATAATTGGCAACAAATCAAACCACATGGTAAAAAGGTTACACTACTTTTTAAAACGTTTTTTTAGGGTTTTTTGCGAGCTGTGAGCCAATGATCAACATTGTCGTTATCGCTATAGTACACACGCACACACACACACACACACACACACCACTAAGTGATCTCTCTTGGCGTCTTTTTAATTTGACTTACGACTGAAACACAATATTTTGTTTTGATCAATTCCTTCACAGCCATAATTAAACAGAAGTGCTTTGATAAGTTATTACTTATTGCTGAACCATTTTTACTGCTCCACAGTGGTTTTTGGCATTCTGTGCACAGAACCCTGTAGAATCACGCATAGTGGATTTATATTGGTTTTTTAACTGCTACATAGAAAGGTGATGGTGTGTTCAATGGCTATTTTACATGTTCTTGGCAGTAAAAATCAACACTTGAAAATGTGACACCATTTGATAACAACCGCATAAGTGGTGTCAAGATTAATCAGTTACGATCATCTAACTCTAAATTAATAAAACATGTTTATATGGAAACTTTTATCCTGCATAGTTTCATCCGGCTTATAACAATAGATAAAATTACCGACCTTCCTTTTAGGTTCATGTTTACGGTATGTCGTCCCTGTTTGGCTAAAGATAAGATAAGATAAGATGAACCTTTATTCGTCTCACAGTAAGTGTTTAACTAAAATTGATAGTGACATACTTAGAGTGTTTTGCAGTTGTATTCATACCGTATCAAATTTTGTCATGATCAAATTTTATCAATAGTTTATGGGCACCAAAGTGCCCCAGTCTCAAGTCTTTTACAGACTACAAAGGTTTTTCTTCCAAGATTATATTCTGCTCCATCCCTGTCCACCACAGCATGATGCTGGTGGTGGCATGAAGCTGTGGGGATAGTGTCAGAGCTGTGCTCATATCTGAACACAATATCTTCCTCCACGTGTTGGCTTTTTATGGCTTTATTTGCCTTTCCAATTTCAAATATGTTTTTTAAAGGTCAGATGAGTAGTGCATAAATAATAGTCCCAGTTACAGATTCCTGCAGCTCAGCTGTGGATGTCTGTGACCAAACTGGTAAAAGTGCCTCTACTTTAGAGTCCACTCATCCAGTAATGTTTATGTAACATCATGGGGGCATACAGTTGTTGGAATGACTGTGTGGAAATGCTTCAGTCTGCTTTTAGCTACTTCCACTTCTGTAGACAGTAGATACAACAGGCCAGGAAAGATAAACTATGTCAGCTGTGTAAAATAAAGTTTAGGCTTTGGAAATGATCACCATTTTTGGACAGAGTAGGGAACTCACTGCAAATGTTTAATTGGACTGCGACAGAACTTTTACTTCTAAAAATGACATAGCTGATATTGCTCTTATCCAAAGGTTGTCCACACCGCTAGCAATTCATATTTTAATATCAAATGTACAAATATCCTGTTTACATTTTGACATAAATACAGACTTTATCAAATGAAAATTTAACTGTGTCTTTTTGTCTCACAATTAATTGCGTAATTTCCCTGTTCTAAATGTCCCTTGATTTGGTTTGAAAAAAGATTGGATGAAGCAAAAGTCTTATGTTAATCCAGTTCCCTACAAAAAATAAAGTATTTGTCAAATTATTATTAGTCAAATATAGGCTACTCATTATCTGCATGCTTTTTGTTTTCTTTTTACAGTGTATAGAACTAATTAACATAGTCCAATGGTCCAAATGCATAAGTACCCCTGACACGGACGACCCTCTACACGTTCTATAGACTTTATAGGGGCAGGAGCAGCCGCCGCGGTTTCTACTTGCGTTAATCGTGCAATAAAAAATTGATGCTGTTAAAATGGGTCATCATTCATGCGTTTAACTGACAGCTCTAATCAAAATAAATCATTAATGTTAAATGTTAATTTATAAAATGTTGCCAAGAGACCATGATGAAAGATAAGGAGGACGTGAGGATCCAGACTTTGGGAATAAGCATGGGTTGTCAAAAGTATCAAAGTATTGAATACTAAAGCATCTAGACACTAATTTGAGAATTATATATATTATATATATATTATATATTATATAAGAACTATATATATTGACAAACAAAAATAGCATTTTATAGTATTTTTTCAATATTTTAAATCAAGTTTGCAATTTAGTATTGTGACAAAACTAGAATGGGCTTTTCTTTTTTATTAATCGAATTGATTTATTTGATCAGGGACAATTCCCTGTGGGTGACACGGTGACTGAGTGGAAAGCATTCTCACTTCTCAAAAAAAAGTTCCTGGATTCGAATCATGGTCGGAACAGGGTCTTTCTGAGTAGATTTTACATGTTCTCCCTATGTCTGCACAAGTTTGCTCTGGGTGCTCCGGTTTCCCCCTACCACTAAAAACAGGTACAATAGGTTTGATTGTAATGAGTGAATGGATGGATGGATGGTGTATTTTTTTAGTGGTCGGGGAAAATGGCGCAGACACGGGGAGAACATGCAAACTCCACTCAGAAAGCCCCTGTTCCGACCGAGATTCAAACCCAGGACTTTCTTGCTGAGAAGCGAGAGTGCAACCGCCCGTGTTGAGAAATGAAGACAAAGCAGCGCCGATTGAACTTTTACATGGTTTATTTTCGAGAACCTCCAGATCGAACAAAAGGAGACGAGGCTTTTCATATGATTTGTCTCAAACTGCATAAGAACAGAAGGTGGAGGTGTGTTCAGTAAAGTGTCATGTATTGTATCTGGACTTTAAAAGTGTATAACTCAATAACTTACACTCGCGAGGAAATTATGAACATCCGACCCACCGTTCCCATGGACCTATTGCCTGTTTTCTTGGCATCTGCGGCTGATTCAAGCCATGTTTTAGCCAAAAAAGTGTGGGCCCTTAAAAGGGGAAAGCGCGGAGGCCTGCTCGTGCGTTAGAGGAAGAGAGGAGCGCGCACGGCTCTACCCGGCATTTTCCTCTCAAACGTTCGCTCTCTGGGCAATAAGATGGACGAACTCAGCCTGCTCATGAGAAGAAACAAGGACTTCGCCACATCCTGTGTCCTCTGCTTCACTGAGACCTGGCTAAATGAGCGGATCCCGGACAGTGCTCTGGTGCTGCATGGCTTTGAGCTGTTTCGCGCAGATTGCCATTGTGTGGGCACCAATGTGGGCAAATGAAAGACATACAGTGCCTAGTACTAGTTCTAGTTTGTCTAAAATGTACAAGATTAAATGCAAAGTCTGCCAACTTCATATAATCCATATAACATGAGTATCAAGCTACAGCATTGTCAAAACAGCAGTGTCTTTGAACTGTTTGTACCGTCAGCTCTCTAAGATCTTTTTATATTTCAGAAAAAAACTTGCTTATGGGATCAAACAGGCCGCCTCGTGCATGTTGGCATAGAGAAGGTGATCAAAAGATGTGTATTTGTGGATGCAGGCGACAGTCTGAAGAAGTAAGCATGTTTTGTGTGACGGACGTTGCCAGGTCTGCTCCCACATGCAGCCAGAGCTAAAAACACTCTTTTCACCCCTGAGAGTCTGGGTACATTTAAAAGGCATCTCAAAAAATACATCAAAAGGTTCTTTATGGCTTTGCCTGGAATATTCCACGGTAAAGTGTTAAAACTGTGCATTTTAACAAGACAATTAATGGATACGAAGTTATGCAAATCACGTTTGCCAAACAAAAGAAACAAGAACAACTGAAAAAGTAATCAACGACGATCTGAACAGAAGTTAATCTCCCAATCTTCAAGGGACAAAGTGATGTTTCTAGACTTTTAATTTAATGAAGAAATACAAAAAACAGAAAACATGATTATATATGAAATATGAAATACTTTCCATCAACAAAATGATTAGGCCATGGTGGAACAACATCGACCTCGTTTTTTTAGAAGGATCAGACTCAGTTACTGCATGACAGTAAAAGGCAACACGGCACTTTTTTGTTGTTGTTGAATATTTATACTTGAGACAGATGCATTATAATCTACAGTATGTGAATGAACTGAAAAGTACAATTCTGCTGTGTTACAGATAAGAAGTTGGTGCCACTATTTCAGGAAGAAGATCCCCAACAGAGGGCGCTTATCGGCCTGGTGAGACCCGCCAACACTTGTTCGACTAATGTATTGGCTGCCGGAGTGTGTGAAGCCTCCACTGAAGATGTTGAATCCCAAATGAGCGTGTTGGCATTAGTCTGAGCAGCTTAAGAGAAGGACAGAACCTCTTTGTCAAATAGACCAATGACCTTGAGCACAAAGTCGTTCATAAACGTAAAGAATATGTTTTTTGAATTCTGCCATTGCATGCTCAAAGGAATGGTGTCAATTATATTCTATAGCTGCAGCATGAATATCAATGTAGACACTGAACTCGCTGCTGATGTCAAGTCCTATTAGCGAACAATGCAAGATGGTAGTACTAGCATCAAATGAGTCAAGGCGAGGTTAGCTGAGCGAGATGATGGATTAAGAGGTTCATGAGAAGGAGGAATATTATTCAATTCACGAGATATGAATTTCCTTAGTCCAGACGTTAGAGGGAGGTGTATGCTGGATTTCCAAAGTAGGAAAGGTCAAAAGGTCCTGTGTAGCCTCCTTTTCTGTGTCCAAGTATGATTCTGCAGTAGCAAAGAAAAGAAAAAAAGAAAGAAACATATTCCCTCACAAGTTTCTTTGTGTGCTTGGTCACATTTGATAGCAGCAATTGTTTCTTTTAAGACTTTTGTCAGTTTCTGTTGGTCGTATAATGACAGGTGGATCTGACACACAGGATAGTGGGAGATAACAGCGTGGATGAGATAAAGCGGTGAAACAAAAGAGTCAAACTTTGTCTTGTAAAACACCTCTTGTCAAAACGACCGTTCCCGTTGATCTAAAACAGTGTGTGAGCTTCAGCCAGAGACGGAAGTTCAGTTTCGCTCACTTCCCTGGACCGCTGCTGATTCAGACAAATGCTGACAACCGATTTATTTCACCCCAGCAGTGTCCTTCTAGGTGTAACACCAGGGTTTACTCTGTAAAATAAGTCTCCAGGTCTCACTCAAAAGTGTTGGCGCTCGGCTAGGCAGATGTTGATCAAATGAAATCTTTACTTCGCCAGTCTAGCAAAGTATCATCCACACATTGATAAAAACAAGAAGATTAGAATGGCAGTCAGGCGACCAAAAATGGATAATATAAGGACCTGAGTCCGACCTGGGCCTTGATTTAATCGTAACTTTAGTGTTTAGAGAGACTTCCATAAGCCTGTAAATCTCAAGGCATCATTATTATCATTATTGAGCATGCCCTATTGACTTGAATTGGCAGACATTTTGTAGCCCCAGGCCTTGTCTATACAAAATTAAGCATTTATGGATTTCAGAAAGATTTCATCACATTAAGAAGCTGGACCATCAAAAATATCTGGCTTAAAAAGTGCAAATAAAGGTTAAGGCGCAGAGCATCAGTACATGTTAACGTAGTGTGAGAGGGATGGTCAAGGTTTGTGAGATTTACTAGCAGCACTCTCCAGCCGTAGCGAGTGTTCAGCTCTACAGTGTAAGTATCTAATGCCATATGAATGTTTTATACATACATTTTCACTGCTCTGCTCACCTCTGTTCCTATCATCCATCTTATACTATAGACGGCATACTTAAAGCTGCACTAACTGACTTTATTTTCGTATTAATTACGAAAATGCTATCCATGTCCATGTAGTGCATTGGGATATACGTCCTTTTGAAGAAAAAGTAGCGCAGATTTGTGCTGGCGTGTCATTATATTTTCGATCGAGTTTTGATGAAACAAGGAAGAGAATGTGTTTCGGGTCGCAGATTGTGACCAATCACAGCGGACCACTAGCCCCCACTTTCGTGATAAATCTCCAGGTCCGTTAGCACAGACAGCTGAGTTAGCACAACAAGCGGCGGAGCTAACCTGAAACTTTCTCGTCTTCGTCACCGGGTACTGCTTACACAGCGAAACAGCCATCCAAAAGAAAGTCTCGTTCCTCCGCGCTTCCCGGTTCTATCGTTCTATGGTCACGCCATCCACGTGAACTTCCATATCCATGTATTATCCATATTGGGAGAGGCTAGCTCCGTCTCAACACTGTGTGTGTGTGGGGGGCGATAGCTTCGTGGGTGCGGGGAAGGGAGCAGAAAGAGCGAGGCCAGCGAGTCCACGGCTTCAAAATCCCAAAGTCAGTTAGTGCAGCTTTAAATAGCTTCAATTTAATAGAGTTCATTCTTGAAGCAAGCTATTCTTAGGCCGAACTGGACCCCTTGTCTCTGCAGCTCTCCTTCCTTAAACTCTGTCTGTTTCCTTTCTACCTAAATTACATCTGGTCTTTTGACACTTCATTTCTTTAGCTTCAAATCTCTCCCCATCTTTCTTCTTTTTATTATCTAATTTAAGGACACTTTAGTCACAGGAGAAATGATGAACTCCGGTTGACCTTGCGGAGGGCACCGCAAAGAAACAAATGTACTTTCTCAAACAATGACTTCGCATTTTTCTTTTTCTTCATTGTAGACAGTTGACAAGCTGCGGGAACATCTCAACAGACACCTTCCACGTTTGGGGAAAAAGAGAATTGAAACTCTTGTTGTGAACTATGTGGCCAAACTGGTAAGTGCCACCATCGTGTTCTACACATCTGCAAGTCAAGTTTATGTATTCATAGTATTGTGTCATTCAATCGTTGGAATGACTCAGTAGAAAAGGCTTCTATCTGCTTTTAAGAGCTTACACTTGTGGAAACAAAAGATACCAGAATTTTGGAAAGATAAACAGCTGTGTAAAATAAAGTTTAGGCGTTCCAAGTGATTACCATTTTTGGGTATGGGACTTACTGGAACTGTATGATTGGACTGCGACAGCTTTTACTGTTAAAAAAAAACATACTCATATGGACAAGTCAATTGTGGAGAGTGTGCTCAGGTTTCCTTGCTTAAGTGGCAAAACAAAAAATAAATTTAATACCCTGTTCTGCTTTAAGATTGTAGAGCAAGCTTATAACCCCGGTACCAGTTACACGGAGAAATGCTGCTGTTGGATCAGACACGCCTCGGACATGACCTTTTAGGTCTTGCTATTTATACAATACTAGGACATCTGGTCCGGGCATGTCCCACCTGGAGGAGACCCAGGACACGCTGGAGGAACTATGTCTCCCAGCTGGCCTAGGAATGCCTCGGGATTCTCCTGGATGAGCTGGAGAAAGTGTGTGTGGATTGGGAAATCTGGTTGACTCTGTGGCGAGTTGAGATGCAAAGTCAATGGCCACCTATGTCTATGTGAATGTGTGCGTCAAAGAGGTGTGAGAGCAGCTTGGACGCAGTTTAGCAAATCTGACGTACTGCCCTGTACTGGCAAATCGCTGTGTGGAAGTGGTGTGGGGCCTTTGATGGTATCAAGTTAAAGCTATCAGCTTTTTGTGTAACGTTCTTTAATACCAGTCCAGATCTGCAGCGTCTCTGTGTCTGGAGATCCTCCAGAGACGTCAGATTACACGTTAGCAGCACTTTTATGCAGTCACAGTAGAATGAGAACTCTGGGTAAGACATGGTCACTGCGTCCCCCATTGTCAGTCCTGGTATAATCCTTTGTTTGACAATCCTGGTTTAGTCCTGATTTAGTCCCAGTTTAGCTGTTTTTCGAGTGTCTATTACTCAGTTGAGAAGGACTACATTGTCATCTTTAATCATTTCCCACCTACATGTAAATGCTTCCTTTGTGTGTGCCTTCATTAGCTTATTCATCAAAGGCTTTTCATTGAAGCAGAAATATTTTGCATTATGCTTTGCCTTTGAAAAGGATAATGAGACTATAGTATTTGCATTGTCATTTCATGTTTTAGAATGTAGAATAACTTAGTCTACTTACTGTACGTCTATTTAAGATAAATATATGGTTAAACAAGTGTCAAAGTTTTCTCCAAATTCAAAAGTTACCTCCTGCAACCACAGTCATGCGGTTTTAAAGAACATAATTTCAATTGAAATACTACTACTACTTCTACTACTACTTGATACGTTTCCAAGACTAATTTATTGGCAATACTTTTTACAGCTTTGAGATAGAAAGGGGGGAGTTACATGTTTGGGCCTGGTTAGTTCCTGATATTAGCGTGGATGCATCTGAAAACAATTCTCTTTTTGATGAGGAACATTGTTGGAACATGGTTAAAAGCTGATTTCTGTATAAAACGTCTCCCTCATATAGGAATACTAATTTTGATGGTGAGAACCTGCAGTAGATGCCACGTGTGCCACAGTTTTAAACATTAAAGCGCCTGGACCTGTTTCTATTATTAGCCATTTCCAGATCCTTATTGTGGCCCACATTCCGCCGCTTTATCTATGCTGCATCCAGACGTCAAGGCGCTTGTTATTTCAAACCAGTTGTTTTGTATACAGGTTTTGTTTGTTCCCTAAAGGGCTTCTGGTGTTGTGGTCTTTAGTATTCGTGTGAGGTGCAGGGGCCTGAACCTCCTGAAGCCCCACAGACACAAGACACATATCAACACGACGCGCTATTAAAGCAGGCCAAGGGTGAAGCCGGGAGTGAATGGAAATCAGGATACGCTTTTGGGATTTTGTTGAATTGCAAAGGGCAGAAAATACCAGAGACGCCCTGATGTGCTGAAGCGCTCCGTGAGCAGATCGGATCGAGTTCAGAAATAAAAATGAATAAGATTATTCACCCAAACTCCATAAATCCGCTCATTACAGGGAGCTTCTGTTGCTTTATTCTCCACTCGTTTGAGTCATGCTCAAATCTGGTCTTTCTTGTCAGGGCAAAGTGCATTTGTACTCATTATACCATGCAAAAGAAAAAATATTTCCTGTGCTAGAGAATTGGAAACATTTCTGTGTTCAGGCACCAGTCATTTTTGAGTTTCATTTGTTTTTGTTAATATACTTCTGTCAAAGAAACAATATGTTTTAGTATATTTTACAATTCGGGATGTATAAGAAGTATAAGAAATGTTGTCCTTGTGCATTCCCATCCCTCTCTGCTCTCTGCCTCGCTCCCTCTCTCTCTGCTTTGGCGTTTGCTTCCCCTGCTTGGCCAGAGCATGGCACGTGTTTGGTCCTGGTCCTGCTTGCAGCCTCCCAGACACCATATGGGTTGCCTTAGCAGTTGGTTAGCCTCTTTCCATCCTTATGTTTGTGTTGACCTGGTGGGTCTGGTGGTTACATATTTTTGCTTCTGTGTGTGCAGCTAGTTGGGTTTGTTATTTAGGTATGACATCGCCATAAGAACTGGACGGCCTTGTATGGTTGGTCTGGTGTCGCACCTCTCTGTTCTTATGCTAGGTGTGTAGAATATTGGCCATTTGAACTTATAATATCAGTATAGGCCGCAAAAAAAATCATATTGGTTGACTTCCATTTCATATTCATACCATTATTGGTTTGACTTTGCTATTGGTGAAAAGTTGACAAAGTCAAAAGTCTGAATCATAATGGCCGTGAGCAGTGGCCCCAGAGAGATTCGAAATGGGGATTTATGGATGTTGTGAAACAGGATGTGAAGTCATGTACTCTCAAGGAAGAGTATAACTAAAAATGATATGCTGCGGCCAACTGAAAGAAGGTTAGTAAAGTACATTTTCCACAAGTGTGTCCCTGTATATTGCTTATAATGAAAATAAATGCATGAACTGCATTCCTACGCTATTGGGCTTTTATTGGGCTAAATATGCAACAGCCTTCTCCATGCACAAATTATTTGTTTTCCTATCTTTGTTGGACAAAAAAATGTGGAATCAGTGCAAGTACTAACTCATCAGAATATAGATGGTGATAGAATGGCAGTATTCTCTTACTGAAGCAGAACTGAAAGTCTTGTTCTTATGTTTACATATTAGTTAGATCCAAATCTAAGACCTGATGAGATCAGAGAATGAGAGCTGTAACAATCCATCCACTATTTACAATTACTTTTCCAATAATCCTCAACTATTTCAAGGTAAGGCAAGGAAAGTTTATTTGTATTGCACAAGTCATACGCAAGGCAACTCAAAGTGCTGAACAAAATAAGATAGCATTAACATCATAAATAATCACAGTACATCAAAAAGAAAGATAATACACATTTAGAAAATCCCTCAGTTGCATGCACAACTAAACAGCTAAACTGATTTTTACCTGGTTTTAAACATTGTCAGAGAAGAAGCCTGTCTCACATTTTCAGGAAGATTGTTCCAGATTTTAGCAGCATGAATCTGAAATGCAGCCTGCCCACGTTTAGTTCTGACTCTGGGCACCAGCAGAAGTCCCATCTCGGATATTGTTTGTTACTTTGATGAGAGCAGCATTTCAAAAATAAATGAATCATTAACTACTCTATACAAACATGAAAGCATGAAAACGCACAGCAAATAGCAAAAGATTTAAGATAATCGGCTATCAGATTGTCCTTTTGCTGTATCACAAGCTTTTAAAATTAGATCAAGTTTCCAATCAATCAATTTGAATGTATTTTAAACAACTGTAATCAAGAGAAACAAATAACAATTGGTAGTTTATCACCTGTGTAAGTAAAATTATTATTCTTTATCGTTACATATATACGTCCTGTTGAGTGGAAATGGCAGAATTACCGCTTACATTACGGAACAGTGGGAATATAAGGGGCACTCAAACAATAAAGTTATGATTTGAGAAGTCGTTACTGTTTCTTGTTTACCCTGTTAAGTATATTTACAAACACTGGGCTGAAATATGAGGAAATATAACATTCACATGGGGAGTAGCTCAGTCTTGATCTGATGGTGATTTAAATGCCTTTCTCGGGACACACATGATCGGTTAACGTGATGCACAGCTTTTGCACCAAGTAATAAATGAAATAAACACGGTTATAAAAGGTATGTAGGACCGGTATTATCATTACTGTCTGAGGGTCCCAGCAAGTCTCAGTCCTGCTTTGTAATTGATGTCCCCTATTCCAGATTTGAGTCTAATTAAAAAACACTCAAGTGGAAAACATGGTGCGGCTACATCGGGCTGTCTGAGTTGTTGCGCGGTCTTCTCCTCACATAAAGAACATCTCCTCTTGTCGCTGCTTATTGAGACTAATGGCTGCGTTGACACTGGGGAGAAGTTGGAGCTCAAACAGATTACAGCGTTTAAAGCCAAGGAGGTTCTGCTGTGATAGATTACACCTGCACACTGCATTATTGTCATCGTAATGTATTCGCCCTCGCCTTTTGCTCCAGACAGCCGCAGAGGCACGGGGTTTATATTATTTAAAAACCAATACAGGGCCATGTTTTTTATGAAATTACCTTTTTTCCCTGACCTTTCCACTTTGTTAACATTCTCTCATAGAAAACACATCAAGTGTGGTCATGCATATTATTTTTGAATTCTATTTTTGGATAAGAATGGCAAGGCAAGGCAAAGATATTTGTATGGCACAATTCAGACACAGGAAGACTGAAAGTGCATTGTTTCAGTTGCTTTTTTAACAGTTGCTTTTTTTATTCATAATAGTGTTTGTTATAAGGTTGATAACTTGCTCACATCTTGTAAAAAAAAGAAAGAAAAAAAAGTGGAATAAATTAATACATTTTTAAAGTCTATATAATTTTATTATAATTAACCAACAAAGCCTTGAACTGGGTTTTTCTCTCCTGCACGAGGGTCCATCAATTACTGACTCTGCCACGCATCTGCTACACGTTTGCAGTTCAAACTTTTAATTAACTTTAAAGAAAACAACTCAACGTTCAAGTAAGCCTGGATATATAAGATTAGATAAGATAGACTTTATGAAACTGAGGCTTTATCAAAGTGAGATGTTTTTAATTGTATTTCATATTAAGATTAGCTATAATTAGGTCTGGTCCACATACACGCACACAGAGACAGACGCACACACAGAGACACGTACGCACACAGAAGAAACACACGTACGCACACATAGACACACACACACACAGAGACAGACACACATACATACGCACACAGAGACTGACACAGCCGCGGATCCCAAACAAACCTGTCAAAGCCATGCACTCTGAACTACATCCATAATTCTGAATCCTCAGTGAACCGTCACATGGAGCGGGCGCTTCACGAGGCTTCGAACCTCACCACATAGGTCACCCTCACACACCTTGACACACGCTTTCAAAAAACACCTCTAGATTACTTGGCAAAGGCTTCGAACCTTCAACATTTCATCAAAGAATAAATTAAGCCCGGGTGAACATAGCTAGCTTACATGGTATCCTCTGGAGAGACCTGTGGGAGCGGGACCGCCTTGGACCACATTTGGAAGCAAAACTACTGTAGCTGTAATCTTTCAGTCATATATTTTGTTAGCAGTGCTTTGCTTTTATACCAATCACTTCATCAGTGATTGTTGTACAGCTTACAAGAAGTTGCGCTAATTCTAATGTTTGCATATGTATCAGATCGCATAAAACTAGATGGCTTTGTGCCAGAAGAACGTAGGGGAAATGAGAAGCCTGTGAGCTGAAACTGAAAAAAACCTGCAGAAACGGGTATAGCTCCTTTAATGCAGCAAATGAACTGTATGCGTTAGAATGAGAGTGAATATGGAACTCATAGACTTACACAAAGAAGGCCCCGGATATGTGAGTGTAGTCAGAAATACGGGTGTCTTGTGTGTGTATGTGTAGGTGTGTGGAACAAAGGGTGTACACAAAGAAACAAGAGTATTAAGACTCACTTTGTCACAGTAAAGGCCTCCTCTGATGTTGACTGTATCGAGGAGTTGGATGAAAAGTTACACGCTGAATAAAAATGGGCAGATGTAGTCTTAATTATGCGGTAGAAAAGTTACGCTGTAGCTGAGGTTGTTAAACTTTTTTTTCCTCAGCGGGAAATCACACAGAGTAAATCCAGCCTTTTGTCGGGACAAGGCTCATTAGGACAAATCGCTGAATCTGAGCTTTCATTTTAATGGAACAACGCGAAGGGATTAAGAGGTTGTGCCTGAAGAAGTGCTTGTTTATATGCTGCTACAGATTGAATTTATATGGAAAAGGTGGTGCACAATTGACCGTAGTTTGAGAGAGCGTCATCTGCACCTCCATTCCTTCTCCCTGAAACCTTCAAATGAGGTCAGAAATCTGGGGGCAATATTTGTTCATCACTTTGAGTTGCCTTGTGAATCAATTGTGCTATACAATTGATGCCTTGCCTTGTCTTATCTGTTTGTATGTTGTTTTGTTTATATCTTATCTGCATCCTTCTATTCAGGATACATTTGTATAAAAGACAGAATTTAAATCTAAGCAATTATATTTGAATCATCCTCTTGGAGGTCATGGGAGGACAGTCGCTGAAAAAAGTTCACTCTGAGCTCTTTTCAATTTATTCAAAAAGAAAGCGCCACAGCTTTTTACATTTTAGCCAAAAGAAATTACCTTGAAAATAAAAATATGATTCCTTCTTGCAATGCTTTTTTTTGGTCTGGGCATGATTTCCTCTTTCTTAGTATACAAAAATGAACATAATAATATTAATCATGAATAGGTTAATCATGCATTATTCTTTCACTCCATACACAGTGGTGATAAACTCCTACTGTAGCCACAACTGCCCTGGGGCACACTGACAGAAGTGAGACAACCAGTGTGTGCCATCAGCCCCTCCGATCACCATCAACCATTCACACACACACCACTCATTCTAGGCAATGGATGAAGTGTTTTGCCTAAGGACACATCAGCATTTTGGCACTTTACAGCTGCAGCTGCCACACAGTGGCACCTGGTGTTGCCAGAGGCCTCCCATCACAGTACATGCCAAGCCCTTTCCTGCTTAGCTTCATAGGTTTGACAGGATCTGGCTTATAAATGCAAGCATGGCCACAATAAATGTTTTTCTATGCATATAAAGATATAAAAAATTTTGTTCACTAAATGTTAACTGTGACTCTTTATAAATTGGTACATTAATTATGAAAAGTTACGTACCCCAGCTTTAGGTTTCATTAGTACACATGGACAAAATACTAGTTTTCAAAATGAAGCAAAACAAAGTTGTGCACAATCGAGCCTGGACACCATCCTGCCATTCTATGCTCCGTGCATTATAGATAGATTTAAAGCTGTGTTCCCACTGCGGATGCATGGACGTACGTTTCAGCAGCATGAATCTAGACAATCTGTCATAGTATGACAGTCATAGTATGACAGTCATAGTATGACAGTCATAGTATGACAGTCATAGTATGACAGTCATAGTATGACAGGCCAGTGTGACTCATACTGCCCTGCGATGGGGAGAAATGCAGGGCAGAAGTGGTGGCCGGGTTTTGATTCTTACGTGTTTAGAGCTAGCAGCTTCTACTTCACGAGTGCAGCTCCTCAGCGTCTCTGTGTCCTGAGACCCTCCATAGGGTCATAAAACAGGGGTATCTGCTCACGGAGCTGCGCCATGGATGTATTATACAATTACACACCAGCAACACTTGTTTACCGTCACAGAAGAAAGTCAACTCAGGGTGAAGACATACGTTCACAAGCGCTGTCCCCCATTGTCAGCCCTGGTTTAGTCCTGCTGTAGCTTATGTTTTGGTTTATTTCGAGTGTCTTTGTCTTCCTGTTGCTGCTCTCTGATTGTTTTCCGCATGTGCGTGGAGCAAGGATGTTCAGTGATTATCATCTGAATTTGCCACATGCATCTAGCTGCCGTACCCACCCTCTGCCGTACGCCAAAAATGTGTGGTCCGCGCTGGACAAACATGCATGCGCAACGTGCATGCGAATACTTGCACTAAAGTAAGTCACCATTGACTTTGCATTGAAACTTGCACGCATGATCCAGCTTCAGACAAAAATACTTCTCTGACTGCACGCCTCTCTCACATCAACAAAAATCACTAAATCTTGCCAATCCACATTATTACAACTCACTCTTGTAATGTTGTGTATTGTTTTGGTGACGATTGCCTTTGAAGTCGTTAATCTGTGCAGAAGTAGGAGTGCCTGTGTGCGTCTCATTTCAATGTAATTGGCCATGTCTCCTTTCACCGCTCACATGTGTCTCTGCTGCCGTTTCCATTTGTAGCTGGAGCTCATAAGGCACATGCTGGAGACCGTCTGGCTCAAATACAAGCTGGGGCCACGTGCTTTGTGTCTGTAAGTATATATAAGATAAGAGTTCCTTTAATTGTCCCACAGTGGGGAAATTTTGATGTTGCAGTGCTCAGACAGGACAGTAGTAAGAGCACACAGGGAGCACACAAAATAATAATACAAAAAAGTAGCTACAGTATATCATAACACTGGACAGTAAGGCGAGTATACCGTCCATCCAGCTCCACCCAGGCCAGCTAAGACATGGTCCCTCCAGTCCTGGCTCTTTCTGGGCCTTTCCCAAGACACCTTTCAATGTAAATCACCGCAAAAGACAGCGTTCTTTTGCGGTGATTTAAGTTCACATCATCGTTCACATCAACGCAGATGCTGTCAATCTCACGCTCCATCCTTCCCTCACTCGGAAAAAAGACCCCAAGGTACATGAACTCCACCACCTAGAAAGGACAAGGCACCTTTTCCCAGTCGAGAGTCAAATAGTCTCAGATTTGGAGGTGCAGATTTGAATCCCAGCTTTTTTACACTACGCTGAAAACCATCCCAGCCCAGTGCTGATGTTATAGGTCCTAGTTTGATGAATCAGATCAACATTATCCGTAAACAGTAGAGCTAAATCATGTGGTCTAGAATTTCTGATTGAAAAACAATTTAAGAATATTTCAGAGTCTTCCAAAACATGCCAAGCCTGTCACTCTGCCCCTGGGCAGTCTTGCCTCGTTTTTCTGGGAGGTTTATAATTTTTTACTTAATTATAAGTAATTCATTACTTAAAGAGGCAGTCAATGATTTATCCAGATGCATTTTTAAAATACTGTGGGGAAATGTCCCTAAAACCCAAAAGAAGTCAAGTTTCATCATGTGTTTTCAAATAAACCAGACCAGAAATATTTTGGCTGAACCAAAAACCCCCAAAGTGCCAATATCACGTTTGCCATGCCAAGGCCTTGTATAAGAAGACTCGGGACGCAGTCAGGGCTATGTGATGCAGCGGCAGTCGAGTGTTGCTAATTGCTAGTTTGTTAGGGGGAGCTAGCACTTGTCAAGTATGGCACTCACAGATGTGATCCCTGATAGAGTGTAGTGCTTTCACATTTTAAGCCGGGAGGCTTGCATTATTACAGAAACGTGTTCATTTGTGCTCGGAGTTAGGTTTGGTGGAGGGCAGGGGGGAGTGGTTTTGAGTCGGTGCAACTCAGCCACTCTAGATTTTACTGAAAATGAATGTCACCTTTAAGGGTATAAACCTTGAAATGCATACATTATATTGCCAAATTTGAAAAGAGACAAAAAAAATGGTTAGTTGACAAAATATTACATTGACATGACAAATCAAACGAGGCTTGGTGTAGTCTCGCATCGTCACTAACTGGTCTCCACTTACTATTTGCAATGATGCACTTTTACCAGACAAAATTGCACTTATACATTTGGTGTCACCTCATTAAGCAAGTACAAATGTCTTTGAAGTCCTTCTGCAAGTCACTGCAGAAGCCATCAAGTCCCATTCCAACCCTCCTTCTCTCTTGCAGTTCCCAGCGGGGCAGTGCGGCAGAGTGGTCCGTGTTTTATTTCATGTGTCAGATCCTTGAAGCTACAGTTAGCCTGTGCCTGCCCCTGCCTCCCGGTACCAAACACATTTTTACCCATATTTCTCAAGATCATCCCCAGAATAATGGTAAAAATGTGTTGGTGCTTCCATGCAGGCTTCCATACGTTGTTAGCAGTGTTCGCCGTGCGCTGCCTGCCACAGCACTCCTTCCTCCAGTACATCGACCACAAACTGCTGCAGCTCACTGACACTTTTGTGGCTCGAGTAATGAAAGGTACGATACTGCATATGTTTGGATTTATTAAGAGTTCATGTTTTACTGTGATTCAGAATGGCACTGCTATAAAATTGTAGATGAATGGTTGAAAAGAAATGATAAATGATCATAATTTTGGAATAATCAGTTAAACTATATTGTTGAACTAACAAAAAGGACTGTGGGGATGATCCAGGACACTTTAACATTCTACAACATCTATGGACATTTATCAACATGTGTTTATATTCTTTATGTGTCTTAACTGTTGATTCTCTGATCTGTGTTGGTGATTTCAATGGTTTCATTAAATCCTCTGAGATCACTACTGTTGTGATTTAGGGCTATACAAGAATACATTCTATTGTATTGTACTAAAAAGTGATTTAAAACTGAAAATGAAGAAACAATAAGGGACAGTGCAGGGCATATACAAACTCAATGTCCCTTTTCTAACACATTCTGTGTATCACATTTATGGAAAAATATAAATTTAAAGTACCTTTTCCTAAATGACAATGAAAAACCTAACACTAAAAAATAGTCCAATCTTTGGAGTAACAGTATCAGCACGAAAGAAGAAGAATTCGGCGGGCCTAGTGCGCAACATTATGCAGTGACATTTAAAGCTGGGGTTCTGGTTGTCTTTCTTCCGTCAGTGTGCGCCAGGGCATCTGTGGCTTCAGTAGTGGTTCTGTAGAGTGGATGAATAATGCCGTGTGAAGCATCTTTGAGAGTCCAAACAAGGGTTGTATAAAACTAATTTACTATTACTATCAATATTATTACCACCTAGTTCCATTGTTTTGGTGAATTTTAAGTTGGATACCCCAGCTTTAAGGATGTGTTGTTTATCCATGCAACTACAGAACACAGAACTACAGTGATACAAGCTCAAACCAATACAGTAAAAATTAAAACATTTCCTAAGCGCATTTAGGCCTTTTGAAGCCAGGCCTATTACCACAGCACATTTGACACTTTGTGCTGTCAGAAAGGTGGTGGTTACATGACGTTTTATAAGCCACTTTGCAGCTTCAGTGAGATTAAAGTCGGGCTAGAGGACATGTCACAGCTCTGCGTTTCAAGCTGCTTCTTCTGTGAACTCTGCGGTGTCTTTGCATCGTGAGCAATGGTTAAGGCTCGTGCTGATATTACAGTGCTGTTTATGTAAGACATGAACAGAGGCATCGTACCCAAGTCAAACAAGCCTGTGAGCTGAACATAAACACAACCCAAATATTTACACATTCACCGCTTCAATCTCTCATGAAAGGGTCTGATAATGGTCTATGATGAAGTGCTTATAACGCAGGGTTCAATGGTGAGGGTTGCCAGGGATATTATTGAAAAGTATTTTAAGTTTAGTTTTCAATTAAAATTATTTTTGTGTTGCACTAAATCAGAACAGCAGGAAAAAATGTCAATTTGGTAACGTCACCTCTAGATCAGACAATAACAATGCGTTTAACATTGCGTTGGCCAACTATGGTAACTATGGTAACTAAGTAAAATTTCTAGTCTTAGTTTTTAGATAATTTCTATGTGATTCCACATTGAACTAAAACTGTCACAAAGTTACATCTTCAGCAAACATGAACTATTCTTTTTCCATGAATATGTCTACAGCAGACTTTCAGACATAACAATAATATGGCACGTTTATGACAAATCACAAAAAAATATTGATCTGGGAAACCATTCTTTATTTTTTGGCATCTGCCCTGAAACAATCTATTAGAACACTAGAAATGCAAAAACTGAAAAACATATAAAAGATGCAGCACAAGACCACCATTCTTTGCTGTTGTAGGTGGGTTTCCCCCAGCTCTCAAAAATGGTGTGTTTTGTGTTTGATGGTAATCGTGAATCTTATTTGACTTTAAAACCATGGCATTCTGAAAGCAGCAGGAATTCACAAGTACATAGTGAAGATTAGACTTTGCTAGTGCCTCTGTGTTTGTGTTTCAGCAACAAAAATGATCCTTGTTTCCTTGTTAATATTGTATTCTTGTTTTTCCTGCCTAGATTTGGACAACAGTGCTGGCAACGAGTTACTGAAATTCAGCATCCTCAAGAGACTACCTCAGGTACTGCTGTTGTTTTACATCCACTGGATTTCCTAAACAAGATCTGTCTGTGCGCACACCTCCACCTCAGCACTGTAAGCAGTTATACAATATATGATACTATTATAATGCTATCTATTTGTGGAGTTTGGATCTTCCCCAAGTCCCCACACTGGACCAATTAGTAGTTTGAAGATATTTTCAGGCTCATCTCCCTGTAGCCCCCTGGAGCCCTCACAGAGCACCAGTGTAATTGGCTGCAGTGGGGAGAGGGTCTTCCGTTAGTCACAGTTTCAAGGTTTTTGAGATTTTTTTTTTAAGGGACTGAGATAACAATATAAATTTTTTTTTACCCTACTTGTCTTATTTCACAAACAAGTTGCTTCATTACAAAACATAAAAACGAAAGCCTTGTCCGAGAGAAATCTGACTTGATTAACTCCAAATGGTCAGACACAGTGCAACATGCGGGGACCCTCCTCACGATGAAGCAAAAGAGAGCAGTTTTTAACGTCTGACTTCCCAACAGGAGGATCAGCCTCCTGTGTTTCCCTCGAGGCAACAGTAAATTGCTTTGTTCCTGAACTGTGAATCACAAACATATACCGGTAAAATACATTGCCCCAATCAGATTACAACGTGACCCACCTTTATCTTGTTTTCCTCAAGCATTTACCCTATTACTTGCATGCTTCCTGATCAGCTTGTTAGCCGGGTTGAGTTTTAGGGTTTGAATTATGCATGACGATTAAAAGAAAGAAAAATCACAATAAATAGGATTTAGTCTAGCTGTTGCATGATTCAAAAGCAAGGAAGACTGTACAAACAATATGTAATCCCAACTGAGATTTACAGATTAAATATATTTAGATTTAGAGATGTTTCTAACAATAAAAAATGTAACGTTTATAAAAAATACACTATAAACACTATTTCACTGTCAGCAGAGGCGAAAGACAGGATCGAGATAAAACTAGAGTGGACGTGTGCAAAACAAGAGGTGGGAATTGTCCAGAATCAATGTGAAAGTTGTTCTCCCAGCATTAATGTCAGATTCAACCAATCAGGGCTCATTGGGTTCGGTGAGGTTTATGAGTCCAGGATCAACTTTGACATCCTGGACAATTCATTATTATTGTTTTTGTCTTTCTATGGGGGTTGTAGAGTAGGGTTATGAATGTAGAAACCGTTTGGGAAATGTGTGTGAAAGAGGCTTCACAAAACCGATAAATCAGACAAACAAAAAGTCCTGCTTAAACATTGGATTTTAATTTTTGATACCGCAACAAGTCACAAAATATCAGTATTCTGCCTCCACCAGCTAAAATGTGAGAGCGGTGAGTTTGTTTTGTTCTCGTTGAGATACAAGGATTTTTAGCCAAGTCAATCCAGCTGTTTTTCTACCCATCAGGCTTTACTAGGTGGATTTGGGCAAAAGCACATATTTATACAATACAACACTGGTTATACAACAAAATAGTGGTGACCAAAAAAACCTTCTGTAAAAGCTGTATTTTTCTCCAACATTTCTATTTTTTGTTTTTGTGGTCCTCTGAGTTTAATCATTTGAAATAACCACAGAGGTGCCTGTGAAGGATCATTTTTGCAGCCATGTTGCATCAGTCCATGCGCGGCAGTAGGTCCAGTGATCAATTATTTCACATTCAGGTTCATATTAGGTTCTGTGTAAGACGGGACTTTGTCAGAGAAATCAGACTTAATGAGAAACGGTTCTGATCAGGAGTTAAAGAACAGCTTTAAGGTTATACAAATGTTCACATTCCTAAAACATCTTAAAAGACAAGATCAGTTTTAATTAAATGTCTCCGTAACAACTTGACATTTTCACAGTAAAACTTTGATAATTCATGACATTATAATTTCTTCACAGATTTCTTTATTACAACCTAAGCTGTGGTTAAATGAGAGTTTAAGGATGATCTTTCAGAAGATACTAGCACACTAAATGTGATGAAAAACCTGTTTCTTTTTTTGTCCCAAACTACATTTTGTATACTGTAGTTGTGCAAAGCCTTGATATCATCCAATTATATGCATTTTCCATTGACTCAGCAATTTTATTCTTACAGGTTATAATCGGCCTATAGCTACAGTGATCCAGCTTTTTCATAACTGATATTTACAGAGGCTTGCAAAAGTACTTTGTTATCTTTACTTATTTTTTCTTACAAGTAGAAACAGATACAGATATGAGAATAAGTTAAGGGTCAATGATGTTACAGGCAAAAATCAGCCGGTAAATAATCTTACTACTACTATGAAAGTTATACAATCAGGATATTGGCTTAAACTCATCCCATCCCACGATCAAACAGCAACATACTTTTCTCACTAAAGAACAGATTGTTTTTGAGAGTCTATAATTAGTATTCATTTCTTTATGTTGTGTCAGAGTTGGGTTTGGCGGTGTGTGAAGAGATGATCTTTGTGTGTGTTTGTGCTAGCAGCCCGCGGAGCAGACCATCTACCACATGTGGGACCACCCCGTCACCTCAGCCTCCATATCCAGAGCTTATGTTCACACAATGCTGGAGAAACACAACAAAACAAAGGTGAGCATCACGCACAGTGGAAACAAATACACAATACATCATAATCAAACTTTATTACAGACTCGCGGACTCCACTTCAAGTATTGTAGTAGTGTTTGTCGGACTAAAAGGCGCTCTGGAGGGCAAGTAGCACCAGCCTAAAAATGTAGAGTGAGAAAGAAACTGGTTTAATTTTCACTTCAAGCATTTTTAAATATATCCTAGTGTCTATTAGTGCCTGAATCCAGTATGCGAGTGTGCGCCTGTGTGCATTCGGGGTTGACTTCATAGACGTGCGAGTTGAGTCAACTCAGATTAGTTGATATCAGGTCACACTGCACCGTTTTGTTCGGCATCAGTCACTCTGACTCCGCACTCGTACCTATTCTACACCCATAACGGTCCACTCCTCGTCCAGTCCGTGGGTCTTCCTAAAATCTTAGTAGTTCCTTCCAAGCTATTTCTGTATTTGAATATGCAATAAAGCCCAGTTGTAGGGTCTGAGCACTGCAGAAGTAGTGGACATCAGAAGAGGACAGAAAATACTGCACTGAGAAAGAACATAAGACAGCAGCAGCTCACAAGACTGACCACTGAACACGCACAAACACACACAAGCTCCTCCTCTGCTGCGCTTCTGGCAATAAACTCTCCATCCTTCCATCCATTTTCTACCCTTTAATCCATTTCTGGGTCAGGGGGGTGGCAATCAGAGATGCCACCCAAGTCTCATAGCACCAGCCCCTCACTGATCCTCTGCAGGTGGTGAGTCCACAGGAGGACGGCTGCTCTCTGAGTGTGAGCATAGCCTTGATCTTTCAATGGGGGCTTAGGGCAAAGTGGGGTTAAGTGTCTTGCCCAAGGACACAACGACAGCAGTCATCAGTGGGAGTCGGTGGAGGTGGGAAATGAACCCACGACCTTCAGGCCTGAAGGCCAGTGCTCTACCAACTGAGCTACTGTGCAATAAACTCTTGTCACAAAAAATAAGTGTAACAGGCCTTCGGCCTTGAGATAACCAAAACAAGTGGAAAAATACCAGCTCCAGCGTGTGTTATGATGATGGATTCAGCTTTAACAACAGTTGCTTCAAAGTGTTATAAAATATTCAAAGATGTCTGGCACACTAATCTGACATCATAACATCACAACGATAGTAGACATAGCAAAACAAGCTTACCAAACATCTCAATAATACTCTACATCACTTAATCCAGGGGTGTCCAAACCTTTTAGTAAGAGGGCCACTTTAGTTAATCAGACTTGACCTGGGGCCGATAACATGGATTTTAAAACTGGATTTGACCTGGATTGACTGGTTGCTGGAACGTAAAATGGGTTATTATACGTCCTTATTGATTCTCAACACAGCTGCATTTTATTTGGAGTGTTGTGACACAATCATAAAACAAATGTCAGGATATAACAATATTGGTGGAGCTGAAGTTGGTTGGATGAATGGCTCAATGGCGACTTTGTGTTAGCAGCAGATGGCCAAATAAAATGGCACAGAGGGCCGCAAATGGCCCGCGGGCCTGAGCTTGGACATGCCTGACTTAATTCATTGAATTCCTTGGAGTCTTTTCTGAACACCTGAGCCAACTCAAGCCTACAGTGCCCTCAAGCAGCTGTCAGTACTAAAAGTTTTAAAACGTGATGCAATGGCTGTTAAATTCACATAATTATCATATACTGTTCGCACCTGAGCAAAATCACACCCGCAGCCAAAACGATGTCAATTTTGTAAATTTGGATTCAAAGTCTGAAAAATACACATAACGTTTAATTACAGTAGCTCTGCAACAACATGACTTTATGAAGTGTCTTTGTTACAAGCTAATTACAGCTGACATATCTGTTGTCATAGGTTGACAATTTATTCCTGATTTACTTAACAACTAATTAGCAGGAGATTGGCTGTCATGCAGACTTTGTTTGATGCCAACACTGTGACATTTACAGGGTGAAAAAAATTAATTATTGTGGAAAGCCAGAGTTTGTGACAAGAACCATAACAAAGTATAAATAGCTGTAAAAAGTTCCCCAAAAGTCGCCTAAGTGCTGAAAGTATATTAAAAGTGGCGCTGAGGTGAATAGTTTAGGGATTTTTGCCGTAGATTTGTCTTGATGGAGTGCATCCTTGAGAATTCATTGTGATATGCCGAGTTCTGTGGTCCTCAGGGATTTGCATTCAGCGGCAGTGACAAGCCTGGATTCAGACCGGAATTCCTCCCTCTCACCTATCTGGCAAAGATGCTGTCGGATATTGAAGAGCAAGGTACGGCCTGTGTGTGAAGGGAAAACTAAACTTTGTACTTTCAGATGTTAAGATGCATGCACACCCAGGGGGATTTCAACAGAGATTTAGAACACATTTGGGGAAATGTTTTGAATAAAAATACCATTTGTTGTTTCATTAAATAATATTCTGTTTGTAGATATGGAAAATATTCTAAATATGCATTCTAGGAGCAGTAATGGAGTTCGCTTCACTACGACTATGACCAAGACTCTGATAAGGGGATGTAGTTAGTGTACTGTTAATGTATTGTTTGTTATTAGTTACTGCATAAATAGACGTTAAATAGTAAGTTAGTAATCTGTATTTTTAATACCATACTATACGTCTGGTTGTAGAATAAATATATTGAATACAAATTATTATTATTGCTATTGTAAGTAACAGGATTCACAAACTAGAAAATAGTTTTGGCTCTTGGAAATAGAATAAGGCTCGTAAAAAAAATCAACATAAAATTTCTGAAAATTACTACTATGCATGTAGTAAGTGCACAAAGTACACGCAACAGACATGGCATGCTGGTACATGAAGGTGAAGGTCCAAGTCCCTGTAGTGAAAGTCAAATCCCCCAGGATCTAAACCCTGGTAGTGAGGGAACCAGAACAATGAGCCAATTACCTAACCCCATTGTTCACGTGGTGATGTGGAGGAGGCTGGTTGCTGCACGAGCTGAAGCCTACTATGAAGCTGTGAGATGCTGTTTCTATGCGAACAGTTAATGCAAGAAGATAAATAGAGATATATACTTTATTGATCCCGAAGGAAATTGTGCACTGGTCCCTTGCTCGCAATCATACAGTACAAACATACATACATAGGTTAGAGTTAAAAGATGCAAAATAGTTAAAAGAGAGACAATAAATACATTAAAATCAATAAAAGAGAAGTTAAGGCACTGCAAAACAATTCTCAAGACCCCTCCCTCCCTCCTCCCCCCTGCTCCTCCCTGAAGTGGCTTTGTTATAGAGCCTGATGGCGTTGGGGACAAAAGAGTTTTTTAGTCTGTCCTTGGAGCACCTCAGAGAGGGGAGTCTAGAGCTCATGGTGCTCCTCTGGCGGGAAAATAATGAATTTAGGGGGTGGCTCTGGTTGGACAAGATTACCCTGATCTTGGAGAGCGTTCTTTGCTCCACCACCTCCTCCACTGAATCCAGACCCAGACCCACCACAGAGCCCGCCTTTCTAATGAGCCGGTTCAGCCTCTCTCTTTCTTGCACTACCCCCCCAACAGACAACAGCATAAACAAGGACACTAGACATCAGAAGCTTTATTAGCAGAGGCTCAGGTGTGTAGTCGTGGAAGGATGCAAGAGAATGATGTGGGAATAAGTGTCCAGTCCGAACTTTTGTTATATGATCCATTAGTCCGCAGTCTTAAATTCACAAGTCAAACCAGGGAATAATAAATCTTCAACCCAATCTATTATCGTCAAATCATATTTCGTGTTCACACCAGTTAATTTCGACCGCCTAACAGCATAACCCCATCCATAAATCTCCTTTTTAGTCATTAACCTGGCCTCTGAAGCACCCACACATTTCCCTCTTCTGTTTGTGTCCTAACCATCTCAATCTGGCACTCCCAAGTTTATCCCAAAAATAACAACATGAAATTAAGCCATCCCTCTGATGTACCCAATCCTAATCCTTTCTTTATTCTCAACAAAGAGACTCAAATCAAAATGTTAAGCTCTGCCTCCTGTCCGCTCTTCTGTGCCACTGTTTGTATATAAGTCATCATATCTAGACCATTAGAAGTTATTCCAATATTCTATCTAGTAAACACAATCACAGTGACAGCCATTTGTGGTTCCAGTTTCTGAGTAGTGTGGTTTTTTATCTTGTAGAATGGATCTTAAATCTTACAAGAACAAGAGCGTTAAAAAGTTAATTTTCAATAAAATTTCAACAGTTGCCATTTTTTAAGGCAATAGAATTTCCACTGCGTTTATTTGAAAACCTTCGAACCATCTTTGCCTTTTACATTAATAACAGTAGTCATGTTTAAATAGCAAATTCAAAATCAATATTGTAGTTTTATTTCTCCTAAGATTTAATATTTTACTATCGACCCCATTATATTATGTATACACAAAACATGCCAGTTTTAATCTTAAAGTGTATTTTCCTTAAGAACATATTATATCTATTAAAGACTAATCCCCCTTTTTCCCTACAGGCACAAATCCATTTGAGGAACAAGAAAACGTGGACGTCAGATTTGTGGAAGAGACCGCTCTAAAACAAACACTCGTTCTGCTTGGTTTTGAGGAAAAGTGAGCAACAAATATGGCAACGAAGAGCAGGCTGTGGCTGTAGAGCAGATGGAGAGATGGATTGACAGAAACAGCTCAAGGGGAAAATGTGTTTCATCGCAGAGCCATCGACTTTGGGCCTGGAGGACAAGTAACGGCTGGGCGGATGACGGAGAGCCAGGAACAAAAAGATGAATGCAGAGCGTCTAAAGGCATGGGGCTCATAAACAAGCTGTGACGATTAGATGACAAATTAAGGCGGGCCGTGTGGATAAATGGGAGGTGAGGGGAGAATAGAAGTGACAGGAAGATACATTTGGCCGAGACCGAGAAAATACATCTAAGGGTGCTGCCACGATGCACTGGAATTAATACTGGTAAAATACTGCATATCAGTTAGATTGTATTTGGACTCTCTGTCACGACTAAACCAGACTTAAAGGGTTATGCAAGAAAAAAGGTTGTTTTATGGTAGAAGTGGGCGAGAAAACAACTAAGCTAACTTTTGTTGTTGTTGAAGAAATACTGTCTAGCTCCCTTCATCTTTTTAGAAAATATATTTTACACACATGGAGGTGATTGTCTGAGCGATGCCTGGTCACTGAAACTCAAATGTAAGGATGTGACAGGACAAAAATACATGCATGTGAAAAATAGAGATAGAATCCGACTGTTTTGAGAGCAAGGAACTAGTAACAAGGGCTAAATTGCATATTAAATATTTTTTCTTTCAAAGTTGGGTACATAAGATTTTATATAAATGTTTTAAAGATCTTAGTCATTACATTTGTTCTGAATTATGCTTCATAAATATCTTTTGTGAGCTTTAAGTATAGAACTTGAAGCATTGAACAAAATGAAGCTAATCTAATCTTCTCATTCGCACATACGTTAGCCGACACAAGCGCCATTTATTTAACGAGTGCCTTCAAAAGTCCACAGCGACTAAACTAGACTGTAATAGAAACCAAAAAAATACACTCCCCTCAGCTTTGACACACTTCTAAAACGTAGCTTTGGCGTAAGAGCCGAATTTTGAGAGGAAAGAAGACGCCATACAAAAGCATTGGATAGTTCTCTTTCCGGGTCCACCCCCACAGGCTAGGAGTGAGATTGCAAGCATGTCAGCGCACATTCTCATGGACCTCTTTGAGCCGGGACCCGCCCACACTGAGTCATACATACATTTGACCGATAATGCCTGCATACTTCACTATATGTGAGATCTTGCAGTAGTTCTGTAGTTATTTTTCACTAAAGCTGATGTATTATTCATATGTAGGCATCTCCAAAACAACTACTGCGATATATTGCTCAAATTAAAGTGTTTAAAAGTAGGGGTTTCATTATTTGTTGATTTCTTACTATGTGAGTCAGTATTACTATTGAAACAACGTCAACAAAAAAAGGAATTTAAAATAAATAAATAAATATAGGTTTCAAACGTAACATGGACTCAAGAACTCACAAATGACTAGATCTTCATACATTTTACGAGGCCCTACACCAGCTGGCACCTTCATGGAAATGGCCATTTGCTTTATTATCACTAGGGCCATTCTACACAGTACTTTTTATGGTTTTGTTTTTTCATCTGTCATAAAGTAGCCGTGAGTGATTCAATGAGGAATTACAGTTTTTGGATCTTCTTTCACCAGTCGAGCACCAAATGTAAGGCTGGCAGCTCAAGTTCTGTTTCCAATATTAACACAAACCTACATTTCTGTCTCATTCTGATAATTGTGTTGTTGTTACGATCTTGTGTTGATAATATTAATTATCAAGCAGGGGTGACAATGGTAGAACTTGCTGAGCCGTCACTGAGTCACTCAGCAACAGAGGGAAATATTATACTACCAGAGGGAGGTGTAGATTTTGTCATTTTCATCAGAAATTGCTAAATAATTCAGACAACTGCTCTAAGTGTGATGTCAACGTGATGTAATGGTACACTAATACAGGACAGAGACCAGAGCATTTAGACAGAAATAGTGGTTCCTGGTATTAATTTGATTTTTGATTTTATTGTATTTATTTCAAGCTTATAAACAGGAATCAATTATAAATTTAACAGCAATTACATATTATTCATATATCATATTACATACTTTTACTCCTGTTAATGGCATGGATGGACCTAAAAGAAACTATTATTTTTTTATTGAAGAACAATGTTTTAACATGGTTTAAAGACTTGTTTCAGTTTTGTACAACATAGATGGACACACACTGAGTTATTATATTCAACACTGAAGTGGTGTGAGAAGGGTGAAGTCAGAAATGAAACTCCAAGATACTATAAAAGAACTCATATTTTTCTGTTATAGTCTTAAAAAAAAAAGTTTTTACTTGATCTCACTTCAGTAACACCCATTCCTGTGAAGTCAGATGGCTTTGTAACGTCTCATTGTGCACTTTTAAACAAGAAAATGGAGAAATCTGTGCTGGCGGCATGCCCCATCTCAGCTAGAGTAGTATTTCAATGAATCCGTGTACTGAGGGAGGAAAGGCTTATTTATAAAACCAAGGAATATCACGATGTACTTCAAATTGTTATTTTTATTGTTCACTTGAAAAAAAAAGTATGAAAAATAATTGAATGTATATTATGTGATTCTTAAAAAGGTTATTTTTATTTGTAATTTTTTTACATTCAAGAAGCATTATTTTAAATATTGTGGAATAATGTCCCTAAACCCTAAAAGTAGTCAAGTTATTGTGTGTTTTCAAATAGTAATGGAATTGACCAGATGCCTATAGTCTCCAAAAATGCCAATTTCACGTTTGCCACCCACTCTCCATGTTGTGACAAAGAAAATAAAATACTAGATGTTTGGTTTGGTGCAGAGGCGAGGGGAGGAGGGAGTGGTTTCCAGTTGGTGCTACGGCTAAGCTAACAAAATGGCTTACTGCACCTTTAAGTATTGTGCTTAAAGGAGTAAACATCTATGTTTGGAAAATATGTAACACTGGAGGAGGCTTGTCTCCGTGGAGATGCTACGGCTTTTGTTTTTGTTTTGTAAAGACAAAAAAGAAAGGATATTCTATTACTATGAAGACGAGCAGGTGAAACAGTTTGGAAAAAAGTCCTACATCTTTGAAGCAGTCAGAAAGCGAGAGCAATAAAACATATGCATTTGAATGACGGCAAAACATTAAAGGTCCTATATTTTGCTCTTTTACATTTTTCACGGTCCATCGTGAGCACGAGTGATAAGAATTTCAGTAATACACATACAACACTGAAAACGTGAATTATAGCCATTTCTTACATAGATGTGATGTCGCCTCATTTGAAACGCACTGATCTCTGCTCCTCTCTGATTTTCTTCCTCACACTGACTTGGATGATAACAAGTCAGCGGAAAGCTCTACAGCTTTTGTGAGTACATACAGTAGTCAATTCAGACCTGAGAATAAACTTTTTCCAACAATGGTAATCCATCACATAGAGTGCTACAGTATGTGCTCCATCCAGAATTGGACGGATGGTTCCTTGTTAGCGTCTTTTATTTTGTGAGAAACACCAGGTTTCAAGATCAGCTTTTGAGTAAGTCTAATTTCATGGTAACCGTAGTTCTGGAAAAGTCTGGAAGTGTTGCTGGCAGATAAACAGATGGATCGCTGTTTTCGAAGGCAGTTCCCAGTGAACTGCCTTCGAAAGTCATTTGCCGCCTCCTTCATCTTTGGGTAAGCCAAATTGTGTCATCACATATTTACACTCTAAAACACATTTTCTTTCGGTCTCACTTTTAGTGTGACACTGACAATGGTAGAATGTCAGCAGAGCTCGATGTGGTACACCCAAGATCATACGCTGAACGCTGGAAAGGTTGTTTCAGCTGATTCGCTGTTTTGATTTCTCCCCCTGTCAATCACCTTCTGGAAGCGGGCTGCTCACGCTTGTGCTGCGTCGTCCTTGTGAACTGAGACGTTTTTCTGCCTCTCAAGTATGAAAGAGAAAATATTGCTCTCTAATTAAAACTACTTTGGGCATGTGTATGAAGACTAAATGGCACTGTAATTAATGATGTCTAACGCAAAAAAAGTTGCAAAGCGTAATATGGGACCCTTCCGAAAATATCAAAATCATAAAAACTACTTCCCCTGTTTTTTTGGGATTGAGTTGATGCCAGTGAAGCCAGGAAACACTCCTCTCATCACGCGCCGACTCACCCACGGTGAATGTTTTGGACCGAACATTAAATTAACAACATATTACACAATCTTTTAACCCTGACTTCTTGCCAACTTGTACTCTCAAATCCTCCCTGTTTTCCCTTAAAATTGCTCTTTCCTTTAAACTAAATCCCTCATCAACGTTTTTTCTCCTGTTATGCAGTCGGTGTAACGTAGCGAGCTAATTAGCATCGAACAGTCAGGGGCTAAGTTAATCTGACAGATAGATGATCACAGTTCTACACACTATTACACACATTATATATGGGAAGCTGCTCCTGTCTCCTCTTCCTACCTTTTAAAAGCCTGACTCACAGCACGATCCGACGCTGGTGCAAATAGAAGTGGTGACCCCGACATGAACTGCAACGCCTACATGCACACTATTGGAAATGTCTAGCTCCGAAATGAAAGGAAAGTGGACTATTGTTGGACCAAAACAGACCCAGGGCACAATAGGGACTGATTAGGGTTGGAAATCTGAGCAAGATTTATTATTTATGTATGTTTATTTTATTTTATTTTATTTATTTATTATTATTTATTTTATTATTTATGTTTTTTTTTTCCTTTAGATAAAAAAAAAACCTCCTTAGTCCCTTGCCTCCGGGTAAATGGGCAAAGGGAGAAGCCGAGAGAAGTAAACAGCAGGGAGACTCTGCTGTTAGCACAATGTTGACTTAAGTAAATACATTACAATACAAATAAGAAAAAAAGTGACAAAGGTTTTTGTAAATTCAGCAAGAACAAGGAGGAGTTATGCACCTAAAATCTGGTACAGTCTTGCTGAAAATGTGAGCCGGGCTTCTATACTGTTTGAATCCAGGACAAAAAGAGTTCAGGGCGGACGGCACGGTGGCTGATTGGATAGTACTCTCAGCAAGAATGTCCTGGGATCAAATCCCCGTCGAAACAGGGCCTTTCTGAGTGGTGTTTGCCTGTTCTCCCTGTGTCTGCGAAGGTTTCCTCCGGGTGCTCCAGTTTCCCCTACCACTAAAAACATGTACTATAGGTCTGGCATGCGCCTCCTGTACTGGTGACCCTGCTCCCATCTCTGTG